CTTACTGCTCTGCAGCTAGACGTAGATTTGCATTAACTTCGAGCCATAGTGGTGAAAATTTGAAAAATGTAGCCTACAAGGCAGGAAAGTGGCTTTGCAGGAGCATTTGACAAATGGCTTTTTTTGTAATTTAGATAACATAATATATAGAATTATTAAATCTTTTTGCTATTATTAAGCTTATTCAGGTGATTTAATTGATGGGACTGATGTCATTTATTAAATGTGATCAATGTGGAAACATTTTTGATTGCCATCAGTACTTTTGATGTTTATATGTCCCAATTAGGATGTATTCTCCTAAAACCTAGTATACAGCCCTCATTAATTATATTACGGGTCTTCGGCCTGAAGAAATGGTGATTTGAATATTATCTTTAGTATTATTTTCATTATATAATCATTTATTCCAGCATAATCACTATTTGATAGGATCTCTATTTTCTGCCTTATCGATAACTCTTATAATTTGGCAGGGGTGTACATTTGTCAAATGTTCCTGTAGCTGCAGGAGCCTGCTGGTGCAGGTGATTTTGTAATTTGGTTCTCCTGCTGGGGTAGGGATAGTTGACAAATGTTTACAGTTATGGGTGTAACTTCCACCTGTTTATCCCAAAAATGACTGTGAATTCACAGTGTTGACCCGGCGGGGTAACACTGTGTAGCAACAGAAATTTGCAAGGTTCTCATAGAAATGAATAATCCATGGATAAAGGAATGAATAATTGTAAGTTTTTGAAGTTTCTAAGGCAATTTTTGACCAAGTCTAATACATTGTAGGCTTGTCAGTAGTCTATATGGTATGAATAATTTAAATAATATCAATAAAGTCTATATACTGATGAGATAATTAGCAGGGAATGAATAATGATGAATAATTAAAGACCTGAGAGACTATAATCATTAGAAAATGTTGCAGATTGTCACAAAATCAAAGTTGTATATTTTGGTTGTATAAACAACTTTCATTAAGTGATCTGTAGTAACAGCTCAATAGTTGTGCCAGCACTAGCCAACCACTAGCTGATCCATAACTGATAAGATGATATCTCAATAACTGTCAGGAACAGGGCCGGCCCGGGCCCACGTGACGATCTCCTGCCAGTCTGACAAGTGTGGGAAAGATGGTTCAACCCCCATAGCTGGGTGGTTGGCAACCAGGCAGCGTAGAGATGGTGCCACCGCTGCATAGAGAGCAGGGTCAGGACAACTCGGGCGACTCGAGACGCCCCGCTGTCACGTTGTGTGACAGCGGTGTCACGGGATACGAGTAGTCGCCTAGAGTGTCCTACCCTGCTTGAAGGGAACGAGTCCATAGCCAAAGAGTGCTGTCTAGTAGAGTTGGTGCCCAAGGCATAGGGAAGCACAGGCTCAGCCAGTTGAACAAGCTGTTCGGGCGGGGCGTGATGTAACGCGGTCACGCCCGACGGTTCGGGGGGTCGAGGGGAGTCGCCCCCAGCAGGGGCTGCGGGCCCGAGACCCCTGGAGCGCTTGAGAAGGGTTGCCAATCCAAGGGGCGACATATCTCCTTTCCTGGAGAAACGAGTCGCTGTGGCTCCTAGACACCGCGTGACTGCGCGGTGTGACGCGTGACATGCGGGCCCGATCGGGCCCGCACCCTCCCATCGCCCGTACCAGGGGAACCCAGAGCTTGAGGCCAGAGAGCAAGAAGAAGTGGCTAGGACAAGGGTGAACATAAGAGACAAGAGCCTGAGCTGTCCAGCCCAACCAAGGGCTCAGGTCAATGAGGCAAGCTAGCCTGGAGTGTTGGAAGTCGTCTAGACGCCCCTTTCCTGGGGTATGGTCGCAGCAACCCCGCTCTAGGGGACCAGGCCGGAGTAGGGTTCAAAGGAAGAGACTTCAATGCTAAACCTAAGGTACAGGAGTAATACTCTGGTCTTTATATACTGTGGGCGCTAGGGGCCGATCGGGCCCGCTGAGGGTCGATCAGAATGGAGCAGGGGATGTCTCTGGTCGTCCCTGGTCGCTCCGCTAGGAGCCCAGGGACCATTCCTCTGGAAAGGAGCCATGCCAATGTCGACACTAAGGAGTGTTTGACAATGCAACAGTAAGGAGCTCCCTCCTGGACCCTGTGGTTGTCTAGGGCCGATTGGGCCCGCTGTCAAGGGCGTCCGGCGGCGCATCATGATCCCTGATGGCGGGTCATGATGTCTTGATGGCTGACTAAAGCGCGATCCGTGATTATGTCCCTTCTCTGGGATATTAGTGTTGTTGCTCATTGCTTTGAGCTTGTGAATTATGAGGGCTTGTCAAGCCCTAGGGCTCTAAGGGTGGTGAGGGCCCGATGGGCCGTATAGGGCCCGTTGGCCCGACCCGAACCCCTGACAATAACTAGATAGGTGACAGAGCTAATTGAAGTACTACTAAGGATACCTGAATGATTGGGTCAATATTCACATCAATCTAATGTTATCTGTATATCAAACAATTAAATGATTATGCATCAGACTTATTGATTCCGCAATATATCCTCTAATTCTTTCTAAATTCAGATAATTTTTTTACTAGTACATAGGTAGTTATATTGTCTTGATGTGTTCTGATATGAGTATAGTCTTATATCTTTATACCACAGTGTTATACCACTTTCCTGTAGTTTTTCTGCTTCAAATTTGATTAAGCACAGTGATGGCCTGATATTTGGGTTAGGAATGTATGGATAATCATGATCTAAGTTGTGTTCTAGGCGGATAGATGTCTATTATAGCCCTGTAAGACACACCTATTTTTAGGCAACCTACATACCATATAAGGCATATATCCTGTTATTTTACTCTCCCAATAGCTCACTTGGACGTAAGGGATTCCCAATGAGATAAAGGTAGGAAGCATACAGAGGGGTCTGTCAGACTGCGGGTCGGGCCGTGCAAGAACCTCTCCTAAGAACGCGCGCCCGGAACAGAACAGACGGATAGTCGGGCCCGCAAGCGCGGCGGGCGGGGTAGATCGAAACCAAAAGGGCCCGTGAACTCGGTCCCTTGCCGTGGTCGGTGGTCGAAGGTTCGAATCGGGTCGTGTTGGGCCCGATGAGTCGACAACGCCTCCTTGCACGGAGTAAGGTAGTTCTTTAGACGATCTAAGCGATAGAGTACAGGGTACACTATCGCGCCTTATATACGCGGGCCCGCAAAGGGGGTGATCGGACACCCTGACCTCTACTCCTCCTCCTCGCTCCCGTTCCTGGCCGCAGAGGGGACGATCGTACATCCCTTGCGGGCCAGGCGCTACTCTTAGCACTCCTCCCCAATCCCCTTGTGTCGAGTTGGGCTCGGCGACGGCTCGATGGCGTCGTTCTCGGTCACGTGCTTCCCACGTGTGCGTTCCTCCTACTGGAGCGCATGTTCCCCATCGTCACGTGCTGCGTGCTACGGGCCCGCGATGGCCCGACACCAGCGCCGGAGCGGACGGGCCGGGTCTTATCCGTGACAGGGTCCCTCTGAAATATGACATGCCTCTCATAATTTACCATCTATGAAATCTCTTATTATTTGGTATTATACACATTGCTCCTATTATACAAGATATTCACAATACAACCATGATCTGTTAGTTGATTATAGATCAAAATGTGTTAAGTTCAGTCAATGAGATATATCAAGATACCCATGTACTCTGATTGGTCTCTATATATTCTTAGAGGATGAATTAAGGTGAAGATTCCAAGACAGGTTGAGTGCAGAACTGATTTACACAAATAGTAGGGTCTATAGACTGAGTACTGGACATTGAGATGCATATATGGGGGTATTTGGATGTATACTAAGACCCTCTACTGTAATTACTTGTGGTTCAGGTATGTGTCACCAGAGGTAGCTGAAGAGGGGGTAGGTACCCATAGAGCAAAAGATAGTGTCTTCGCTATTACAACTGGTCAGAAATTAATTTCAAGTATAATCCAAGACATGAAGGTAGGATGGTATAGACCTCCAAATGAACCTGTTTAAAATCAAAATTAAAACTTTCAGCCTTTTCAGGCACAAAAAAATTAAAAATTGGCAGACAGTTGACACTTTCCAATTGTTACTTTGAGTGCAAGGGTATTGTGGCAATTTACTTGGGCCACTAGAAATTGTCAAAAAATTCTCCATTCTATTATTTTTTTTATGCTAGAGAGCCTCAGTGCGAGGGCTAAACAAACAAATGGAAAAACAATATGACACAAGTTTGTTTATAATTAAAAGCTGCACAATAGCTAAAGAAAGGACCAAATCAAGGGAGGCCCAAAGCAAGGTCCAAGTCGGCAAGGCCAGCACCGAGTTGATATGAGGGGACAAAAGAAATGTCATAGAAGCTAGCTGAACATGAGGCCTAATTCAAGCTTGAAGCACGCAAGAGCTTTAATAGGTGTAGGAAATGCAGCAAATTTCATTAAAAATATGTTTGATAGAGTTATAATGTTCTGAGAAGTAAAATGACCTTCCACAGGAAGGGAAATAAAAGGGCCTAACCGGGAATTGAACCCGGGACCTCCTCGAAGTCACGTGACTCCCACTTAGGAGCACTCCCTAACAAGGAATCATACTACTAGACCATCAGGCCGTTGGAGGATACGCAGGGAGGCTGTATGAGGCCTCCTGATGGAGTTGTGTTCCACCTATACATCCAAATAGAACCTCTTAACTCAATCAGCACTTATTATCTGGTCTGATAGTAGTTTCAAAGTTCTCCCGTCTTGCTCTAACTTCACCTAGGCCAACTACCATCAGACTCGGCCTCACATGAGCTGACAACACACACTCTGACTCTGCCCGAACTCTGGCCAGTGTCCAAGCTTAGGCTCCGCCAATTGATGCCTCAAGCCTGAGCATTCCAGTGCACTAGTGGGCGGACCTCGGACTACTAGTACCAGTATCGATATCTGCTACTACAGTATGCACCTCTACCACGACTCCCTAGTAGTCCCACCATATATTGCCTAAGGGTCTTCAAGCACGGTGAATCATCATAAATTGGTTGAGTATGTGCACACAAGAGGGATTCTATGAATCTACCCCCACAAGATAATGTGCTAGACCTTGACAAATTTCGTCGAGCCACTCATGAACAACCTCTTCTTGGTATGTGTTCCGGTCATAGAATACCCACAACTCTGTAACCCCCTGAATAGTCTTTGCCCCGACATACAACTCTCCGGGTCGACAGCGAAGATGAAGGTCGGAGGATGAATCAGTGTCCATAACGCCCATACTGGCTGCAATATGCGTAAACACCATCGCATCCGCCGCCAGCTCAGGCAACGGTTCGACTTCTTCTCCCGCCTGGAGTTTGCGCCATGCCTCTGCAAATACACGGCCGCGGGCGATGCGGGCGGGCGTGTTGGCGCTCAGGAGTTCGGAGAATAGCGGGTGGCGATAGGTTGCGAGCGCCCGTTGTCTGGCGAGATTGGTTCTGTACCAGAACCGTTCTCTTGATAGCAAGGACGGGAACGAAGGGGAGAGCGTCGCGTCTGTCACGAAAGACTTCGGATCGCTTTTGTCGGCAAGCGGGGCATGAGGAAGGAAGGGTAGCGACATAACAAAGAAGCCGATGCACAAGTTGATTTCTGTTGTACCTCCGGCTTGATGCCATTCGGGTACTACAAATTGACGCAGGTTCACAGGACCACCGGTGTGCATAGGACTTTTGAGCCGCGAGTCCCATTCCTCAAGTGGAAGTTCGCCACGTTTGACGCGCCGATGCAGAACACGGGACATCGCAACTTGTCCAAGAGTATATAGGGCATTTCCAAATGTCACTCCGTGAAGTCGACAAGCAGCAAGAGCTTTCGGGGTCGTTTCTGGGGCAAGCTTGGCGCGGACAACGGAGGAGTGGGCCGGAGCACGAGGACTTTGCGCTGACCATTTTCTGGGTAATGTGTGGCCGAAACGCAGCATAGAAGCACGGCGTCCAAATATCACGCCTGCAATCGCTCGCCGCCAGCGTTGGCGGGGAAGCGACAATTGAAGATTGGTGTGGAGAGACTCGACTGAAGGCAACATCTCCAGTCGTTTCGGGAGGTCGATAGTTGTGTGAAGAGAAGGCCAACTTGAAGCAAGTCTCCCAATTGTTCGAGCCAGATTGAAGCTTGCGATGCCATCCAAGATTAAGTGTGCCCCGACAGTTATTATGTCATATGAGCCATCGTCGAGATCAGTCCGATGTAAAACAGTCACCCCCACCAGAGTCGAGCAGTCAAGACGGCGTGGACGACCATTTAGAGCCTCGTCAAGCGCGGCCATAGTGGAAGTCGCGTCAGCATTCGCGATATAGTGGAATTCTTGTTTCCCAGCAATTGTTCGCAAACGGGTTTCTTCAATCACGAATTGTAGCGGGTCCAACTCCTCAACGCGCGCTCCAACGAGTGGGAACTGAGTCTTGACCGCTTTCCAGATTTCACGAAAACGGTCTTCGTCGGCCTGGATGTTGCGAATGCTGCTACGCTCAACGACATCGGCAGTTCCCGCGGCTTCGCCGTCCCAGTAAAAGGCAGATTCGGTGAGTCCCAAACTCCGCTGATAGACACGATTAGGCGCGCTGCCAAGTTCTGTCCAAGTACCGTCAGGTCTGTTGAGTGCTGTCCAGGAAAGAGTCATACTTGGTGATGGCGGCCACCATCAATTGGTCGACTCAATGACAGGGGTTGTGCAACTCTTCTCTTACCTCCATGCCTCCCAGGAAGAAACAGAAAACTGTTGCCGTCGAGGACTCCCCTCCGGTATCCTTCCCTTCCAGACCAGTCACTCGTCCCTCTCAAACCACCACGGGGATATTTACTCTTCCTCTTGAACTTCTCTGGCTCATCTCCACCCACTTCGGACTCTGTATCGAAGTGCCACATGGCATCCTCCGTGGAGATGGAGACCCTGTGCTTGGTGCGGAATTCCGGAGCCGTACAACATCCCTGCGAGCGATGGCATATACCTGCGACCAATTGCGTCAAGTTTATCGTCCATTGTTATGGCAGTCGTGGAATATCTGCGTCGAACCTGTGCACCGTGCAGCCTTCTACAAGTCGCTCGGGGACCATTTGCGAAAGGCCAGCTTGGCTTTGGCGCGTGAGGCGGAGACAAGGGCGTTGATCAGGTATATAAATATGCTTTTGACTTCAAAACTCATCCTCCTTAAACAGAACCATCAACGTTGTCCTTACTAGATACTCGTCTGCTGAAGTTATTCCCCCCTTTGCGCGATGCATGGCTCAAATGCCCAACCTCCACACCCTCCAAATCATCCATGCACACACCCAAATGACGACCCATCTCAAGAACGGCTTCGCAAACATCACTCTGTCAAACATTCAGCGTATCGTTCTTCCCGACCATGCTCATGAGATCCTTCGGTGCTGTCCTGAGGTCCGCCATGTCATTTGCATGTCAAGCGACGGCAGCAAGCTCGTCTCCGCCATCGGCAAGTGTTGCAAACAGGTCGAAATCATAGAAGGATTCAGACTAGGTGAAGGCAACTTGTTGAAACGTGTGTATCTCTCGCTGTTCAACCCGTCTTCGCCTGTCTAATCATCGCCAGGACTCGTGAAAGCAGCTCCCAATGTCACTGAAATTCGCCTCAAGTCATTCTATGGAGACCATGTCAGTTTTTGCATGCCGGGCTCTGCGGCCCTTCTGAACCAATCTTATAGGATACTGTCACTTCACTTTCCTCTTTCAAGAAATTGCAAACACTGGAATTTTCACACCAGATTACCCTAGATGAACTCGCCGCTGGTGCTGCACTCCAAGTCCCAGCTGAACTCGTAAAATCCATCGACGCTGCCAAAGTACTCTTGCGAAACCAAACCACAACCGACAAGCGTCTGCGTGTTCGATTCACCCATGATATACCCCGAAATTGGCATGGCGCTGCGGCCCGGCGGAAGAATTGGGAGGAGATATCGGAGACGCCGTTTCCTGTGAAGGAGATCCCTCTTTAACTCACTAGTAGCATATATTGAACGGAATTGATTCCATCGTTATTAAAGACTGTACTCATCTACCTCGCATTCTTCAGAACGTACAATGACAAAAGAGCGAAATCAGTGTGCTCTAAGCCTCTAGCAGCACTGGCTTCTTCCCTTTCTTTCGCCTTTTGTTGCGAAATCAACTGCTTTTTTAGCGCCTTGACCTTCCTCTGGCGCTTCCTCCGTCCATTACCACGTTTTGGACCCTCGACGATGGCAACCTGTTCTGTCATCTTCTTTTTCCGCTTTGCAGCCTGCTCCACCTTCAGTTTCTCTTTCTTCTTGTCGCGTTTCCGGAGAGTCATGGAGAAGGCGGATTTGAGGAGGTTTCCGTAGGCAGTGTGGAATTTGGAGAGCTCAGAGGACAAGACCTAAGCTATGACTCGATTTGGAAGGCAATAGGGAGGCGGACAACGCACCCGGGTAGAGAATCTGGCCGTCCCACCATCGGTAACGCGGATTAGACATGGATACTCCCGCTCATCCACGCCTGAGCCGCCTGTTGTATGGCCCATGGCGACATCTTCATCTTCATATCTCACTGAGAAATTGTTTGCTTTCAGTAGCCATAACGTATTGCTCATTAACTGGCTCGTACATCGCTTGTGCGTGAGCCATATTGAGCCGTGCTCTTGAGATGATTCAAAGAGTGCTTCCAGACGAGTGAGGAACTAGCGGGACTGATAATAAGAAGAGAGCATTTCGCATCGATGTGATAGACAGACAGAATCGTGGTCTAGCGATTCCATCGGCTGCTCAGCCCGTCAGCGTCTCCCACCAGCTGTAAGCGTCGGGGCAGCACAGTTTGCGAGGAAGCCAATGGGCAGGAGGGAATGAGCAGAGTTGGCACGTGATCACATGGATTTCGTCTCATCACCAAACCATAAGTTTGCGGCTTCGCCATATGCACCGCATCTCAAGCCAACATCCGTCTTTGTGGTACTTAAATTGTCTCTGTCAGTGAACCAGTACATAGATTTGGTGCATCTTGGCCACGTCAAAGGGCTGACCAACTCGCCGACATCGTTTTCCTTATTGCGGTTCTTTCCGCTCACGATATTCGCCTCGTGGATTGACCTCAACAGGACTCGACATCGTTCGATAGCTGAAATAGCCCAACCTGATCTTCTGAACGCCTTGGTTGCTGTCAAAGAGGGGCTTGCTTGCAGACTCGAGGAACACATCTTTGCCCTAACTAGCCTTGGAATCTCCGTCAATTTTCTTCCCGCGGTCTCGGAAGTACCTTCGGTCTTACCCTACAAGCGCATTTTCGGCTGCCCGGGTGTTCGGAAGTGCGGCTGCCAAGATATATGCGACCTGAAGCCCGATTTCTCGAATTTTTCGTTGCAAACCTCATCAAAGCGACACGTAGACCAGCATGGGTACGAACGGCCATGAACGACGCCCCATAGGTTTGTCGACTCTTATTGAATCAATGAGAGGTGGCTTAGAATGCGTAGGTATCCTCGAACGCTTCCATGCTACCCGCAATTTCTTGGGCTTCGATACCTGCGTTGTTGCTTCAGCACGATATACCGCCCACCACCGTCAGCACCTTACAGAAAGCGTATTGTTTCCAGCGCTGCGTCAGGTCGTTTTGGCACATCCATCGCTATGCTTCAAGCTCGAGAACGAGACCTCTCCACATGCGGGTTTTGCTCGACTGAGGACGATAAATCTATCAGAGGTTGTGCAATTCTCCATGAATGAAGGCCACCTGCACACAAGCCTCTCCGAACAGCTCGCACGTGGCTTCGACGCTGCAACAGACCTTCCACTCTGGCGTGTCCAGGTGTTGTCGGACAACACGGTCATATTCGCGGTGCACCATATAATTGGCGATGGCCTAAGCTCGACATCTTTCCATATGGCCCTTCTACAAGCATTACAGCACCCTGCGAACACCGACGCTTCCCCAGTCATCCCAATATCCACTACGACAATAATGACTCCTCCGGTAGAGGAGTTGGTAGACATCAGACCATCTCTATGGACCCTCGCATCGTCAACGTACAAATATCTTGCGCCTAAGGCATTCTTGCCTGGAAGTTCTGCTTGGACTGGGAGGAAAGTCCCACGGTCTGCTGCGGGAGTAACGTTGCGACCACATGTTCATCTGTTCGCTCTCCCTCCAACAGAAATCGCTTCACTCCGGAATACTTGTCGAAAGCATAGTGCGACCCTGACATCCGCATTTTACTCTATCGCCACCTCAACTCTTGCCCGCATGCTTGACGAGGCTGTGTCCTCCACTGACAAGAACTCAGCCCGACCGCGAAGAAGATATCGTTCAATTTCCGCTGGAGTGGCCATTTCGTTGAGGGATTGTACCCAAGTCATGGGAGCTCTTCCTCGAACTGCTATTTGCGATGCAGTCTCCGCCCACTACACTTACCCACCTCTCGATCCCAACTTTAGCTGGACAGCTGCAGCACGCTATGCCGATGTTTTGCGCGTCCAGAAGCTCAACAAAGCGCGTGAGACTGTAGGAATGTTACGATTCCTGGGTAACGATTACACCGCTTATATGCGTGGCCATCTTGGAGCCAAACGTGAATACGGCTTTGTCATCTCGAATCTAGGACCCATGCCCACTATACAACTGGAAGGAGACCCCGCATGGACGATGGAGAATGTGGTATTTGCTCAGTGTGATATCATTGTTGGCGCCGCGTTTAAGATCAATGTCGTCGGCGATCTGGATGGAGGCGCAAACTTCGCAGTTACTTGGGGCGACGAGAGTATAGAGCAAGAGTTTGTGGACGAGTTTGTAATGAAGTTCAGAGACATGCTTCGGACGTTGGTTGATTAGATACGGTTTTTTGGGGCGTGTAATGTCACACGTGTTATTCCGGTTCATGCCCACTTCGATATGTTAAGCCGTGTCGCAAGGGGTCGCTCTTTCGCTGGTCTCCGTCCCTTTTCTATTCCCGCTATGGCTCTTACTCAACCCGCCGACTGGAAGAAGGCTGCCCCAGAGCCGCCAGCCAACACCGAGACTTTTGCTGCCCAAGCCGCACTCCCGTCTTTGCCAGTACCGGACCTGAAAGAGACTCTAACGCGTCTCCGCCAGTCGCTCAAGCCCCTCGCGTGGTCCAAAGCCGAGCTGGATGATGTCGAAGCCAAAATCACAGAATTCGAGAATGGCAAGGCACCAGAGTTGCATGTTCGCCTACTCGAACGGTCCAAACATCACCGGCACTGGCTGGAGGAGTGGTGGGACAATGGCGCTTATCTGAGCTACCGCGATTCGGTGCGTAGTCGATATTCTCGCTGGATTCACGACAACCGGACTGATCAACTTCAGGTTGTGGTGAATGTGTCCTATTATTGTGAAAATCCTGGAGCTTCCCAACGCGTTTCTCCTCTAACCAGTTCGCTCAGATGGATTCGACGCCCAGCCTCCAACGCTCCCTCAAAGCAATGTTGCGCGTGCTGCTTACATCGCCCGCGCGACCGCCCTCTTTCGACAGCAATACAAACTCGGTAAACTCAAGCCTGAGGCTTTAAAGGAAGGACCTATATGTATGGACACGTATAGGTGAGTCAGAGCTATTTGCTAGTTCGCGGCTCAAACGAGCGGCAGATGGATGTTTGACTGTTGTCGCGTTCCCGGCCCTGGATTAGACTGGAGTGTGAGCTATGCTCAGCCAGGGGATACTGGAGACAGTGGACATATCATTGTCTTCCGCCATAATAGGCCTTGGAAAGTTGATCTCGTTAGAGATGGCAGACTCCTCAGTGTAGCAGAGTTAACCGGGTAAGACTCCAACTTTATCCCGATTAAGATTCGAACCAGTGTGTTGCAGGCAAATTCAACACGTTGTGGACAATTCAAATGGTGAATATCCTGGCGTCGGAGTTCTGTCTTCAAACAATCGCGATGTTTGGGCGAAAGATTATGCTGAACTCTCTTCTTCGCCACACAACGCATCCATTTTGGAGACAATCCAATCAGCGGCGTTCACGATAAGTCTGGACTCGGCCTCTCCTGTTGGCGCCATTCCGCACAGTACCACATTGTGGCATGGAGAATTGCTGAATGGGGTTCCTGTTGGACTGCAAAACCGCTGGGTCGACAAGCCCGTGCAATTCATCGTCTTCAATAATGCTCAAGCTGGTCTTATGGGTGAACATTCTGTCATGGATGGCACCCCCACCGTGCGCCTCGCCGACGATGTACTCAACATGATCGCCAACCCTTCATTCGACAAAGGGTCTGAAAAGTACTCGCAAGACTTGTCTCCACCAGTACCTCTCGACTGGCAGCTCTCCCCAACAACAGTTTTAGCTATAAACGCTGCCAATAAAGCCGGTCGCGACCTCATCGAGAGCCAGACGATGGGTTTCCACTTGACAAAATACGGCAAAGATGCAATCAAGAAATTCCGCGTGTCTCCAGACTCGTGGGCGCAAATGATCGTGCAACTTGCTTATGCGCGCCTGCTGAAGAGGATGGGAAAGCAGAGGTCTGGTGGTACTTATGAGGCCGCATCAACTAGAAGATTCTTCAAGGGACGGACAGAGGCGATCAGAGTTGTTTCTGTCGAGTCGGATGCATGGGTGGCCAGCATGGACAAGGCTGGAGTGGACACGAAGGAGAAGAAACGCTTGTTCGATGCTGCTGTCCAGGTTCACGGGACTTTGGCACGGGCAGCAGGAATGGGCCAAGGAGTTGACCGGCATCTGATGGGTATAACCATGTTTTCAACCTTTCCATATGAGTTCTGACTCGGGCTAGGACTGAAAAAGTGCTTGAAAGATGGCGAAAGTATGCCTGCGTTATTCTCCGATCCATTGATGATACGCTCCAACAATTGGGTTTTGAGCACCTCTGCGGTTTTTTCCAGCCATTTCCCTGTCTATGGTTGGGGAGAGGTCGTTCCTGAGGGCTTTGGCGTGGCTTACATGACCGGATATGACGGTAATTCCCGCGCAATCTTTACTCGTGATCATGGAGTTAATCTTCTTTCTCCCTAGATCGACTTCAGTACACAATTACTTCTCGAACGGAGATGCCAAACGAACAGTTCGTGGCAGAGATTGCACGCGCAGCAGAGGATTTATATACCCTGCATTCTAAGTTAGCGGAGAAACCAAGATTGTAAATAAATAAATCTAGAATAACTCCCTCGGAATCATGCGGGCCGACAAATGGCGTGTTACAAATGAGCTCTGTTAAGGCGATGATGAGCTCGCGAATTCTTCTCCAGCTTGCTCAAAACCACAACTCACTATCACTATGCCCGGACTTGCAATCCTAGGAGCTGGAATTTTTGCGAAGGAAGGTGAACTGAGATGTTGCTCTTCTTGTCTACAGCTGACCAACAACTTTGGCGTGATATCATAGCCCATCTTCCAGCGATTCATGCACTCGGTGGAGATGCTCCTCCCTTGCTGGCGGTTTATTCGCGTTCAGAAAAGACGGCAAAGGACTGTGCACAGCACGCGACCTCCCTGGGTATCACGCCGGCCCCCGCGATCTACCACGATGGCGACGAATCGAGCAATTTGGACGCCCTGTTTGCCCGAGCTGATGTCACGTCTGTTATTGTCGCTCTCCCAATAACCCTCCAGCCTGCTATCATTCTCAAAGCACTGGCGGCCGGAAAGCATGTGCTAAGCGAGAAGCCTGTGGCGCCAGACGTTGCGAGCGGTATTGAGCTCATCAAGATATACCAGGAGAAATACAAACATAATCTCGTCTGGCGGGTTGCGGAGAATTATGAGGCGGAGTCTGGGTTCCGTGCCGCGGGGGAGCTCATCAAGGCCGACAGGATTGGAAAAGTCACTTTCTTTAAAGCAACGGTGACGAACCATATCGAGGTGACGAATCAGTACTACAAGACGCCATGGCGGACCGTTCCAGAGGTAAGTATATTGTGTTGAGTCTGTCTTAAATTCTCTAATACTTGGACGTGACAGTACCAAGGAGGATTCCTGGTAAGTTGAAGGGCAATACTGTGAACGGCAACTAAACAGCGCCGTCTAGCTCGATGGTGGCGTGGTCTGTATCTATTATTTTTCTGCTGGATTAGCGCTAATTTACTTGATATAGCACACTATTGGCGCTCTGCGTACGGTTTTGCCCCATCCACTCACGCATCTCTCCGCGTTTGCTTCTCTCAACTTTGAATACCTCAAACCCCATGATACCATTCACGCGGTCGTCCAATCTGATGGCAATTTCCACGGCATCGTCGAGCTCAGCTTCGGTGCACCAACGAAGACCAATCCTACCATCGACCAATACGTTATCACCGGCACCAACGGCTGGATAACGCTCAACTTCAAGCGCATCGACAACAAGAGTGTATTGCGACTTGTACTTCATCACGTCGTTAAAGATGGAGAAGGTAAGAAGGTGAAAGAAGAGGAGGAGGTAATGGATCTGCCTGTGAAGGGCGTGCAGGCCGAATTGGCCAGCTTCCTGGAGAAGGTTGCTGGACAGGAGACAATGAACATTGGGGATCCTCTTGAGGCGCTGAGGGATGTTGCTTTTATTGAGGCTGGGTTGAACAGCAATGGTGTGCTGGTGGATTTGATCAAACTCGTGACGGAAGGGAAGTGAGAAGTTTATCGATTTCTAAAACAACGAATAGGAGTCATGCTACCTGGGTGTACTACTTAAAAACAACAACGACGTGTCCAAGAGGTGAAGGGTTTTACATGAAAATTCTCATCCTTAATTCGCATGCAAATCTGATCGGTTATGTAATTTGCCGTCGTGGCCACTGACCACATTCTTTCCTCATACCAACAACTTCGTTGCTCCAAGTCTCCAATGGCAGCTTCTCCAGGCTCTTCTAAGTTTGAGACCCTTGCTCATGCCATGATTGCTTTCTCGACTCAGGGTACTGGTACCGGCTTACATCTTTCAGTTATGTACAAGCTTCCAAGTGGCCGCTTCATCGATACCAGGGAAGCGACACTGAATAACTCCGACTTGATTCTTACTCAATCTGCAAACAACAACTTGGTTTATTCTCAACAGTTCTCAACATCTTTGCTGGTCCCGCTGAGCTGAATATTCAACACCATCTCTACGGACACACATATCTATATCTAAATCTTGCCTGGCGGACGCTTCTGCATTCTCTGTCTATCGAGCAATTTGACAGTCAACTCATGTTGGACCGCTCAGTAATCCGGGCAGTTATCCCTTTGCCGGTGCCGATTCAGATACCTACCCACATCAGAACGTTCTTGGTTTTTGCCATTGGTAGAGGTCCTCCAACGAGTCAGGCATTCTTGTAGAGCGGCCATTCTCGCCCTATGAGGAAACTTTCCCAGTCGAGCTGGAGCCTCGCACCCGGAAGCTCAGAAGCATTATGCGTACCTGGTGACTCGCCGCTGACCATCTTCAAGGTCATCATGCCGGTACTGACTCAGTACCCTCCAAAGCAACTTCAAAGCTCACGCTTCCCAGCGAATCGCACGTTCCTCGGGGGCTGTTCGCGTTTCATTCCCGGCCTTCCGTTAGTGAAGCACGAGTAGCCCAGACTATGTTGAAACGGTTTCTCGCGCTGTAGTATGTAGGCTGGGACAGCTTGGATGTGGGCCTGAGAGGCTGAGACATGTCGTCCACTTTAATTTCGAGTGGAGAACGTGCTTGCTTGCTGCATAGTCTCTCAGGCAGTCTATTATCTCATATTCTATCAGCTCTTGGATCCTCTCGCCATCTGCCAGTACCTAGCATCTTTTTTCAAGTATATCGTCAGCATCATCATCATCCTGCCACGCGAGGACGGAACAAGAGCTCCGAACCTCCGAGGGCCACGAGGGCCACGTGGCGTTCGGACAGGCGGCGTTTCGGAAGCCCTCGCTTCCAAAACTAGGCATCAAGATTGGTCCGGCGATCCGGGATACCCGGTAATCGGGAGCGCAACAACCTCGCCTACAGTCCATCGATGTGCCACCCATTCCAGAGTCTATACAAGAAAAACTAAAAAAGACGGACACATTTATTGTCTAGCTTGGGAAATGGGACATGAAGCGAAGCCTCGAGGCACGTCGGCGGTTGCCGAGCTCACAAGAACATTGAATCGCGCCATGTTTCAGCGGGATACCGTCTATCGTGTCGCGCAACCAGACCCAGAACAAGGAGTGATGAAACCAGGAGTCATTTCTCAAGACAACCACAAACACGCGTCGGGCCGCGGCTGCCCGTTTTTCCCATTGCAAGGACCGGATGAGCAAAAATCGATAAGAGGATTCACCGCAGCGGCGTGGGTGTTCCAAATCGCCAGTGGGTTTGTCCAGCTGATTCGGGGGACCCATTCCAGTTGTCAATAAAGTTATTGTGAGTGGTGGGTGGTAATACATTGGCATTGCAGTGTTTTCCTAGCCATAAACATTAGAGGGTGTATGCGATGCTTAAGAGCAATATCAAGAAAACATGTGACAAAAGAAGCAAAACAAGAGCGCAAAGCAAGCAAGAAAACGAAGAAAAAATGCAGTCATGATGCCCATCCGTTCCCACCTTCAGATGTCCGCCGATGCTATCTTGCCCCTGCCCTAGTCCACGATCGTAAGGGGGCGGCGCGCGTTAGGAACTCCATCCTAGCGAGTCGCCCATCCGGTTTAACACCAGCGTCGTCATAATTTCGGTAACGAATGGCAGGCCTGCTGGCTGAATCGTGATCCTGGCGTCGAATTCGTCTGTGGGAGACGATAGCTCCCAGGTTGCGTAGGTAGTTCGTCTGTCGGTGAGCTACATAGCCGAAGAAAAATGTCAGCAGCAACTCGATTGAGCCAAACGAGGAGAGAGGGGAATATGTGAGTGATCAAAGTCGGCTGCCGCATGGGGCATACGCGCAGCAAGAAGGAATCGATCTTGACATGGGGCCGTCATCGAAGCCTCGCGCGAGTAAGAGAACGGTGAAAGCCCCGGTCCAAATTGAAAGAGAACATGCGTCCTGAAAGCGACCTAGACAAGACGTTTGCTACAGCTAGACTGGCCCCGACAGTTCGTCAAGCTTCGAGGCCCCATCGAGAAGACCAAGTGACACCGACCATTAGGAAAGGAGAAAAAGAAAAGAAAAGAGTTAGATAGGTAACATACCTCCATGCGTTGTTGTGATATCCGCCACTTGAATTCTTTGCCGTTCTGTGCCATGAAATATCGTGATCTGAGTATAAAGGTAAGCTACTGCAAGCTGGAAACGTGAAAAAGACTCACAGGCTTGCCTCCGTCTTCTGCCTCCGCATATACGCCATGGGTATTGAGTTGCGATTGTTCCCGTACATGAGGTAGCCGGGCAAAGGAGTTGGTGTCCCTGCTCCATAGATGCTACTACCGCTCGCGGGGACTGAGGGCCCAAAGTAAAAATAAGCAGCGTCGGGACCCATAGCGCCAGGGTGGTGTTGTGTCCAGACGGCTTCGCGTATGAGTTTGACGACAAGATTCGGGTTGTGAGAGACCTATTAGCGGGCTGTAGCTTCGGTGCAAACGCTCAAAGAGTAGGGGGTGGCGTACGGGTGATCTAGAGAGGAAGAGACAATGCAATCAGCCCTCGTTGGTGGAAAGCCAGGGCGAACAACGCACACAATAAAAGCAGAACGACCCTCAAGGTCGAAAAACTTGGCGTTGAATACATCGGAGCCATATTGAAGCAGTACGTAGGTCGTGGCAGACATGACGGGGAAAGAGAGAAAGAGTGGACGTGGTTCCGGAGGTGAGTGTAAATATCAGGAGCACACAAGAACCCAATCAAGTAAGATCCCCTTTCCCACGTGGTGTTTTCGTACATACTCTGGCCACGCGAGGAAAGTACTCCCACGCCAATGCCACGTGGCAGATCTGGACTATCTCTCGTTTTCTTTCTTGACTTTGTCTTGACCGGTTAAGTAGTAAGGGTTCTGTTGTCGATAACCGAATCTCAGTCTGTGACTCAACTGCACCTACTAGTTGCGTTGTCTTCTAGCCTCTTTTTCAACCACCATGGCATCCATAATGAAAAATGCGATTCGGATTGATCCTGTCCGATCATAATATGTCTCTTTCCTTCCAATCTCCGACGTGCAACTTGAGAATTCTAATCCCGACGAGCTCGGTGGCACCCTCGCCTCTGCAAGAACATCAGAAGAGGGCCACCAGGGCCTTACTATTGCTGTTCAGACCAATCAAGAGCGGGCGCTCTGCGCCGTATGTGCCACCACAACCTTTCTACAGTCTCGGTCAGCTGCTAATTGATCATCTAACTCGTAATCTTTCCCCAGTTCACCTCTGGACCATGGCGATAACAAAATATATTCTCTGCCCCATTATTTTCCCCGCCATTCAGCCACGGGAATCCATGACACAATTGATGTCAAACAAAACGCCCATCTTCATCTTTTCATCCAACTTCGATATCTACCGCTGATCCTCCGCTCGCGTGGCGTTGCTGAGACGACCGTGAAGCTTCCGAACCCAGGAAAATCCATGGCTAGCGCAGGTTAGCGCCCGCTGAAAACGCTGGAGTTGATAATGATCTAGTGGCACGGAACGAGGAAATGTCTTAGAAATTAGAGACGGAGCGCCGAAAGCCCAGTTTGCGAGGCTACCTAGCTGCTCAAACGTGCTCAGCTCGCGCCGCCAACCGGCATCTTTTAGGGAAGCCGTTATTGGAACGGCTCGTGGAATCAGTTGTCCAACAACGTTGCCGAGAACTAGATTCAGTTGTTTCCACTTCGCATCATCGGACACTGGACCGTGGTTAAGGCTCAGCATTCATCCGGCTGTCTCCGGTGCGCGATAACGGGGAAAATTTCAAACCTTTTGGATGTAAGTTTTAGCGCTGCACTGAGGCCTGGGGTGCAGTCATAGGGCAAGTTAGAAGATTCAAGTTGTTGATGTGATTGGTGACCGCAGTATAACTCCAACCTGGAAAGGAAAGGAACAAGCAGCACTTAGTTGACTTGTTGATAATGTAGAATTGAGCGGTTGCTTGTTGTCCATTCCAAATCCAAGTGGGGGATTTACCTGCGTAGACTAGAAACACAAGCAGAACTTGAAGGATTGACTCGGATGAATCGGTGCAGGTCTTGTCCAACGCCACAGAAGATCCAGCCATAAGTGCAACGTGGGGGACTTGCTTTTACATATCCCCAGTGAATATACTTGATCAAAGCAGGGCATAGAAAGTACACCAAAAATAAAAGCGGGGGAGACAGACAAATTGAACCCAACACTTCCCGCCCTAGATCTCGTAGAAGAGTTGTGAAAGCATTTGAAGCCACGACTATGGCTGGTGTGTCTCCATTTCAGTATTGGTATACAAATCAACAAACAACGACAGCTCACTTCGGAATCCAGCGTTCAAAGCAATCCTATTGAGCCGACTGGCTGCCAAGTAGGGCACAGCGAATGGATGATTGACCACCTGCCATTGATCACGATTTCTTTCCGCACGACGGGTAAGTCTAGCATGTCTGGCTTGATGCGAGGTTGATGAGCACATCTTGGGGATTCTTTAGGCGTTGGATCGCGGTCACGTTTAGGAGGATTTAGTCCAAGAATACAAGAACGAGAGCGTACATCAAGCCGTTGTCGGCCCGTCGAGCATGCGCTTCGAGTACATACCATAAGACGAAACCATTGGGTGTGGAAGTAGGTAGCGCCCGGGAAGAAATTCCTCAGGATGACGAAAAAATCGATGACGGTTTCATGTTCTTTGGAAAGGGTGGCTGCGAAGAGCTGAATGGCAGACGTTTTGTTCGTTGAGTTTTAGGTAGCAAATTGAATCTTCCGTTAGGTTTCTCACCTCTTTCCTTCACTGCACAACCATGCCCCTCGCAACCAGCATGGTGAGCCTAGCGATCGCTCTACTCGGAGTCAGTATTGTGAGATAAGGGAGATGCAATTTGGATAGCACACGTACGATCAGTTGGAATGACCACCTCTAAACTCAAAGGGCTAATGCTCCCTCCTGCTCGTTTGTCGGAGAGTAGTTGCCAAAGTGCGTATGTGAATGTACTCCGCAGAAGAAGTGAGTCCTGGCTTCAGGAAGTGAGCGCGCTGAGCGGTTTCAAGTTCGTGATTGGGTAACGACAACAAACTCAGGATGACAAACGTGGGAAGTCCGATCATGATCAACACTTGTAGTGTCTTCCAAACTTGGTCTGCGACGTAGTCCCATTAACCCCATGTCTCTAACGCCCACAACCTTTTCCTTGGTCGGAGCGCGGTCAACATCGCGCTCTGGTACCCCCGCATCCAATGCTGGAGTCCCCACTGGCAGCGAATTCCGCGCTTCGGCTTCCTCTCGCTCTGGTTCGGTGGTGGTCGTTTCCGATATCAGTGACGAAGACGACGAAGAGTCTCCCCCTGACACGCCCGCCTCATATAATGGCATGTCCCAGTTCCACGCCTTTAGAGAGAACCTCGATAGCGTGGTTTGCGAATGGAACGATTGTGGCGAAGTTTTCATGTACCTGCCACCGCTGATTGAGCACATGAGTGGTGCGTCGATACCGGTCACAGTGCTGTCAACGACTTTAACGCGTCTCTAGCCCATATTGGAATGAACAAGCCCAGTTATTGCTGTGAATGGACAAGCTGCGCCAGACGCGGGATGACACAGACCTCTCGTTTCGCGCTCATAGCCCACATGAGATCGCATACTGGAGAGAAGCCATTTATGTGTGCTCGTCCAGGTGGGTTTTATTCTCTAAGTATCACTCTAACTAGCCGCTAACGAATAAATGCATTCTAGAGTGCGACAAATCATTTACGCGGTCAGATGCTCTCGCAAAGCACATGCGCCAGCAGCACAATGTAGAGCCGCCCAATACTGGCAGGCTCCGCAAAACCAAATACCCTCGCATCCAACCACCACTTCCGCCACCCCCACCCCAGCCACATACACCACCTACAGAGCCTGTTTTCACGTCATTCAAGCTGCCAGGGCAACCAGATGTGAACGAGCAGCAGGAGGCAGAAAATCAGAAGGAATTAGAGGAGAAAAAAAAGACAGTGCTAACGGATTCCACCACCCGTACGAGAAGCAGAAGCGGACGAACGCGTGATCCACCCGACGAGACTATGGAGGGACAAGCGCCACCACCCACGCAGTCCGGCTCTTCCACTCCAGCCACTCAACCAGCGACTGAAGGGCCGAGTATGACCAACTCAAATGGCACCCCAAACGGCCAAATTCCACAATTCGAGATATCGATGGACAATTTAAATCCAGGAACTGAATGGCCTCGTCCTGGATACCCTCCACTCTCACCGCTTCCCGAAGGAGTGCGGACACCACCATGGCTAACTTACCCTGATGATAATAACGCCACGGACCCGCTACCGCCCCGGCTGCGAAGTCGCGTCGACCCTGACAATTTTAAAATAGACGGCCACTCGACTTCCAAGGTCATGTACCTCATCACCAAAGCCAAGCACCAATACGCGTTGCAACGCCACGACGAACTCCGAAATGAGTTATACGCTGTGCGGGCTGAGCTGTCATATTATGAAAGCGAGAAGGAGATAGCCCTCAATAACTTGATGCGGGAATACTTCGGGTGAGTTTCTTCCTTAACGCAGCCATTTTTTTTTGCTTATGTATTCTGCAGTCCTCGAGCCGAACATCTTATTGAAGCTGTACCTCTACCACCCAGCGCTTTACGACCAGAGGTACAACCGACAGATATCTTCAATAACTCGACGGCTGCGTTGAACGCCGCGAATATGTTGTCCAATTATCGACCTTGGTCATCACAGCCGACTACTAGCTAGCAGCGACTTGTTATATTTGCTTTTAAGTGACGATTTAGTGCCCCGAGGGAAACTTGAGAATGGCAACCGTAAAGCAGCGTAAAGCTCGTATATTTTCATCGCAACCGTAAGATATCATATTACCGGAATGTGAACGTTCCTGTCCATGGAAAAGGACCTTGTACAACAGAGAATGAGAGAGCCAAGACGGAGACGACATCAGAGCTGATCTCCATATGCAGGGGGTAATCGCCCACTTGCGCTCCGACTAAGGGAGACATCTACAGGGCCGGCATCGAGATGTCTCTCACTTCCACTCCTCGTTGAGCGGGCTGCAGGGCGCTTTAAATCAAGCTCGTCCGCTTCAAGGAAAGGCTCTTCTGATTCCCACCGCTCGCCAGAAGTCGGTGTAGTGGGAGGTCGTTTCCTGGGCAAGAGCCCAGCTTGTGGTCGCGGTGATTCATCATTAACATGCAGATCACTGCTACTGGTTTGGCCTGCTGTGTGGAAGCGGCGTCGGGGAGTGAGTGGGTATCCGCTGCTCGTGCTCTGCGTGTCATATGGGTTGTACATTGCCGCTGCTCCGACCCCTATTCCAGCAAAGCCAGGGTCTGTTTGCGAGCCTGCAGCTGAATACGGCGAGCTGCTTCCTCCCGCTTCACTTCGCGGACCAAAACCAGAAGCGGAGGGGGCACCACCAAAGTAGTCTGATGCGCCGCGTGTATGGGCAGAGGTAGGGGGAATATTTGAATATGGGTAGCCTGGAAAAGGATAAGTCCGAGCCAGTTGGAATGGATTCAGCATACTCGTGGGCACCAAACTCTGGTCATGGACGCCGACGCTATCCCTTTGCCTCATATTTCGACCGCCTAATGGTTCCTCCAATATACCTGCTCGTTGTGGCTGCCTGCGTTTATAGAAACAGAAGAACCAAGCCAACAAAGCGCCGACAACGACAGCAAGTCCTCCAATGGCAATACCGGCGATAGGACCTGCACCAAGGCTACTAGTTGTCTTCGGGGCATTGGTATTGGGGAGCGATGTGCCCGAAGAGCTTGCGGACGTTCTCGATTGCGAAATGGGGAGACTTGATGAGGTGTGGTTCACGGTTGTTGAAGCACAGTGGGTGAAAGAGTTGTTGTTGGCTACGAGATTGTCCTTGATGATTGTGTCGCGGGTGAAGACACTAATAGTAGCTCAGACAAGGCAGGACAAACAAGCTGGCAACGCACTAAAACCATGCTCCGTCACCCCACCCATTCCCGTACAAGTCGTCGTTGATCTTGATTCCCTGATTACAGACAGCGGTCTGAATGTCTTTAGGGAGTCCTCTGGAGGCGCTGCAAGTACCCAAGTAAAATCCGTATGCACCAGTGCCCGCATCAAAGCCTGTCCCAGTTCCAATGTTTTGTTGGCAGCTAAACACACATCAAACGTTGTTCCAAGAGAAGAGAATGTGACCGGACTTGAGACAAAGCATGCTCAGAGCAAACGCGACATTATTGCAGCAGCAACTCGAGAGTTGATCAGTACACGCGTCGGGAGGAGTGTTGACATTCTGGATGCCGACAGTATCTGAGCTGGTGAGCCGATCTTCAATAACAACTTCGAGAGAGTAACTACTTACATTGGGAGTTGCATATTTGCCTCAGCTTTTGATACGTCGTGCCTTTAGTAGCGGGGGTCAGCATTGACATATAATTGTGAATAAAAAGCAGCGCACAAGGTGTCTCCCCGACCATGCCCGTGTACCAATCCATCCCAGTTCCATTGCAGGCGAGGTTGTCGGCCGCTACTGTGACAGCGAGCAGCAGAAGGCCGGCAATGAAGAGACGGCGTCCTCGGTGAGAGGTCATTAGTGGCGGGAAGCAAGAGGTGAAATTCATTTGTGATGTTGGGACGCGGAACTGCGTTTTGATGCGTTGCGGAAACGAGGCACTGAGGCCGCTCACTGCCCAAACTGATGCTAGACAGTGCAGTCGGTTGACAGAACAAAGTTCTCGTCCAGGCCTGGCGAACATAACAGAGAGCCAAATAGTACTACTCTAGCTAGTGTTTTCGATTTGGAAGGAATCCCGGTTTACGGCAGATATTTGCCGGATCCGAGCCAGATCGGTCCGTCGTAGGCAATCAATCTCTTCGAAGTCTTCCGATATTGAAGCAAGTTCTCTACGCAGACTTGCCATTTCTTGTCAGAGGTTCTTTGCAGCGCTAATGACCTCGCGGGGCTTTTTACCCTTACCGCCCACTCGGAATGGGCGCCGCCTCACTCCACTGCTGACTCATCTGCCTTACCGTCTTGGAAGCCATGTCACAAACGCCATCACGTGTGCCTTTTCACTACGCGTGATGCCGCCGTGTTTGCCTCAAGTCGCAGAAAAGTAAGTAATTCAATATTAATAGTATACTATTGAGATAACAATATAGCCAAGATACTCTAAATGTCTGCCTGGTGAGTAAACGCGGCGAAATCAGAATTAGGATATTGAGGCTTGCGCGCAAGTCCAATGGATCGTAATAACCGACGCAAAGAAGACGATCCTGTCTTGCCCTCAGGAATGTCAGCGTCTTGTAACGCACTTTTCTTCGAATAGTGCGGAGTCGCAGCATCGGGGACGAAGGGTTCATCCATGCCAAGCAACTTGCTGGCCTTGCTACGAGGAACCCAGCTCGTGTCGCGTTTCCCGGGGCTGTCTAGACCTGGGTCTAGCGCTAGCGTTGACAGCGACCGAGATCGCCTCCTTGCGTGGTCACGGACAGTAAGAGCAACGTCCTTAGGCTGCTCCTCTTCCTGGGATTCGGCTCCAAATGTCGAGTCGCCAGACCCAAACCACAAAAAGCTGGTACCCTGTTGTGAGTTTGCAGACGATCGACGATGCCGAAGTGAAGCGGTGTCCGAAACAGGACGCGATAGCCACATATTGCCAGTGCTCGCACGCGAATTGGAGTTGACACTGGCAGTATCTTTGACGATGCCACTCGTAGATCGGTCGTGAGCAGCTGGAGCGGGAGTGAGAGTAGCCAGATTTTCGTTGACTAGCTTGGATTTCTCTGATGACATGCCTCGAATGCCATGCCCGTCATCGGATTCCGCGTCTTGAGTCAAGATAAACGGACATGGTGACCTCATCGCAAACTCCCGTCCGACCAGCTCACTCAACAAGTCCAAGTCGAGTGATTCCCTGCTAACGACGGTTGGATCGTCACCAGACGTCTCAACCCCCACCACACTACGCGACCAAACCGCATCTGGAGTCGAAGGACCATCAGATGACAGTGATGGCGAGCGGCTACTTCGCAAACTGGGGGTGCTGACACTGGCAATAGTGCCAGAGGGAGAATTCTGAAGACTGCTTGCCCGGGGCGGTACCGCGGTCGAAACTATGCTCATCGTGCCATTTGTAATGATGTGCAACTGTTGCGAAAAAGGGGGCGGTGTTTGCGATTTGATATCCTCAGTGGGTGGAGCAAGCGAAATACGTTTGCCGCCTTCTCCGCGCAGCGATTTCCTTTTAGCTGCCTTGGCGGGCACAGGAAGAACGACTGTCGAGGCGGAGAGGCCGAGTCGCGAAAATCGCGGGGTATCGGGATCGCCAAACGGAAGAGACGTAAGCCAACTGTCGCCGGTGTCATTGTCGACACGGTCTGGCCCAAGGGCACTTAACAGCGAAGTGCGGCTGGAAGAATTGGACCTCGAGAGTGAATGGCGTTGGTTCGAAGATGCTTGCGTCCGCGCAACGGGGTAGTTAGGCGGGGGGAGTGGGAAAGCAGCGAGATCAGGTGTTTTAACGATTACAGGCATATTCGCTGAAGTCATCTCGCTGCGTGAACGAGCTCTCGAACGACGACGAGGAGATAGTGGAGGAGGCAAGGGTAAATCTAATTTCATCCCTGAATGAGCCAGACCAAGATCAAGGCGCGCAGGTGGCTTTGCCTTGTATCCAGGTTCCGATTTGATGCCCACAACTCGTTCGTTTTTCTTGGGAGCTGGGAGAGCGCTCGATTTGCGCGGTCGTCTAACTAAATCGAATATTGAGGCTCGTCGGGAAAGATTCTTCTTGAGCGTGGAATCGGATTGTGTAGTAAGAGAACGGAGATTTGGGGAAGAGGCTGTCCTCGTTGGGCTTGGAAAAGGGGCCATTGCAGCCTCGTCAACTTCTACAACATCGTCGCAAAGTGATGGCCTTGCGAGAGGAGAAGACCGAACAGGCTTTCGCATAAGCCCCAAACTGTGGCGGCGGGACCTTTCTGCAAGGTCGATGCAAACTTGAAGAGCATCATCTTGCATTACTTCTGTGATTGTGGTTGGCATTGACAGAATGGATGATGGTTCGGAAGTGTTGGAATGCGGTCGTTCGAAGGGAAGAGCAAATGTGGACGTGGGGAGGTCGTTCATTGTAATTATACGATGCGAGAAAGAGTGTGCTAGCTGGAAGAGGGTTAGTTGGCTTTGTTTACTCATCTCCGAATATGTAGGCAGCTTGCACTCACCAATATTAATGGCCACAGAGATTTTGTACCAGTATAATGGCTTGAATGAGAGTATTTTTTTCAGGGAGCGGGAGCGGGAGGATGGCGGGAAGAGTTCATGAAGAGGTGATAGAGCCCCTTTCGTACCAAGTAACGCTAACGGTGGTGATCAACATTGTAGAAACCACAAGCTTTAGGGACTGATAAAGTGGTTGGATGACGTCGTCCTGTGAACCGAAAACCTTGCTTTTACCCGCTCATCCATTCGACAACTCTCTACTTCAGTGTAGTAGTGTTTGCAGGTAACTGAACTTTGAAATCGATATGTCGGCCCCAATTATGGTCAGGGGTTCACGTATCGAGGACCAGTCCGATGTTATATGGACACGTGACCGTTTGCACTCGACCAATTTTTCTACTTTTATGTGGACACTAGGAAGTTGCAAATAATTGTGCTGAAGTCTGGTCATGAGCATATGTTCTCGCATGCGAAAAAGCACGACATCTCAACCCTTCGCTTAATTCTGCTATCTTCATAAACCGTGCCATTGCCTGAGACGACACGTCAAGTCGCCAGGCGACCTCCATGTTGAGTTCCCTCACCAAAGCCACCCGGGGGTTGTCGTCCTCCTGACTGGTAATACCTAACCGCACTCTCTCTTCGAGGGTTTCCAATATACCCTCCACCGGATATACACTGAATGTTAAACTCTCTAGATGAGGGATCAGTGTACCCTGTTTGATACCCGCCAGTACGTTGGCATCCCACTCGCTCGTCTCGCAGAAGTATAGTTGCAAAGATTTGAGTGACGGCATTCCACTCAGGATATGCACAAGGTGTTCTGAAGCGATGCTGTAATTGAGGATGGCCAGACGCCTCAACGAGAAGTGAGACCGCGAAACCAAGGCACAATAGGCAGAATAGGGAAATGGGGCGATTGGGACGAAACCCACTTCCAGTGGCCGTAGTTCGAGGTCGACAAGCGCCGGAAGAGTGAGTGGCCGGAGAAAGGACAAGACATAGTCATCTGATGTTACAGCGGGAGAAGGTGCAAATTCGACCATGAACACACGCAGCTTTTTTAAAGTGCAAGGTCCGAGTTTTTCAAGTTCATCGGTGGCACCAGCATGGCTTTGGATGATCGAGCAACTGCATTCTTCAAGATTTGGCGAGGCTTGGAAGACAGAATGCATCGCCAAAGGCAAAATGTATGTTGCGATGAGGTGGAGGGCAGTCAACTGTGCCCAAGGTAAACCGAGGACAGCGGGATCGATACTGCACATATCCGTTGAAATAAGTACACGACGCAGCTGCGGCGCTGATTGAAAAACATCGAGAGGTTGACGGAAGGGTACAGTGGGCCCTAAAGTCTCGAGGGAAAGAACCTCGAGATTGGTGATGGAATGGCTAGGAAGGCAGAAAAAATCGTCGATCGACGCTTCAACAAAACGGAGATCGAGTTGGCGATAGCGTGACGCGAATGGGACGACCAGCTCTTGTACAATGTCAACACCGTGCTGGAGTAACAATCGTTCTGCCCATCTAGATGTGGAATTGCGGAGAGTGATGAGGGATTCGCTCTGGCTGAGCCAATGTTTCGCGTATGCTACCAGTCGCAAAGGTTTGGAGCAGTTGGTGAAGTCAAGAAAGATATTACACCACAGATTTGGAGTCTGGAGAAGGACGTATCTCCATAGTCGACAGGTTTTTGCGATTGCGATTGCGATGGAATGAGGAGGTGGGGGAATAATTATTGGGTCCATGATACAGAACCCAAAAATTGACGACAAAAGCTCAACTGGGAGCTTCTGGTAAAGCTTTGCATAGGGGAAGGTATTGGCTGTTGCTTTCTCAGATGAGAGACCCAACTCTTGAGAGAAGATCGGCATACTCACCCGACTTCACCAGTCTAGTCCCACTATTTTATACACGGGTAGGTCCCATCAGGAGTTTTCGTCATCCCCTAGCTTCAGTTTCTGGATGGAACTTGGCTCACTCCCATACGCAACGATCAAATTTGTCGGACAAGAAGGGCGGACCGTGACGCGAAATGCGTCACTCTTGCTCATCCACCGCACTCATGCAGGGTGCGATTGGTTCAATCTGACACTGGTGGTTTCAGAAAGGCGACCCATCTGTCGACCGACACTCTTTGGAGACACACTTCGATGTCCGAGAACGCAACTATGTACACCTGATGCCTTAAATCCGATTGTTGGAATTCAAGCCCACGACAGGTCTTCGCTAAGCGGAGAAGTACTCCTATATATAAGCACCTAATGCGCTTGGTCGAGCAATCTATTCAGCCTAAAAGATGTTTTTATATTCGAAGCGCGTTACAGTCTCTACAAATTCACAAAAAAACCTCATTTCTCTGTGGCTACATTCCCAACTCTCCAGAGGCATTGCTAGCGAATTAATAGACTCCCATGTTGTCGTTTGTTGTTGCTCCGTGTAACAACAACGATTGATGAAACACAACTTGATCCCTTCGTCGTTGCTTGGATTTGATTAGGTCGTCATTGCTACATATTTACATAGGCTACATTCAGGACTCATAACCGTCTTATCTTAAGGAATGACACAGTGTAAGATGCTTCAGCCTACTGGTCTTCACAGAAAAAGAGATAATAAACCCCAAAAATCGCGGCTGCCATCACGAAACGACGTCACAATTCACGGTCAGAAAAGTGTGATTACCGACCTTGCTCTCGTCGTTGTCGTCGACGATGGACCGCTCAGCGCCAATGGGGCCTCGGGCTCCCCATGAACGCAGCGCTGCATACGAGGACATATTTGGTCGCCGACCTGCCCAACAACGGCCTCCCCCATCTTCTTCGTCGGCCTACTACCAACCTCATTATCCGCATTTCCAACAACAGCCTGCCCATTATCAGTACCCTCAACAATACGGCCAGCCCCAATATCAACAACAGGCCTATCTCCAGCCACAACAACAATACTACAACCCCTCCGTCCATAGTTCCCAACAGCATCCAGGCTACCACCCTGGAGTCATCACCCAACCCCCCGACAGGCCGCCAGACTCGAGAGGACTGACTCCGGCGCAAGCATATCAGGCTCAAGTTGCCTATGGGTCAGGCTGGGCAGATCGGAATACCCCGAGCCCAGCGCCTTCAACAAACGGCCACCCTAGACATCATGCTACCGCACCACCGGCGCTGAGTATTGCAATTGGCGAAGGTTCAGGAAGGCTAGGACTCAATTTTGACTCGGGTTTTACCGAGAGTCCGGTGTTGGCGAACGGAAGCGGGAATGGGAATGCGGTCGAGGTGGTCGAAGAAGACGACGATGAAGAGAGCGAGCTTCCATGGGCAAGACGTGAGTCGTTCTGTCCTTCTATCGAACCGTTTCAAGCGATTGCGGACATGACTTCGGCTCCACATTCCGCCTTGCCTTGGCCATAATGCATGTATCGATGGCTCGACGTCATGATTTCTCTCATTCGCACCCGACGCACTCGCTTCCCGTCTTTCCCAGGATTCGAGCGGCCTCTTTCCCCAATACCTACCATCTTCCTTTCTGTTTTCTCCTGCTGAAATGGCCTCATCATGTCTGACGCTGACTCCCACTTTTTTCCCATTAGCCGCCTCGCAACGTGAGTGAACCACGCCTTTTTCTTTCAACTCCGACCCTTCGTTTCGCCTTTCTTCCAAACCTCCATGCTCTCCCTTTCCCCACTTTTCCCTTTTCGCAATCGTTATACTGCTCGTATGTTGTGGTACCCATCCGGCGATTCTTCTGCATTCCCGCTGTATCCCTGGTGTTAACTTGTCTCCAGATGTAGCAACACCTTCACCAAAACAACGTGAGTCTCTGTTCCTGGCTGAAGTATGCGCGACCATGTCACTTGGGGGTCAGGTTGTCGCGTTTTATTATTATCTTGGTGGGGAGTGCCGTCAGCAATGTCGGCCATCATCCTCGCCGTTCTCTCTCCTTTCAATGCTCGCACTCATTCAGAAACGCTCATACGTATCTACAGCGCCTCCGCAATATATTCAAGCACCACCGCCCAAGCGATATCCTCAACCACATCAAGGCCATCGGATTTCGAGCGCATCCGACACCCCGCCGCAATCACTCCGCTCTTCTGTTGCGAGTTCATCACCTGTCTCAATCGACCACGAGCCAGTTGGTCACAGCAACGGCTACGCCACGTCGCAGCTGTCTGGGACAACTCTGGCCTCCCGTCGCTCCTCTGAAGCGTCGCGAAACTTACCTCGATTGATGGGGCCGAGGCGAGAGCGAACGGCACAAGATAGGGCAATGAGCATGTCCGCTGTTAGTTCTAATACGCCAATATCTCCAATGGCAGGCTCTTCAGCATCTTCCCTTCCGACCATCGCATCTGCTTCCAACAAGAAGCCCAGGACGCCTATAGTCTACCCTGCGATGCTCTCACGAGTCGCCGAAGCATTTCGGGCCCGTGTCCCGGTCAACGACCGTGTCAAAGATGGCTTAACATATCACGATGCATTCGATGGGCGGGAGGCAGTCGATCGAATAGCCCATATCATCAAGACAACAGACCGTAACCTTGCTCTACTCCTTGGACGGGCTCTCGATGCCCAAAAGTTTTTTCATGATGTGACTTACGATCATCGGTTGCGGGACAGCGTTACGGAGCTGTACCAGTTTCGAACCAAGCTACCAAGCCCATTCGCTAGTGGAGAGGTAGCATCCGGAACCGGAACGAATGGTTCTGCTGCGAAGCTCCTTGGGGCCCCTGTGGAAGGAATCTTGTCGCCGGATTCGTTTGACGCGCCGACCACGATTGATCTGGGTCATGAAACGGATGAGGAAGAGGAGTTACCGTTACCAACGGGTGTGTTCACACTGTTGGCTGACTGCTACAGCCCAACATGTAGTCGAGATCAGCTATGCTACAGCATAGCGTGTCCGCGACGGTTAGAGCAGCAGGCAAGGCTGAATATGAAGCCACAGCCCGGGCTAAGGAAGGCGCGTTATCACAATGGAGCTGTCTCTCCACTAAGACTAAGCTTTCTTAGGAACCCTCACATGAATCTTTGCACGACAATGATACTGATTCGGCGACATTATGGATCCACTCTGTCCCTGCGGAAATCATTGCCAGCGTCAGCGATACCGAGAAAAAGCGACAAGAGGCCATAAACGAGGTCATTTACACCGAACGCGACTTTGTGCGAGACATGGAGTATTTGAGGGATATGTGGGTTGCACGGCTGGCAGCGGCAGATATCATTCCTACAGAGCGACGTGAACAGTTCTTGATTCAGGTGTTTTGGAATGCCCACGATATCATCACGGTAAACACCAAGGTGGGCTATTGTTGCAGCTATCCACCCACAATACTGAACGACATTTTAGCTACGAGACGCCCTCAACAAACGACAACGAGCTTATGCTGTGGTCGAGAAGATTGGAGATATATTTCTTGACGCTATTCCGCATTTTGAGCCGTTTGTGAGCTACGGAGCTCACCAACTCTATGGTAAATACGAGTTTGAGAAGGAGAAGAGTTCAAACCCGGCGTTTGCGGCATTCGTGGAGGTGTGTGCCATGTTTTGTGTCCTGAAATAGACTAAAAAGCCCCGGGGTATATTTAGGCAACGGAACGTCTTCCTGAATCTCGGAAACTTGAGCTCAATGCTTATCTTACCAAACCAACCACTCGATTAGCTCGTTACCCATTACTTCTCGAAGCTGTTCTCAAGCATACGCCCGACGACTCACCTGACAAGCATGTTATCCCCCAAGTTGTGGCACAAGTTCGCGCGTTATTATCGAGGGTCAACGAGGAATCTGGTCGGGCAGAGAACAGATTCAATCTCGCACAATTGGACTCGCAGCTAGTATTCAAACCTGGCGAGAAAGTTGTGCGTGTTTGTCAAGTTGAATTCGTGGACCATGGCTGAATATGAATATTGATAGGAATTGCGACTACAAGAGGATGGTCGGGAGTTGGTCTACAAGGGTATTCTTAACAAGCGCGATGGAGAGTTGCAGGTTTACTTGTTTGATCATGCACTACTATTTGCCAAGCTGGTCAAGACCAAGACGCACGACATATATCGTGTATACCGACGGGTATGTGACGGAACAATCTTACTTGAATTTCACTGAATCGTTCTCAGCCTATTCCATTGGAGTTGCTTCTTGTAACAGCGTCCTCAGACGAGACCACCAACAGCAAGGACACCCTACGCGGTCAACGGACACGACAATTAGTTCGACGAGGCTCTTTTGGTAGCCTCGCACCAAAGGGGATCACCGCATCCGCCTTCCGTTTCAGTCAGACCTGATGCCAAGGGCCCTAACTGGATAAATTTCTCGCATCTGGGCCGGAAGATGTATAGTTTGGTGCTTTGGGCTGGTTCACCACTCGCACAGCGCAAATGGATGGACAACATCATCAAACAGCAAGTGGCCATGCGTGAACGGAGTACCGTGTTCGACACAATTGCGCTCAGCGAAGGGTTTTTCGTTGCGAACAAGGTCAATTGTGCGGCGCCATTCAGTGAGTTGCCAGTCTTCCTTCGAATTTGCACAATTACTTACTTTTTTCTCGCAGGTGCTGGTCGAAGGATTGCATATGGTACCGACGATGGGGTTTATTTCTCCGATCTCCGGGAAATCAACAAAGACCCTGTCAAGGTTTTGGCTCTGCAAGATGTCACGCAGGTGGATATTCTTGAGGATTATCAACTGCTCATCGTTCTATCTGGTATGGCTGTTTGACTTGTCCATCTTGAATCATCTCCTAACCAATATGTGTGTGCTGTAGAACGACAAGTGTTCACATTCCCTCTGGAAGCATTAGACCCAAAAGATCCTATGGCGGGCCACAAACGAATGAAACGTATTGCAACTCATACATCCTTCTTCAAAGCCGGATTTTGTCTTGGTCGGGTGCTTGTTTGCATCGTCAAATCGACGCAATTGTCAAGTACATTCAAGGCTCTGGAACCCATCGAGCAGAATGTTCGTGGTCGAGCGAAACCAACATTCAAGAAGCTTCTCCAAGGTGGTAACGACACACTCAAACCATTCAGGGTCAGTCTTTTTTTTTTTTTGCTAGTTGATCGAACGATTTGATGATGATGGACTGCAGGAATTCTACATTCCCGTGGAGTCAACATCGATACATTACCTCAAAACTAGGCTTTGCATCGGATGCTCAAAAGGCTTTGAGATTGTTGACCTGGAATCGCTGGAAACGCAAGGCCTGCTAGATCCTGCCGACGAGTCACTCGAATTCGTTCGCAAACGCGAAAACCTTCGGCCAATGGCAATCTATCGTATTAACAATGAGTTCCTGTTGTGCTACGATGGTCGGTCAAGCACATAGGCACAATGGTGTAGACTGATTGGTTCATCAGAATTTGCTTTCTACGTGAACAAAACAGGACGGCGGTCAAGAAAGGACTTTATGGTATTTTGGGAAGGCACGCCCACTGGTTTTGGTGCGGACATGTTGTTGCAATTTCCCGATTGAGAGCTGACCCCTTGATAGCGCTTCACGAGCCATACGTGCTTGCCTTCGAGCCTTCATTTGTCGAGATCCGGCATATCGAGACTGGACTGATGTCGCAAGTGATCCAAGGCTCGAATCTTCGGCTCTTGTTCGCCGATACTCCTCCCTCTGTGAATAATGGTGGTGGAGCACCTGGTTTTGGATACGCCCAGCAGCCATATGACCCCTACAGCCCTCCTGGGTCTGCAAACAGTCGTGTGTCTGCTTATGGGGGCGGCGGCGGCGGCTACGGCATGCCTCCCTATATGCAGCAGTATCCCAACCAATATCCTCACCAAGCCCCAGTCCCTCCCAGATACCCTCAGGGCGTTGGTCGCGACGAGATTCTGATGGTATCAGATGACCGCGTTCTGGCGCTTCGCACGTCGGCTGGCCCGCAACGGTTCATGTCTGATAATGTTTCGATGATGTCCATTCCCCGCTAGCCTGTGTTCCATTCGTTGTTGTATTCTTTTGGGGCGAGGGCGGGCATGTTGACATAAGCATACTGATGTCATTTGTTGTGTTGTTGTTGTTTTCTTTTTCTCCCTTTCCGCTTACCTGATACATATACTCTAAAATATCTCGCATTGTACACCAACTTAAAACAACGGGGCTGCTTAGCTACATTTCTTGGCCTGAAAAAAGAAAGCTACAAAGTATTGATAATTTGTGGAATTGTGGGCGCCGCAGTGGACCAAACCTCGACCATCTCTTTCCACACCTGCTCCTGGACACGGGCCCCGTCTTGAGTGTAGCTCCATGCCGCAGATCTTATGGAAGATGTCAGTATAGCACAAGGTACATTCGAAAACAAACACTGACTTCCTGACTTCACAAGAGGTGACAAAGGCTGCGGGAGGGGTAGGCCGGAGGGCCGCCCAGGTCATATTCAACGCGCCTTTCTCAGCGGTCCAAGCAATCGCGCGGATGATGGTCCTGGATTTCCGGGTTCAGCATGCCATCCCCGATGGTACGAGTCGGGATACAGACATTACCCAGTTAGGAAGCTTGTAGTCGGAGCCAATGTTGGTGACGCAGAGCCCTGGGTCGACGACGCTATATGCGGTCAGACAACGAGAAGAAGGGGGCGATTGGGGGATATACTTGACGACGACGTTCTTGGCGATGGGGAGGGCGGCCAGTTTGCGGGCGCAGAGGACAAGGAGGAGCTTTGAGGTGGGGTACGGGTCCCCCGGCTTGTCCTCGTTGTTGAGAGCGTGAAGGATGCCGGATTTTTCGCGCTTTTCATTGAAGGTAGCGAGGAATTGCGCTTTCGCCCGATTAGCAAGCGGGGTGAGTATGCGACAGAGAAATTGTACATACCAGCAGAACCGGTGATAGTCAAGTGTGGTGCTATCGCCGTCGACTCCGGAAGTGGCGCGGGCAGCGACGCGGTTTTGCTGAGCAACGGAAGAAGGAGGATGCCGAGAAAACCGGTGGCGAGCGTGTTGACTTGTAGACTATTAGAGCGATAAGACATTGCACAAACGAAAGGAGAAGAAGAAGAGCAAACCAACATTGTCTCCCAGCCGTCGACGGTCTTGCGCCACCACGGCACGTTTATCCCGGCATTGAGGATGGCCCCATCGAGCCTGTCGAGCTCGCTGTTCGCTCTCTCCGCAAAAGCATAAACGCTCGCGAAGCTGGCCATGTCGAGCAGCCAGACGTCCATTCTCCCCGTGTAACCCGTCTCCGCCACCACTTCCTCGCGCGCTTTCTCGCCCTTGCTGCTATCTCGCACGGCCAGGATGATGCGTGCTGGCTTCATGTGCGCCAGATGCGCCACGGTTGCCAGCCCCAGGCCGCTGTTGCTCCCTGTCACGATGTAGGTGCGGCCCGTCAGGTCTTGGATGGTTTCAGGCAGGCTGGCGAAGAACTGGTCGGGGAGAAAGGTGAACAGCAGGAAGCGCAGTTGGCGTAGGATATCAAAGAGGCCCATCGTCGTCGTTGGGAGACAGCGCTACATAAGCCAGCGCCGCCGCTGACGAATCGGCATTTCTTGTCGTGAACGATGGTTACTTGAGAGATCAATAGCCTCAGTAAACGCGGTGGTGTGACAAGGTTGATTATCAGTAGACGCGGTGGATACAAATTAGTCGATAATAATATTCGCCTTCCAATCGTACGTTGTTTGAAGGTCAAAACCACAACACTTAGGTAGAGCTCAGAATCTCCGGAACTTTCGACGAAACCTCCGTCCACACCTCGACTAGCTCTTTCCACACCTGTTCCTGCACGCGATCTGCGTCTTTCGTGTAGGTCCACGACGCCGATCTGCGCCATCAGCACTTGAAGGACAAGTTGGAAGTAAAAGCTCACTTTCTGACTTCGCACGACGTGACATACGCGGCTGGGGGTGTCGGCTGGAGCGCCGCCCACGTGATATTGAGGGCTCCCTTCTCGGGGGTCCAAGCAATAGCTTTGATTATGGCCCTGGAACGGTTTTTTATGAGCGCTTCAGCCAGATAATGTATCGCGTGAGTCTCACAGCAGCCAGCCAGGAAGCTTCCGTTCCTCTCCACCGATATTCGTCATGCAGAGTCCTGGGTCGACGACGCTAGAAGCAGAGGTCAAGCATTATGATAACAGAACGAGGACTGCTTATACTCACTTGACAACAACGTCTTTGGCCAGAGGGAGCGCAGCCAAGACGCGCGCATATAATATCAGCAGGATCTTGGAGGTCGCATACGGGTCGCCCTGCTTCTCCTCGTTATTGAGTGCCTGTAGGATCCCGGATATTTCCTCCTTTTCGCGGAAAATGGCGAAGAATTGAGCTGGGTGTGATGAGTCAGCGACGAATATGTTTGAAACCGATAGGAACACGCACCGGAAGAGCCGGTAATGGTCAAATGCGGCACGATATTCGTCGAATCCGGGAGCGGGGCAGGAAGAGCCGCCGTTCGGTGGAGCACCGGCAGGAGGAGAACACCCAGAAGGCCAGTCGCAATGGTGTTCACTTGAAGACTGCCCTGCTTAGTAAGTTATACGAAAGGTGGACCACTCGACCCACATGCTCTCCCAGCCGTCCCCCGTCTTGCGCCAATGCGGCGGATTGATCCCGGCATTGAGTATCGCGCCATCCAGCCGCTCGAGCTCGCTGTCCACCTTCTCGCCAAATGCGACAACACTCGCGAAGTCCGCCATGTCGAGCAGCCACACATCGATTTTCCCTGCATATCCGGTTTGCGCAACGACCTCGTCGCGCGCCTTCTCGCCCTTGCTCAGGCTCCTCACCGCGAGTATAATCCGCGCGGGCTTCATCCGCGCCAGGCGCACGACAGCAGCCAAGCCCAGGCCCCCGTTGCTCCCAGTCACCACATACGTCCGTCCGGCGAGGTCTTCGACGGTTTCAGGCAGCTTGGAGAAGAGCTGGTCGGGGAGGAAGGTGAACAAGCCGTAGCGGAGAGATGCGAGGAGACCCATAAGGGTTAGTTTTGTGGAAAATACACAGAAACCAATACGCCTATTAAAGCAGAGGGCATTCCCGACGCTGTCGGGAAATCCCGACAGAGCCGGACATTACAGTGTTGCACTCTTCGGGAAGAGTTCTGCATATTATCGTGCGTCGGAAGGTGTCATTCTTCTGGATATTGGCTTGTTGCGTTGTCAGCAGATGGTGGTTGGAAGGAAAAAGTCAACACTGTGACGAGGAGAATGCCTGATGATGATAAGATAAGATAAGATGTGAATACAGTTACGGTCCAAATATACAGATTGATATACACGATGTCTAGATACAACCAGCTATCGATAGATCGGGTAAGGTATTACAGGCGGCGGATTTTCGATTGGAGCAAATGACCTAGAATTTGTCAGTCAACGAAAATATATTCCCATATCAGACCTACTTTAGGGCCTGCATATCGACTGGCGACTTGAATGCGATGAAGCAATGTGCGTCGTTGTGCGTGTCAACAGCCTCACACGCATCACAGTAGTCCGCTGCACAATACGCACACCGAAACCAAACACCTTGGATCCCAGACATACACCGATCGCACACAGCAACGCTATGCTTGAGCGTTGACAAATAGGTTTGTGGGTCCATGCCCAAAGGAGGCCCAGGATTGGTTTTGTACCTATCATTCAAGTGAGTACTTAACATCGAAGGCGAAAGTGATGAACGAACAATTTGGGAAGGAAGGGGTAGGGGGAAGCGAGCGGCTGTTGTACTGGTCGTGGTAGCTTGAAGAACACATGAGAAGGGTCGTGGACCGTATACGATCGCGCCTCGCAGTTCCCGCACTGGAGGAAGAAGTTAAACAAACTCAATAAACCTAGGATTTACTGACCAAGCTAACGCATTGCGGTTGAGACGGACAATTAGCACATTGGTAACGAACACCAATGATATTCTGAATGGCCCACTGTCAGAAAAAAAAATGATCACCAATCTGGCTTGACTCACCGATCCGCAACCATTGCAGTACATATGATGGTCCGTATCTGGGGGCAGTCGTGTCCCAGCACCAAGTACGGTTCTCGTATATCCCGAGATAACCGAATTGGCTTTCGGCGCCAGAGGAGGTTGTAGCCCAACACTCGCAGCATCACGACCTTGCCACAAGTGGTTTGCTCTACGGCTCGCCATTTCGACTTCGTCTGTTTCCAATGGATAAGGAATCTGAAGGATAATTATCGTCAAAAAAAATGGAGAACATCAATGCTTACTTTGATGGAGATGTGCGACGATGTATGACCACCATCAGAGGAGTCTAAGTTTCCAGGCAGTCCGGCAGACTCGCAATTAGAACATATGTCGATGTTGTCGCAAACCACGCAGTGGAATCGCGCTCCAACAATCTCCAACAAGCAGCTAATGAAAAGAGTGAGAGAGTCGGTCTGAAGGATGGTCATAACATACTGTGCGCATTTGACACCAGGGTGCACCATTGCTATTCAAATTAGGGTAAGCTAAGCAATTGAAGTAGCTGACGCACATTTCTCCCCTTCGGGCCCCAAGTCTGGCGGAAGTATTTCGAACTGATCCGACTCGCTGGTTCCTTGAACAAAAGCCTGGTCCGGTACAGCCAGGAAAGCATGTGATGGGTGCAAGTCGTGTACTTGACTGGCTCGTGCGTCAGTAGTGAACGTAAATTCACAGTCTCCCTACCTATAGCACCCCCTGCACAGATTGAACTTTTTGCAAGATGCACATTTGTACCTCTGATGGTAGGTTACAGCCGCGCAGGTGGAACATTCGTTAACTTGCGAATCATCTTGTTCTGCGTTGGCAATGAGTGACAGCCGCATAAGAGAAGAGAAATATATTCTTACCAACATCCTCCCATCCAAGATGTCCCCACACTTTTTCGCGATACGCGTGTCTTGTCTTGCCTTTCTGAGGAGCCAATCTCCGCCATTGCGATGCTCGTTGGGCATCTTCTGGTGACGAAGGAATGGTGTTCGGGGAAGAGGCACCGGCGGGTAAAGAATCCGAATTGCCTGTTATGGCGTGGTTGGCTCCTGCATCTTCAAGACAACCAGCACACAATTCATAACCAGGATCTCGTTCGCGAGGTGGAGGCGGTATCAGAGTTACCTGGGAGCTGTACATGCTTCCTGGTGGTAGAGAATGTCCCGGTAATCGAGGCAGCGGTTTGATGTGTTGACGCGGTCCAAATGAATCGACGCTGCCGGTTCGGAAGGACTGAGTTGAAGATCGTGAAGATGAGGAAATATTGTCGGAATAGTGGTGACCATTTGGCGGTCGAGGAGGGTACGAATACTCGGGCTCCTGTCCATGATCGTGATGATGGCCAGGATGCAAATGTTCATGACCATTTGGAGCAGACATACTGCGCCCTTTGCCCTTACTCGATTGACTGACAGGTCGCTTTGGCCCACAAACCACACAAACATATCGAATGGAATCCAGAATGACCCCGCACTCTGAACAGTCAGTAAGAGTATCGTGTGGGGGAGGTGTGACAGGAAGATATTGGAGAAGTTCTCTGGGAATATCGTTGATGGATTGGTCTGGCGAATGACTTTGATTATGAATGGGTTCTGGAGGAGGGGATGGTCGCAGATTTGGTTGGGAAGAGGCTGCCTGTTCCGCTAGCCAGTGAAGATTACGCGAAGACGGTCGTGGTTTTGCCTGATGCATCTCCTCGACTACAGCGTCATCATAGTAGCCAGACTCTCTTGAGTGAGAGGCTGATGATGATGTGTACGAGTAATAATATTTTCCTCGTGTGTCCTGCTCCAACGCAAGAGCACCACCCAGCTCTTCCTCTACTTGTTCAGGTATTGACGATACGCCAGACGAAATTGATGGCTCTGGTAGTCCACCCAACATGTTCTTTATCGTCCTCGCATTTTGGTCCCGAAGCCAAGCTGCTCCACGGTCACTATCACGCAGCCTTCGAGGGTCGTATTGAACACTGGAAGCATCATCTTGAGATGATTCTTCCATCTTGAGCCGCTCAAAGACGGCAGCAGGGTCGGATGGTGTTTCGGGAGGAGGGGGAGGGGGGATTCGGGTGTGGTCGGAGAAGGGATCGCTCGAGTCAGAGTTGTAGCGGAGTGTGGTACTTGGGCCAGCTTGGGCGGGTTCAGATAGAATGTCCCATGAATGGTTGGACCGGGCGTCGTTGAACGTCGGTCTGGCCGCGTGAGAGATGGCGTCCTTCGAGCTCACTGTGACTGAATCGTCGTCGACGTCAACAACGGAAGGCGCTCCGAACGAAAACGACTGCTGGCTCCCATTGCGATTACGAAATTCCTCGAGACTGACAAGGGAGCTTGTGTCAGACAGGCTGGGCCCATCGTAGTCCACCGTTATATGAACACGCAGCGTTATTTTCCGACTCCGAATACTATGGCCTGAGAGGATCGATGCGGCAGAGGAAAGTGGTGGGTCGTCCGCGCCAGCTTGGAAATACTGGATGGCCTCCGTCAAATCAGCGTCCGTGGTGATGTCCGTAGTCTCCCCGTCGTCGTCCTTGTATGCGATGGCGTAGCTGGTCGCATAGAGCGAGTAGCATTGTTCAACCTCAAGTATTCATGTCAGCCAGCCTTCACGAAACTCGGATTTCATTTGTCACCCTGTGTCGCAGGAGATCGTAATTGCAGTTTCGCGCAGAGGCAAACGTGATGCGTTTATTGGATCCGTCGAAAGCACACTTGACGATGAGCGGTCGGTCGGGGCGCTGGTGCATCGAAGCACCGACGAAGCTAAGATGGTGACTAATACGGTTTTGATCCAAGGTCATCACCGCATCTTCCACTCTTTCCAGCACAACTTCCAACTCCAGTACGTGCAACTCACACTCTCGATCCATTGACTTAATAATTGGCGGATATAGAATTATCAATGAATGCCATGAAATAACTTTTTTCTACTCTCTATTGAACAATGCACGATCCGCCACCTGGCGCGTACTTGGGGTCCTTGAGCTTGGCAAGACGCGTCGCAAATTTGGCGTTCCCTTTCTGGCCCTGGGCATATAAACCATTGGAAAGGTCGTTGCCCTTAGGAACATTCTTGCAGAGAATGTTCTGGTGGCGATCAGCGACTGTCAGTTGCGAGTTTGCTGCGGCCTGGTTCACGACTGCGTATTGGCGGAAGCTGTCTGTGAGATCGAAGTCTAGGTGGTGTTGGTCTCGGGTGGGATAGCTTTCTAGCCAAATTACACACCGACGGGGCCGTTTAGTGGCCCTTCAATCATCACATTTTGGTAGATGGTTTGGGCCTTGGCAAAGAATGGGCTCTTTTTGTTGACTTCGACGTTCGGGTTCTGGTTGTAGAGTTGGAACTGCGAACCAGTGAGTGCAGCCATTTGACGAATCTTCGATCACTCACGTCTTTCCAGTCCTGATTCTCGCTGGGGAAACTGAACACCTTCTGGCCCACACCATTCCAAGTGTACTCTGCACGACCATCCACCTTTAGGTCAAGAAATCGCGTAACAGGACTACATACCCATCACATCAACGCTCGCGGGTCTTTGGCCAGGGATACCGAAGCAAGCGAATTGGGCTAATCTCGGTCAGTGGGTTGTTCCAGCACATCATGAAGTAATTCTTACCTGCAGCAATAAGACTGTCCGATAGATAGAAACCTCCGGCAACCTCAGGCTGCAATTTTTCAATGGGGTCGTCAATAGACTGAATCAAGTATGCGCACCCTGTGGTTGAAATCTCCAGTCCCGCGTGTCTTACTGAGATCAACAGGACTCTTGGCCAATAGGGCGGCATTAGCGGCCGTTGTTCCATGGAACAGTGTTATTTTCCCCGTGCTAGCTGGGTGGGTGACACCAGCACGCCTGTCGAGTTCCCGTGCTTCGAGTTGGGCAGAGCTGCACTTGGTCACTTTTGCAGGTGCCGCGCCTTTGGCTGGAGTCGGAGCCTGAACCGGTAAGCATTGTGCATCACATTGTGAAAATGCAGCTGACCTTAACAGGTGCTTTTGCTGGCGCTGCCGGCTAGATTCGGACGTTAGGACAGATTTCTTCGGATGCAGCAACGTGCCTTGGCTGGGGCTGCTGGCTGGATGACCTGTGAGCTAATAATTTTACGTATGTTTTCAAAACTGACCTTTGCAGGAGCTTTGGCTGGAGCCGGTGCGGGCTTAGCAACAGGTTTTGTCACAGGCTTTGCTACCGGTTTGGCTACTGGTTTGGCTACTGGTTTGGCTACCGGTTTGGCGACAGGTTTGGCGACCGGTTTGGCGGCCGTTGCACGGACTTCCAGCTGGGGATCAGAGTCAGCCTACCATCGACGAAGTAAAAATGAAGACCAACAATGTCATCGTCGATCCACATCGGCTCACGGGCCTCCAAGTCGCGAACAATCTATGGCAGATCAACTATCCGCTCCTGCAGCACAGCCGGTGGCCTCACCAGATCAACAACATCGCCTGCCTGGGGAACTGGAGCCGCGAGCGCGACAGAGATGGTGTCTGCAGCAAGCAAAATAGAGCATATGACCGAAAAGAGTTGGAGTTTCATGGCGATTCAGAGCAAGTGGGCGACAGATAGGTTCAACCAAATAAAAAAACAAACGCGCGACGAAGAAGAGACAGGAAAAAGACACGAAGGGAGAAGGGCCGCTGGCCGAAAGAAAATGAATGCAGACATCGGCGAACTGGGCGCATTTTATACGACACCGAAATCTTACTCACCTCCACCTGAACGGTTTCATGGCGACCGACCTATGGCTGAAGGGACAAACAAAGTCCATTCATTCGATGATTGTTCAGTTCCTTTCCGCCCTTTGCAAATACATTTGCACGGTGATCTTTCTCGCTTCTCCGCTAGTTTTTTGGCAGTCAGATTGGAGGCATAATTGAATTCAATCGAAATTCGCAGTGAAATGATGCCTGCATCCAGTAGCCTAAAGGGACGGCAGTACAGCAGAGTACAGTCGTAGTAACTTCAGTTCGATTATCTGCGGAGAGTGAGGCCTAGTGAGGTTCAAGAAGCAACAGTAGTCGAAGACAAAACGCAAGTGTTCGGCCCAGTTTTATTACCTGTTTTGTCCGGCACACGGGCACACGGACATGCGATTTCGCCATTTGCGCGCCGCCTGCGCCGGTCTGTACCGGCACAACCAAGTAATTAAGTAATTAAAGCCTCAACCTCGGTACTTTCTTGACGACTAGTGTTCGCAAGTTATACAACAGATTACAGGAGGTAGCGTATAAGGTACACCATGAGTAGTTCCACAAAAGTTCCAAGAGGTTAGATAGCGAAATAACTTAGAGAAGCCACAGGCTTCCCAACGCGACCAAAATTCCGATCCAAGATACGGTATGTTGTGATGCTGATGATGGAGAAGAAGAAGTGCTATGAGCATTCTTTGCAGGCGGTGCAGCAGGAGGTGGGCGCGTCTGCCCACGGATGAAGGTATTCCACGCCGCAATGGTAGCAGACGGGTAAACGAAAGTCGAAGTCTTGTCGCCGGCCGCGTTTTGATAGACGATCCCGTCCGAGCCCGGAATCACGTTTTGATAAGCTCCAATCAGCTCCGCCGTCTCCCCGCCCACTGCCGCGATGTTGGCTGACGACACAGTGCCGGTCGGGTTGTTCCCAAACACAAATTCACGGGCAAACGTCAAAGCGGCCGCTGGAGTTTTGGCGGGTATGAGATGGCCAGTGTTATTGAAAAGAACGTAGGACCAGCCGCGTTCTTGATGCACGATTCCCGCAGGCTTGCCGCTGTCGTCGCGCCAGACAGTAGAGGGCTTTCTGGTAAAGCCTTGGATGCCACCAAAAGTGGTGTTCTATATCCTCGTCAGTCTCATTTTAACCCCCGCGGAGATCGGCCAACCTGAATAGTAACTAGGGCAAGATTAGTTATTTCTGCGGCAATCAGGCTGAAAAGGATCTACGAACCTTCGGTCCCCCGGTGAGCTATAAGCGCATCGTCGTTTCCTGAGTACAAGATAACGGAAACTTTATGTTTCGTGGCGTTCGTGGCAAATTCAGTCAAGAAATTCATGGGTCTGGAGCCCAGGTCAGGTAGACGATAATGGAGAAAGCAAAGAACGCACGGTGGGCCTGTAACTAAATTAGGAACAGATGGTATACAGACACGTAGAAATTGAACATACTGGGATCATCCTCTGTAACATTCGTCAAACAACTAGTTAGCGTTTAGGCAAAACGACTTACCGAGGTCACCGAATACGAACTCGAAAGATTGTTCCCAGTCCTTGCTCGTTGGCGCATGGAGCGCTGCTCGTGTGCGCGGGTCATTAAGAAAGGTACCCGAAAGGCCAGGCGAGCCAAATGGGTCCGTAATATCATAAACCTAAGATCAAATCAGTTGTGAAAAGCGAGCACAGAAACTGTTTATTCCGGACGTTAAAGGCATCTCCAGTGAAATTCCACGGTGCCGAGTAGTTTAATGCATAGTCGATGAATTCCGGGAGGAGTGCACAACCATACTAGAGAAAAATCAGCGAACTCGCATAATTTGTGTGCACCGGCTAATCTCGCACCCATGGATCGAGAGTCCCATTTGCACGTAAGCTCAGGTCACGCTTGGTCTGTTGGCGTTGCTTGGGTTCCAGCTCGGCATACCGCCGATGAATTTCAGCCATGAGGCCACCACGTTTCGCCAGGTTCTTCATAGCCGCGCGTTGGAGGTATGGGACATCCCGGTCCGTTGCACCGATAAATTTGACGCTTGGGATCACACCATTTTGTGGATAAGTTAGATTGATGTCGAATCCGCAGAGGTGTTCCCTATTAACGACCTCAGAAACTGGTGCAAGTGAAGAAGGACGACCATACTGCTCTTTGAAGTACTTGTATACCTCGGGGTCGTAACCGATGAGCTGTGGGTATGTCTCGATTACGTTCAGCTGAGAATGACTTAGAAAGATTTTTACTGATCCCATGCACGTACGGTTGGAAGGAGTTCAAAGACTTCGGCAGTGGTGATTGCACCGTCACCAATTACAACTTTGGCAATCTGAACCGGTGGCTTTGCCATCGAGAAGTATGCCTACAAGGGCAATCAGTTGCGTCCGAAAGTTACTAACTGAAAGACGGGCCTTCATAATATAGGGTATATATCTGGTATCCATAAGTCGCGTTCAGAGCGAATTTGGTGACTTACACTCCGGCGTAGCTTTCTCCGGTAAGATGGAGAGGGCGGGTAGCCAAACTAGGGAAAACTTTGACAAGATTGGCCAAAAAGCCCATCTGCACAAACATTGGTGACCGAGCATAGGCAAAGAAAGGACGAGCAGCGCACAAAGTCTGCACCCATTTGGTCCTCGTCAGCAACTAGCCAGAATATCAACAAGCGTGCAAGAATTATATAATCGACTCACTGTAGCCAGCTGCGTCTGCTGTCGAGAAGCCAGTACCACTGAAAACATTGTCAGAAGAAATAGCCAAACAAAGAGAAGGAATAAATTTACACTGGCTGATCAATCCAGAAGTAGTCGGCAACCGTGTCCCAGGAAAACTTGTTGGCGGAGATTTTTCCGTTTGGGTCAATTCGGACGGGCCCGTTCTGGGACTTGTCGTCAGAGCCATTTACAAGCGGTATCGAGAATAAAACATACCTCCAAGAAGAACCCCACCATGCTGGACGATCCGGGTCTGGAAGCAACGTGAGACTTGAATTACTGAAGAGAAGGTGACGTACCCTCCATTCAACCAGATGCCCCACGGATCGTTGCTCTTTAGTGCGGTTAGGGACCCCGGTTTTTTCTCGAGGCCCCAGAAGAAGAGCGTGTTATTGGGGTGGCCCGCGCGCTGCACCCCGATGTTGCCAGCAAAGCTCCGCGGTAAAGGAAATGTGATATTTGGAAGTGGGGAGGTAACTTGGAAGTCTACAAGACAGTTTCAACAAATAACATGATAGCCATTAAGAACGTACACTTCTGCCATGCGGGACTGTAGTCGCCGATGGGTTTACCAGGGTATACATGTGGAAAGGAGCTGGGAAGGCTGTCGGCTAAGATGGAAGAGACAGCGAGGAAGGAGAGGAGGAGGAGTCGTGAGATAGCCATGAGACCGCGGGAGGGCGAAGATGGGTGGATGAAGAGGGCCCTGGCCGTCTCTTAAGTATCGCTGTACGCCGACAATTGCGAGTTCTGGAAATACCCATGCTCCAGGCGGCTCAGCTTATTGTGCTGAGGGCAGCAATGCTGACAGCCGTCTTTTTGTCGGGATCCATATTAGGAAGGTAGCGTTGCCAAAGTTGGACCGCACACTGGCTTCCTGATGCCCATCCAGGGCTTGACTGACCAGCCAAGCTGGATTGCAGAAGCATCATCGACTCGGAGGTCGCTTGGTTGGACCAGACAATTGGAGAAGAGCGAAGTATATCTTTTCTCACGAGGAACACGCCCATGTGACTTGGACCTGTACGATTCTAGTTTCGTGAGTGTCATGCATGTTGCAAGAGCGACATGATCAGCTTGGCATATACTATGATATAGTACCTTGCAGGTAAGGTCATTCAAAGTAGCTACTTCCGTCATTTAGTTTCCCTCAGACTACTGACCCATTTCCTTCAATTAGGCCGGTCACGGTCACATGGGATTTTTTGGCCGAAATATTTCGGCGGGTCACGGGTCACAGCCAAATCTTTTGGTCCCAAAGTGTCCCAATTAGGATAATTTTCAAATTTTCCGCGCCTGCAGCGCGCCGAATTTCCTAATTAGGCAACAGGTCACGCGAAATTCGGCCTGCGGCCGAATTGAACATTTCGGCCAAACGGTCACGGGTCACAGGCCCGCTGAATTGATCGAAACAAGTGTAATAACCCGTGCCTATGGCATGGACAGAACTTTTGCAGCGCCCACACGGCCGCTCGCCTGCGGCTCGCAGCCGGCGGGCGGTATCTGAGGGGTGGCACGTGAAATCCACGTGTTTCACGTGCGTCCGCATGACTTTCTGTCAATGCCGGCACTGAGCTGTTTTCATATATAAGATAGGTCAGTATATGATGCGTTTTCTCTTAACTGGAAGACGGTTAATTATCAAGCACGCTAGGAGCAACCTTAGCTTACTAGGACAGTTTCAAGCCATTCTGGTAGCCCCAAATTTCTGCGCCAGTGCCGAGAAGCTCTCATCACGCATCGAAACCCAGATATCATAATCGAGCGCAGAGCGTAAATTGCCCCGTTCGTGGCAAGTATAAGCGATAACATCAATGTACGTGGCCTTGCCATCGCAGACACTGCGAAAACGTAAGGTCTCGGTGTATCCGCTGTATCGAATGGTAATGGGAGGAGGACCGGGTCGAGCAATGAAGGTGGCACCATTACTGTAGCAAGAGTACTCCTGGACCAACATGTCTGCGTAACTCTTGTCGGCCGTCAATGTCTCGTTGAAGACGCCCCCGCCTACAAAACCCGCACGGGTTGCGCCAGGCACATTATCTTCGCCAGTGGTTGAACTGACTTGGGTACCACCATACCACTCATCATCAAAGAATGATCTAACTGCGGTGGCGAATTTGTGGAATGGTGCGTTGTATGAATAGCTGTTTTGAATGAAGCCTGCTTGGTCGTTTGCTTCACATTTGATGTCACTAGGCCGATGAGCTATGGCTGGCGACAGCAGCAGAAGGGCAAGGGTGGTGCTGAAGGCGATGAAGGTATGATTCGATTGCTAGCGTCCGAAAACGCTTTATCAAGGTGGACCGAGCACACTCGAGGCTTCTGGCAGCTCCTGTTGAGAGCTGCGCAAAGTCTTACTATCTTCTCTCAGAGGAAGTTTCATGTAATGCTAAGAAAGTGGCGAACACAGTACTGACGAGTATAAGTAAACCAGTCAAATAAGGGCCAGAAGCAGCAGCTTACCAGATAATAATGGGATTAAATTGAATGAAAATGCACTAGATCCCCGCGCTATAGCACCCCTGGGCATGAGCTATCCCGGCTCAGTGTAATCAAAACTCAGTTTCCCGACTTCTCGCTGATTTCAGTATGCGAAACCACCGACTGGGTCCGCTTTAAGCTCCCCTTCGCACAGGAAGAGGACTCATACAGAGGCCGTCGGTGTCAGTTTAGTGGCAAACCGTGTGCGCAAGATTGAACATCGTAGTTGCAAGACCCAGAAACGCTTGCGTCGCTTGTTGCACGGCTATTCGTGTGGTCCCCACCGGAAGACTTTCTAAGCCCTTGCCCATTCATGAGATTTTCGAGCCTTGAGTGGGGGTTGCATAGACCTGCGACCGTAATTGTGTTCAAGTTGACGTGGAGGAGGAAGAAGTGTCACAAGACTGTCACATTGTTTTCAACATCCAAGTCGCACCCAAGGATGCTCGAGCTGCCCTTCCGATGTAGGCAATGATTACACCGACTCCTAGACTTCCAGTTCTCAATCATCTTCTAGCGGCAGTACCACCCCTTTCCTGCGCTGCTGAAAGTCTTTCCACGAAATTATAGCAACGGCGGAAACCGGCGCTCGAAAGACCTTCTTGCAAGCTTCGATAATTTTATCCCGTCGTGCCGGACCATCTGAACGCCTGAGCGAACAGCATCGCTTGACAACCAATGCATTCGCGGCGCCAAACCGTCAATCGTAATTCTGTTATTGGACTACAAAAGGCAAACTGAGAGTGCTCTCAGCCGCTGCCTGCCAAAATGACGCCCTTGCTCACATTTCTGTCCTTCTCGGCCTTAGTGTTTGCGTCAACGACAAATGTCCAGGATGGTCAAACGGGGACGTTAATCGTCCTGCCTCCACAAGCAACCGACACTGGGACGAAACAGATCCCTGATGCAGACCATCCCTTCATTGCCCCTGGTGCAGAGGACCAACGCGGACGTATGAGCTCACGATGCTTTGTTCCTTATATGTACACTAATGCTTGTTACTAGCTTGCCGTTGGTAACTTCCCCACAACAAGAACTCCTACTTATCAGTCCACAGCGGCAATGAATACTCTCGCCAATCATGGATACATTCCTCGGAAGTAGGGCTATCAAGGTTAAATCCAGCTTCTCATTGGTGCATCTAGCGGTATTGCGACGTTCGAAGAAATAACCCTTGGCATGATGGAGGTTGGACATGGTCATTCGAGACATGGATGACATTGACTTACCCAGCCCAGGCTTTCAATATTGAACTACTGTTAGGTGCATCAATGATTTCCAACAACATGGTATGCAGGCTTGCAAGACTGAGACAATTGAGGAGTTTACCTGTCTAAGCTTACTCGAGGCAACGCTTTTGTCAACAAAATCTCTATTGGCGGCGTTTCTCCAGATGTTCCGGCCCTGCCATACAACATCGACGGGCCAGTCACGGGTGGAATAGCGAAACATGGGCGGTTCGAAGGTAGGTTGTGCGTGAGATATGTTTCGAAATTCAACGCGGCTTCTTTCCAGGTGATGCTTCGATGACGAGAGCCGACGCATTCATTGGGGACAATCGCAACTTCCAAAACAGGCTGTATGATCTGGTTCATTATCAATTTCTTCTCGAGTCTATGTCTTACATCGCCACAGGACTTATTGGAACTAGGTAAATTTGGCAGTCCGGGCATCGAGGGCAACAATACGGTCTGGAACATCGATGCTCTCATCGCCATGAAGAAACAGAATATAGCGATGGATCAAGCAGAAAATCACGGCTTCGAATTCGCGGCCCATCGGATGAACGCGGCATACATGGAGAGTGCTTTCATTCTCACGTGGGTTATTGCTTCTGAGTGCCGTTCAAAACTGAACTGTTAGCAGCGTCTTTGCTAATGGTATATATTTCTGCTGCATACCAAGCACGAACTTCTCACGGTGAAATATTCAGGGACTACCAAAGAAGCCTCATTGAGCACCATTGGATCTTTCTTCAGAAACCAGACATTCCCGTCCAACTGGCACCGAGCAGCGTCACCAGTCAGCGGCTCCGTGGTCGCTCCAATCATAAAGGACATTTTCACTGGTGTTGGTCTTGCGCCAGGCCGTAACGATGCTAACGGAGTCTACGGCGCTGATCCGACACCGTCTTTCCCATTCAACACCAGTTTGGTGCGTACAATATTCTGCTCATGAAAGAGAGAGGCCAATTCCAGGAGACAGGCTTGCGAAGCCTACTTTGACCAGGCAGCAAATATACCTAGTGTGTTAGTCAATACGACTGGCATTCTGAAGAGCAATGTCGACTTGATGACGGACATATTGTTTCAGGTGGCAGCAGCGAATCCTGAATGCACCCAAAAGGTGTTGCCTTTTGGTCCTGCAGATGTGTAAGAGTGCCTCTCTCAGGACTGGGTAAGTATTCGAGGTTGGGTTCATGCACGATGGTATTTGTGTAAAGAGCGACAATTAATCCGATGTTGCCATTCAAGTTGATTACTAAGTAGATATGTATGCATTTATAGAGGAGCGTCGCAAGGGCCTATCAGAAACGCCTGATTCAACACGAACGTTGAACAAGATATCCAATACACGCACCATATTTTGCGTTGACGACGTGGGCTGCAAGACCGCTTCCGGAGGAAGTAGAGCTGAAGATGGACCCGCCTGCACTGGGTGCATACCAAACGCTACCAATGTCGTTCTCGCCGTTGGTGCCGTAGTGATAGACGCCGGATGCCTGCGCGTGAATGAAACCGCTGTACTTGGCTGTCCGGGCCGGGTCGTTGACTCGATCGAGGTAATATTGGAGCATTCTAAGCAAGGTTAACAGGCGAAACACTACCAGAGTCGGACACACCTCATGAAAATTCCCTACAGAGAAAGAATCAGAGGCAGCAACTATGAGAATTGGAATCGCTCACCTTGAATGCATGCTGATCGTCGTTGCAACGGGAGGACGCAGCATCATCACAGATTTCCTTGAGGATACCACCGCTGGTCAAGGTAGCGATAGCCGCATCGAGGGTGATTTCGGCGTCAACAATGAGGGATTCGTCTCTGGTAGTGGCATAGAGAGCTCCAAGACCTGCTGCGATAACGCCCTGAGTATCTGAGTGAGCCGACTGGTGCATACTATTCTAATAATAAGGACCTGATTGTAGATCCAAACGGTTCCTCCATTGTTTCCGCATTCGGAGTTGAGACCGTCGTTGAATAAGCCTTGAGCATTGCGAAGCCCACTGTTTTTGACTTGGGAGGATTATAGTCTTGTACTATATGAAGCCAAATACTTACTCCAATTCCTAGCCTAAATGATGCACAATCAGGCAAGGCAAGGGAGAAAGACGATGCGTACGTTTAGTGCGTTGGTGAGGAATGCGGAGTTACCGGGGAAGTTGATAGCCCCAACAGCAGAGACAAGCACTACACCCTTGTTAACTTGAGGCCAATACCGATGAACGCGAACGCACAGAATAGCTCGTTGGTGATAGCTGATGGAGATTAGCTCTCGTTCTACAGTCCTGCAGCATGCTTACAGTTCTTGTAGCCATTGGCGCTTGACCACCAAACTGAACATAGTTTAGTATAGCGACATACCATACTAATGGAAGCATACCGCCGCCACCACAAGTGTTGTCCCAGCTTGCTTGTACCATGTTATATAGAGTCATACCGCTTTCCTGCGAAGATCCGATAAGCAGGACAAAGCTAAGTTGAATTACTGACAATAAATGCTGCATTGTCACGCCCTCGAGCCGCCTTGTAGTCGGCAATTTTCCACAGGGCTAAGACAATCCACAGAGAGTCGTCCCAACTGCCATCGACATAGCTTGCCCACTGGTTTATACCGGCGTTGTGCTGGAGCAGGGCAAGTCTGCCAATGTAAGAGTCATCACCCAGAGTAGACCATTGATCGGAGCCAGTCGCGAGCATCTAATGGCCTCAGTGCATTTCTTCTACCTTGTCGAGAAATCAAACTGACCAGATTGTGGACGTTTTCAATGTTGTTCTGCCACATATAAGTCAGCTTGAAGGTATTGTAGATTGTATTAAGTCATACAGCATCGGTCCAGCGCACTAGTCGTAATGGTTAGCGTGTCTTTTGAGTACGAAACATAAAAAACCACACACCTCCACTGTAGTCTCCGTTGGGAGGGTTGTAATAGCGAGACTGAAGGCGCGCAGCCACAGCCTAGAAACACGGCGGTCAGAGGCATCAAACTATATGGACCTGAGAATATACAGTCGCGACATCCAAACTGGCTTGACATTGAGCTCGTTTCTCGAATGCGGGGGTAGCGCTGGTCGAAACAGCGAGTAGGAAAAGAGTGGCGAGGGATGAAGTGGGCTTCATCGTGGTAGAAGAAAGAGCAACAGAATGGTGTCAGCAATTGGGGCGTCGCCAGCACATGGTCATTGGATGGTCCAGTATGGATGGTCGTCTGTGGTTGCATTCTTGGTTGCGTGATGAGATCTGCACCGGATCAAAAAAACGCAAATGTTCAACCCGTCTTGAAGAGCACTCCTTTGATATCTAACTACTTACTAGTAGATCCCAATGTTCTCTTCGTAAACTCAGATCAAGCTCAGGTCTCTCAGAACTTGAGACGCTGGAACCTATGTGCAAGAATGCGGATTGGTTTAGTGCACAAAGTCGAAGGAAAGGGGCGGCATGAACCATAACCCCGCCGACGGAAAGCACTGGAAAGTAGTACAAATTCAACGGATATTTGACCTCACCACTTTCTGGAGGTTGAATACCAAGAGCCAGTCTAACGGCGCTTAGGTTGTAAGTCGTAACCACTGTTGCGACACTGCCTTGGGCCGCGGGCACGGGTTGGGCACGGGTGACACGTCCGAGACACGTCCAACCCTCTTTGCTTTCTTCCTTAACTGCCCACTCCCAATGCCACTGTCTAAATGGAGGATCGCCCTTAATGGGCTCAAAACAACGACCAATGCTGATCATCGACCACGAACGGCTCCCGATATCGCTCTACCACCTGACATAACGGCGCAAATAGCGACTGAAGTTTATGAACTCATAATGAACTATTTAGTCGACGTGCAATCTCTTCTCGCTTGTATGCTCGTCTGTCGCGCGTGGTATCCCCGAAGTCACCATCTACTTCTGCGCCTAATGGCCTGCCGCCCTCGCGCCATGAGCGGGATGTTCCATGGCGGGGCTGGGACGATCAACTGTGCTGTTCCGTACTTGGATTCCGAAGGTAAGAAAAGCATTGAGGTCAGCGATTGCTGTTAAAGTCGTTCTCTAGGGGCCGTTATATATGGTGCCTCCGACGGTATTTACCTAGGCACAAAAGACGCTTCCAGAGACCGCTTGATATCTCTCCGGAACGTCACACACATTGAGATATTCTACGATGTCAACCTTTTGGTTTGCTTAGCAGGTATTTTCCTTCCAAATAAGTAGCTTTACTTCTCATAGACTGCAGACTCGGAACTAGTCAGCTTCCCGCTGCAGAGTCTAGTGACAAGGACCATCAAGTCTCTGGAAGCCCCAAGAGCGAAAAATTTGATCTTCCTTACTGTTCATCGAAGCGTTGCGCCTGGCCAACGCCATCGTGTCTGTGTCTTGAAAAGCTCGACGCTTTCTGGTGTCATCAAAGTCTTCGATATAGTGAGAGATCAACGTGGTACTCGCCTCACGAGCGCTGTTGTACGCCTCTGTAGCATGTCCATTTACTATAATCTCATCGAAAACTAGGAACTCTACATCCCAATGGAAACATCATCCGTGCACTTTTTAACCCACACGCGAGTTGCTGCGGTCTTGAAAAAGACTGTGGCTAGACAGAGCGCATTCGAAATGATAAATATTGTGTCCGCGGAGACTCAGTCCCTTCTCGATCCCAGCGATACCAGGTTAGCATTTGCATCCAAGAAAGATGAGGTTGGTCGTGCAATCGGCGTCTTTGGAGTTTCAGGAAACTTTTTGGTTTGCACTGAGAGTATGTTTCAATGCTAAAACCGGATTTTAATGATTTTATTGTGCTCATTATAGAGATGGCCTTCTTCATCGACCGCCACGGTCGTTTAGCCGAGGATTCAACCAAGCTGAAATGGAAGGACAAAGTAGCCTCTGTTGGTGCGAACGTTCAACCCAATACTTGATGGCGCAGCTGAGCCTTCACCAGTAATAAACGGTAAATATCTCTTCGCTTTCGCCACTGAATGCCTCGAGGTATGGAATCTTGAGGACTCGCAGCTTGTTCAGAGGATTAAAGGCCAATATCGTCCATTGAACGACATGCCCACGGCGAAGGAGCAACTTCTTATGTTAGACCTCAATACTCATCATATAACTAAGGTCGAATTTTTGAATGAAAGCTGATGTCTGCACATACCTGAGATACTTTTTTTTATCCTTCGGAAGATTGCGGGGCTCAATCTCATGTGATCCGGCCATCTTCCGTCCAAAACTTCCACACAACTTTCATGGGTCAAACAGCTTCCCAGTCTGTAGCTGCGGCTCCGCCCCAAGCATGTCCAGTAGACCACAAATCACTCGGGTCTACCTCTTCGCAAGCGTCTTGTCCCGTGGCTCATGATACGCCAAAACCTGCTCAATGTCCAGTCGACCATGACGCTATCGACATCCGCAACCAAATGCCGCACCTTTCTCAGGATGTAGCTCCCTCTCAAAGCACCTCCCTTCCCACATCACGCACCATTTCTTCTATACCCCGGGATCCGTCAAGTAAATGGGAGTACCCGTCACCACAACAATTCTATAACGCACTCGTACGAAAAGGCAATGAAACACCAGAGGAGCTAGCCCATGTAGAGACAATGGTCGAGATACACAACTTTTTGAATGAAGAGGCGTGGCAGGAAGTGTTGAAATGGGAAAAACGGGTCCACAAGTGCGTCCTAGAATGGGCTTGTTTTTCTCCATTTAACATTGTAGTTCGGACGACATCCAATTAACCCGATTCAAAGGAAGACCTGGTGAAATCTCCCCCAAAGCCCGAATGTGGTTGTTTGCGGGTTGGCTTTTGCCCTCCCGATTCAAGTATGTCACTCCCTAAGTTCTGTTGAAAGCTCAAATTCCATCCAGCACCGAACCTCCATTTGACCGCCATGACTGGATCGTTCGACGGCCAAAAACAGGCGAGGAAGTAAGATATGTGATCGACTACTATTCTGCTCCTCCAGAGCCAGATGGTTCGCCTGTGTTTTCGCTCGACGTGCGACCCGCATTGGACAGTGTTGGAAGCATCAAAGAACGGATAGCGGTGGCTACGGAGGAGGTTTGGGCGGCATTGCGCAAAGACTGAGCGTTTGTTCTTTAGAGTACTTTTCTGTGACATAATGTGATGTGACGTCCCTAATACGCGTTTGCTTTTGCCTTTTCATGAACTCTACTCCCTCAACCCCGCCCTCCCCCAGCTCTTCGCAACCTAGTAGAAAGCGTCAACGAAGCAGCTCCATGGTTTCCGATACATCTTCATCATCCATCAAGCGCTCGCTTTCATCACAGGACACCGACCCCATTGCCGCTCTCTCCCTCTCCGATCCTTCCACCGACGCTGATGCTTACATGGCCGACCTCGACAAGGATACCCTCCAGTTTACGCCAGCCTCAACTGTTGCTTTTCTTTCGGTGCCACCGGCTGAAAAAATGACGCGCGTCGATGCTGCAAGGGCCCAGCCGCTCCAGCTTGGTTCTTCGTGGTATCTCGTCGATAGGACCTGGTGGAAGCGATGGAGAAAGGCTTGTGGTGGGGTTGTGGACAAGGAGGGTCCACTTACAGAAAGCGAGCTTGGGCCAGTCGACAATGCACCGCTCATCAACCCACAAGGTCACCTCCGGATCCCGCTTTCGGATGGTATAGATTTCGAGTTAGTTCCAGAAAGTGTCTGGCTGGACTTCGTCTCTTGGTATGTCATGATCTATCTTTGTGTAGTTTTGTTGACAACTGGCTTCAATTAGGTATGGCGCGCCTACATACACCTTACCACGTCAAGTCGTCCAGCGGGGCGTTATGAACGAGCTCTCAGTCGAACTATACCCTCTTCGACTTTCTGTCTTGAGAATGGTTTCCGTTCGCTCACTCGATGATCAAGAGACTGAACCTGCTACCGTTGTCGTAAGCGCGACTTCATCCATCGAGGAGGCCAGCAAGCTACTTGTCGCTTCTGTTCGTCCTTCTGATGTGCCAGAGAAAGGACCCCGTCGCATCTGGCGCGCAAACAAGCCTCCGGTCCTGGGTTTCGAAACAATCGAGTTTTTGGTGGATGACTATGCGAGGTATGAGTGCGAAGTCTTCGATATGGGCCCACGCACCCTCGATGAAATGGGTATCCAACAAGATGATCATTTTGTTGTCGAGTTCAAAGGGGATCAGTGGTTGGCACCAACTCCTCCTGAGAAAAGTGTGACCATAGTTGGACCCGTGGCCCCTCCGATGTTTCCATCCAATGAGGGATTCTTCAACAAGATGGGAAACTCGCGAGCTGTTGGCCCTAAATCCAGCCCTACCTTTACGCCTCGCTTCACTCCCATTGCAGGCCCACCTCTCAAGCCTATCGAGCCTGGCACACTGGGCCTTGGAAATATGGGCAATACGTGTTTCATGAACTCGGCGCTTCAATGTCTGGCTCACCAACCGGAACTCGCAGATTATTTCCTGAGTGAGTTTTTTTCTTCTTTCAATTATCATCTTCCGTTAACACGTCGACAGCTGGTGTCTATCAGGAAGAACTTAACCCAGATAATCCTCTCGGCATGCAGGGCGCGATCGCAGAGGCTTTCGGGGACCTTCTTAAACGTATTTGGGCGTCAACGAGCACTTCGACATCTTACTCGCCTCGTGAATTCAAGAGTCAGCTCCAGCGCTTCGCTCCTCAATTTAGCGGATACCAACAGCACGATTCACAAGAACTTGTTGCATTCCTTCTTGATGGTTTGCACGAGGATCTCAATCGGGTTATCAAGAAGCCCTACGTTGAAAAACCTGATTGGGAGGGTGGAGGCGATGTTGAGCTCGTCCAACTCGCACAGAAGTCTTGGGAGGGTTATATGTTGCGAAACGACAGCGTCATCGTCGATCTGTTCCAAGGTCAATACCAAAGCACACTGGTGTGCCCCGAGTGCAATAAGGTAAACTTGTGTTTGGGTAAAAGATTTGTGATTGATTTTCCATAGATTTCGATCACGTTCGACCCATTTATGTACCTCACCCTACCACTTCCAGTAAACAAAAAGTGGCACCACAAGATTTACTATGTGCCATGGGATTCCGAGAAGCCCCATCTTGAGGTACGCCTGGGAGATGTACTCAGAACCTTACAATGACATCGACTAGATCCCTGTGCAAGTCGGGGTAGACGCGTCTTTCAGGGAACTGCGACAACTTCTCGGTCGATGGATGGGCGTTCCACCAGAAAACGTAGGCAAATGTCTGGTCAATACAGCGGATTCTTTTGACAACCCCAACAGCTACTCACGTTAGAAGTATTCTCCAATAAATTCTACAAGAGCTGGGATGACACCCACCTGTGCGGCGAGGTCGGCTCGACCGACCAGATCGTCTGTTTTGAGCTTCCTTGTAATTCTCAGCAAAGCAGAACCTACAAGAAACAGGAGGGAGACCCATTGATTCTACCTGTCTACCTCGCCGACCTCAAAACGCCGACCTCGGCTCGCGTAGGAGGTGGAACTTTTTATGGCACCTCCTCGTACTTCGGTTTCCCCTCCATTGCTGTCTTAAGCTCAGAACAAGCCTCGGATCCAGCCGCTATCTATGAAGCCCTCGTTCATCGCCTTGTTCGCTGGTCGAAGAACACACAGGACTTGTTTACCTGGGAGCATGGCAGCAGCAAAATCACGACAATTCCCATACCGAATGGCGTCCCCGAAGATAGCCTAGTTGAAATCAAGGCCAATGGCGATGTCATTGAGCATCCACCTGAAGCACCCGAAGGGGACATCACTGACGAGAAATCGGTTATTGTTGCGGATGATGACGACGTGGCAATGGAGGAAATGGAACCCGAGCTCGTACGCATGGGGCCGAAAGCCGAACTTTTTGCGATCAGGATACAAGCAGACTCCAAGGAATATGGGACCGGCGCATACTCATATAACACCCGAACCTTGTCGCTTTCAACTCGAGCAGAAGAGGTCAAACCAGGAGAATCGCTCTTAAAGCAAGGCGATCTGATTGTTTGCGAGTTCGATGAAAACCTAAAACCGTTCTACTTTGGAGAGTTGCGCGAGAAGGCGCAATGGGATGAATGGGAACTGTTTGAGCATGACGAAGTCAAGGCTGCTCGTGAAGAAAATCACCAAAAACAGAAACAAGGAATCTCGCTACAGGACTGTTTAGACGAGTTCACGAAGAAAGAGCAGCTGGGCGAGGACGATTTGTGGTATTGCCCCAAGTGCAAGAAGCATCAACAGGCCACGAAGAAGTTTGACCTCTGGAAAGTGCCGGATATTCTTGTTGTCCATCTGAAGCGGTTCAGCAACAGTCGAACGCTGAGGGACAAGATTGACGCACCCATTGATTTTCCAATTGAGGGTCTCGACTTGAGCAGTATGGTCGGCGAGCGTGCGGCAGCGAAGCGATTGATGGAAGCAGGAGTTGGCTTGGAAGGTCTGGAGCTGGGCAATCCGGATGAGCCATTGATTTATGACTTGTTTGGAGTGGACGAGCATATTGGTGGTCTTGGAGGTGGACATTATCGCGCGTATGCTCTCAACCACAGCAACGAAAAGTGGTATCACTTCGATGATTCCTATGTTACCCCGTCTTCTGCTGACAAGTCCGTGGTATGTTTCATCATATTCTAAGTTGTTTGTGAGGCTCACGCGAATACTTTATAGAACCCCAACGCTTACCTGTTGTTTTATCGACGTCGGACAAACAAGCCTTTGGGTGGAAAGACGACTGAGAAGATTGCAGTTGCCCGACAACAGCGTGTTGTGGAGCCAACGACGATTGCGGAGCCGGATGCTGCTGCTATTGAGCCTCATGATGACCGTGACGATCTTGGGATGCCAGAGTTGAACTCTTCTTTTCTCTCTCGGATACGGTCAACCGCAACATCATCGCCCTCATCTCTCCATGACGAACCACCTGATCTTGAAGACCCGATTGAAATTATGGACCCTCTTGAGCGGGCCAACGCAAATTACGACTTCCCAGACCCTTCATCGAGCAAGGCGTCACCAACATCGTCGACAGAGGCGGACGGTGGTGACGCGGAAGATTCATGGCATTCCTTCCATAGCCCTGCTTGGCCATCACCGCTGAACATGAGCTCACCTGCAGAGGACGCTAGTGAGAATCCCTTTATCAGCCCCAGATCGTATTAGTTGCTAGAAATATTACCTGTATCTCGCATTGCTTTCCTTATTACACTGTACACTACTACAGCAGACCAAATAATCAAATGATAACCATCATTCCGCTGGGTCTTAGCCACCATGACCCGCATTCCAGCGAATCTTCAGTACCTCACTATCTACAACCCCACTCTACGACCAACTAGGCCTGTCGCGCCCGACGACGAAGATGCAGAGGAGCAGGCCCATATCTTGTTCTATACGTCAAAGGAGCGGGCTGTCTCGCGAGACCGAATGCTTCGCCAAGTGGGTCTCGCCAAAGCACTTATTAGTTTCTCTGAGTTAGCTCGTTCTCCTCCTGCGAATCCTTGAATAACCGCCACCCCTAGTATGTTCAACCCCGATGAGCCATGCAACAATATCCACTCCCAGACGAAACGCCTGATCATGGTCTCCCCCGAGCCCGATTTCTGGATACACGCAGTCCGTTTGGTCTCTCCATAAATTCGACCTCGCACGTTGATTCAGTAGTCTCCAAGGGCATCGAAACCGCCAGGACGCCCAAGCCGAGTGTCGATAAAGGGAAGAGCAAGGTGAAGGACAAGAACGGCGCGGCGGAGCCTCCAGTGGTGTATGACTACGAGGACTACTCGGTGCATGATATCGCGCTCCAGGTCGATATTATGCGGGGGTACGAGAAGTTCAAGGTGTGTGGCTTTCGGCTGCGTTCGTTGAGTTGATTTTATTTGGTCATCGTATAGCTACGACATGGATCGTTCACTTCAATCTTGTCGACGCTGGGCCAGGAGGCATTAGAGGTGCAGCTCGAACGGTTTTTCACGGTGTGGGCGTGGTCGTGGAATCTCGAAGACGGGGCTGAATTCGGAGAGCATCTTGGTGGGTGATGTTTACTGCCTTAGCTTCTCTCGTTTGACTAGACCAAGGACCACCATTACACGCGAAGCATTCTATCCTTTCCCAATCCATCGACGACTTCGCCTCAAAATTACCTGAAGAGGTCGTCGCCATCGCTGTTTCACCACCATACACCATCCCTTCGTCAAAATATACCTCGCTAGGCTTTTCTTCTGCGCTACCCAACTTCTTGCAGTTTCTCGTCCCCCCGCCTGAAGTCCTCCCAAGTCCACAGCCGCTGATTCCATTGGACGATGGCACTGTCAAGGGAACGAAACCGCTCCCGCCCACCCCCGACGACGACGGGAAGTCTTTCCTTGGAATGAACATGGATATGCCCAAATGGGGGTGGCCGGGATACCTCACATTCGGCAAAGCAGGGGCAAGCAAGAAACCCCCCGATTCGATTCTTGCTGTGACGCCTATGAACGAAGACAAAGGGCGGCCCCAGCTTGTGCTCGATACTCCCGGCCTGGAACGGACCGTGTCCGATTTCGAGGTGGACCGGAGTGCGTTGGAAGATGCGATGGCGGAGGAGCGATTACCGCTACCGGCGGAGAAGCCTGAAGAGGACGAAGAGACCAGCAGTGTGTCAACAGAACTTGTGCCTGAGCAGACACCCACGCCAGCCCCCGTTGAATTCCTGGCGACGACGGCACATTTGTCAACTATAGACGACCCCCACAATACTAAACGCCGGAAACTCTTCTATATGATTGTACGTTTTTCGTGTGTCTGCATCCCGATCTCAACGGTTCCCAGAGAGATCAGGTCCTCGTGGCGTTATTATGGCTCGATGACTCCGTGGACGCGCAAGAACTCACCCCAGCGACGGCGCATTCATTTGCGGAAGACACACTATCGTTGGCGTTGGAAATAGGGACGACTTTGACACAGGATTCACGGAGGTATAATAGTCGTGTTGCCATTTTTTCCTTCCTTTTTCTGATCGTGTACAGCACTGAAACCCTTCCGTCGGCGACCAACACCCTCCAACAGAAAGATCGCTACGCGCTCTCCTCTTCAAATCTTACGCTTCGCAGTCCCGAGTTCCAGTCTCGGTCAGGGCATCTCTACAACGCTCGAGAGCTTCTCCAGCAGAACGACCCGCCGATATCAGAAGTTTACTCCCGTGGCCAGAGCCCTCAGCACTGGCATGTCGCGCGGCGCGAGGAACTACAGCGCGGATTGTCGGTGGCGAGTGAAGAAGTTTACATGGAGGTGTTCAGGAAGGAGACCAGTCTGACGGACGTGGATAATGCGTTGGCGAGCGTGATACGAAAGAGTGGACTGTTCCCATAACTTTAAATTAGCCGTTAATTAGTTGGTGTACAACAGATATTCTATTCTAAACATCGGTTGAGGGTGGGGCTACGAATGGTGATTTGAGTATGAAGCGGGAGGAAAGCGCAGGGTAGCACGTACGACAACATGAATTGTCTTGGGGATTGCATTCATGTTGATTGGGCGGACATAGCACCAGACATGACGTTTCGGCGGAGCTCTAGATGTCGTTATCAGATATCAGATCTTGGAAAAGCAACAACGAACTGTCAAGCGACCCTCGAGGGATTGGTAATACTCTGGCTGAATAGTGCACGAGTGGATACCATGGTCATGCAGTGCCTAAGTATCGAGTCAATTGGGCAACTGGGCACAAGGTTAAGGATCAGACCTTGCGGATGCTGGCGGCGATGGGCATGAAGTCGATGTCGTGTAGCATTAAAACATGGACTGAGGCAATGTTCTTTGACTCGGAGAGCTAGGTGGAAGCGGTCAGTCTTACATCTAAATCAGGAGAATGGTAGACAAACCTGCCAAATATGTAGTTCGTGGAGACTGAGGACACCATCAACCTCCAGGATTGCAGCTCGAACCTCATCAAATGAGATGCTGGAGGGAACACCCTGGAGAAGGACAAAAGATGCACTGCGGACTATACAGACAATTCAGGTCAAGATTAAACTAAAGCAGCGAAAGACATACCGAGTGGTAGGGAAGAAGAGAATATGATGACGGTGATAACAAGACTAATTATGGGGTCAAAGTAGTATTTGAAGCTCCATGAAGTCTGCCAGATGATAAGGCCAGTGGCAATAACACCAACATTGCCAAGTGCATCTCCGAGAACGTGAAGCACCAAGGCTCGCATGTTCATGGAGCCGCTATGCGAATGGGAATGGACAGGCGGGTCATGGGCATGGGTATGGTTGGTTGAGGATTCCGATAATAGGAGAGGCGTTTCTTCCGTTGGAGGAGTAAGGATGCTGGGTCGGTATTGCTCTCCATCGTGTGAGAGATGACGCGTGTGAGAATGAGATCGGGACCGAGAACGCGTGCGGGCCATGTCGTTTGCGACTGCGCAGGTTGCTTAGAATGTAATATGGGACAAGGTGAAAACCAGTTACCCTTGACAATCTGTGCACGAGTCATAACGGGATGACCCGCTAGTCCATAGTCCGACACATCCGAAGGAGTCCTTACAAGGGCGGGTTTCGTCGGAGGTGATGCTTTTGGAGCATCGGAGTGGGAGTGGGAGTGGGAATGTGAATGGGAGTGCTCTAGATGTTGATGATGAACAAGAATGACACTGAAGCGGGAGATGCTAACCATGGAACAAGAAGAGGCCCACGATGTTGGAAGCGAGTCCCAAAGCTCCGACAATAACGACGAGACGAGGATTGGAAACATCTATGAGTGGGTCAAGCGAACAGTCTGTTGAAGTCAAGGACATTATTGCGCACCAGGAGTATTTATGAATCTCTCTAACGCCTCGAGGAATATCGAGAAGCACAAGGCTATGAGACTTTCAAGTTAGCGTGATCAGGACAAAAATAATGGAACTGACCGAGAAGAAAGACGCCGTTGATCAACGCAGCAAGGATTTCCGCCCGATGCCACCCGTAAGAGTAGCGGGAGTCACTTTCGCCTTGTTCAGTCAACTAAAAACGGTTCAAATATGGCAGAAGGGTCGATATATAGACGGACTTTGATAGCATAGAGTGCCACAATTAAGCTCATGACATCGCTGCACAGAGTAGGTTAGAAGCGAGAGACTGGAGGCATAAAATTACATGCTTAAGCATATGGAAACTGTCGGCGACAAGAGCAAGCGATCCGACAGCATAACCTGATTCAGTTGAGCTTCAAGCAAGTGGCTTAAGGTTCATGAGCGCGAACCTGAGATGATTTCGACGAAGAAGAACAAGACGTCGATGGCAAGGAGGACCTTGATCTTGGATGACCGCGACATGGTCGACGGAAAGAGAGAAAGCCCAGGCCCTGAATCGCGGAAAAGTTATAAGCAGATGGAGGTGTGACAGGCGTCTGGGTACACATCCCTTTAGAAAGACTTTTCGCCAGATTTGATTGACTTTCGGATAAAAAATGACGTGATTATCCAGCTGTGACATGCGTGATGAGTGACTCAACACTTTGGCGGAAACCACCACAACAACAACAACAATGGCGACCGACGCTCAAATGAAGAGTGAAATCGCAAGGCTTACAGGTGCGTTAATAATTCGGCGAGTCGCCCACCCCCATCTCATTAAGATACTAGCTTCTATCAACCAGCACAAGTCCTCAATATCGAAACCACCATACCGAGCCAACTCCTACGTCAACCCCAATTATCGCCCGGCTCCCAACAAATACATCCGACCTCCAACTTTCCCGCCAGTCGTGCCAGCACCGATCCGGTTTCAACCTGGAACTCAAGTCAAGAAAGAGGTTGTCCTCAATGGGGTCGCTTTTGAATCATCCAAAAGATCCCTTGTTCGGAAAGATTGCAAGTTCTCTTTTGCTGTGCACCCAAACTTTGACCTCGCCATAGTGCCAATGCCGCCATCGACGTCAATAAAACCGCCATCCTCAGCTCCACCGCCAACTCGACGACCGAACTTTCTGACAAAGCCCGGCGCTCGCGTGTACAAGCCCAAATCCTCTCGTGGTCGCCCTCGAGGAGGACCTGTGAATATGACCCTTAACAATTCCCGTCGACCATACCAGTCCGTCGGATCCTCAACCGCAGCTCTTGGGTTAATTCACCGCAACAGATCTGGACGGCGGACGAACAAACGACTCAACAAGCCATGCCCCCAATTCACAACGACAGGTGCTTGATTGTTTTTTTTCCGTAGTTGAAATGATTTACCCTTCAGGCTCCTGTTCTCGTGGTCTCACATGCCCATATTTGCACGACCCTGCCAAGATCGCCATCTGCTGGAAGTTCCTGCAAGGCAACTGTGCGAATACGGCTGAGACATGCAATCTTTCTCACGACCCAACACCACAACGGACGCCTCTCTGTCTACATTTCCTCAACAACGGCCGGTGCACCCGCGAAGCCTGTCTCTTCCCTCACGTCAACGTCGGCGCCCGACAAGGAGTCTGTCGCGATTTTGCGGTCTTGGGTTACTGTGAACGTGGTCTTGACTGTGACAAACAACACGTGCGCGAATGCCCCGACTTTGCAGAACGGGGAGAATGTGCAACCCCGCGATGCAAGCTTCCTCACGTTATCCGGGCCAACCGCAATCGACAAGCAACAACATCCGTTGCTAAGGTAGCGACAACAACACCGGCTCCTCTCTCTCTTCCTGCTGCTACTGACTCTGCTGTGTCGGCCAAAGACGCCCAACTTGGTGATGAGTATATTTCTCTTACTTTTCATGAAAGTGAGAGCGATGAGGAGAGCGACGAGGAAGAGAGCGAAAGCGAGGGGAGTGAAGAGCAGGATGATGGCTCTAATGGAGACTCCCCGTGATTTTGGACGTGCTTATCTTTTCTTTCTTTCCGTATCTCTTTGTTTATGACGTCAATAAATGCCACCTTGTGATGATTATTCAGAGTCGTATTCTAAGGCTACAGTAGTTACAACAGGGAAACGAGATGGGAAAAATATGTACAATGCGCGACTGGCAAATTCATCTTCCATCGACGAAGTCCAGCGCCGAATCCAAACTCCTGACGAGCTTTTCCGCCCTCATTGAAACCCCTTTCGCAAGCCCTCTTCGTTTTTTCTTTTCCTTGGGTGTTGGTTCCGGATGGGCTTGATTTTGGGGAGTGCCCGGCGGACTCGTAGCTCCAGTATTATTAACGATGGTAGTAGTATTATTAGCATTCTTGGATTCGGTGGAGAGCGATAGTTTGGGACGACGCTCCTTGTCGTTGTTGGTACTATTGCTGTCTTTCTTGCGTAAAAGGTTCTTGCTCCCGCTTGTGCTGGCCGCGCGAAGTAACGGCGGTCTCGGAACCTCGATTATCCCAGTGCCCGTGTCGATGATGACTGTCGCTGAGCTCCCCGAGGCAGAGACGGTGTTAGCGCGGGTTGACGAGCCTGTCGCCGACCCGTTTTCTCCACGTTCAAGGCTGGAAGGACGACTGCCGCCAGAACCCCACTGGGCTACGTTGCCTGAGCTGCCAATTATAGGCATACTCGGCCGACGCAAGAAAGTCGAGAAGGGTTCGGGACCAACAGAATTGTTGGTGTCGTGTAAGGCAGCATCGTGCAGAGAAACTGAATGGAGCAATGTATGAGAGTGAGTGCGATTGTGGCGGAGGGTGTTGGGTGGAGAAGGGTGAGCACCATCCTCCGTCTCCACTTCCGCCGCAGCGAGTGGGGAGAACGCAAACACGCCAAACGATTCGTTTGAAGACGGCGATGAAAGGACAGGCGTCATCCGTGAGCCCGGCGCAGTGTTGCCGTTGGCGTTGGGCGTATAACCCTGGGAGAGATGCGCATTGGGGTTATGCATCGGTGGGTTTACCCCACTCAAACTTGTCACAACTGCGCTTGGCTCCATGGCAGCTCGCCTTGTCCTATCATCAACACCAGTTCCGACTCTGGCAATCGTGATTTCCGCCCCGGAGGGTCCTTGAGGTATACCCAACTCAGCTTCATGTGCCTCCTCCTGGGCCCGTCTTGCCTCTTCCTGTTGCCTGGTCCTCTCCTCTTGCTGCTTAGCGACACGTCTCTGTCGGCGCAAATCACCCATCCAGCCAACCCACTCCATCTCGCTTTTATGCCCCGAGTTGGAGCTGTTATCATCCGAACTGTCTGAGAATGAATACGACGCGTCTGCATCGCCAGAGACATCTGAATCATAACCGTCCTGGCTGGTTGGTTGACGACGGATCTGAACTATCTCCTCGCGAGCCTTGCCCTTGTCTTTAGCTGTACTTTTGCCTTTACCCTTGCGTTTACGAGTTCGGACTGGGCTGTCATGGTGGTACCAAAAGCTCGCACTGTCGCCGTCGTTGAGCAATATGTCCTCGTTGGCTATTAACCACTCGATTGCACTGCCGATCCGACCGAGTCCTGCTCGTTGGGCTTTGCGAAGTAGGGCATTCCGCCACTCAGGGAAGGGCAAAGCGCCGAGCGATGAGGTGAAACTGCGAGAAACATGCAAAATCGCAAGTGACGGTGGATGTCGTAATATCGGGGCATCGTCACCTGAACGGTCTTCCGAGGAGAGATTTTGGGAAGACGGTGAATCAGGTTGTTCGTTGGTCCCAACGGGCAAAGACTGCACAAAAGTCGAAGCAGGCATTGACTGTCGATGTAGAACACGTAAAAGTGAGACGTAATTCATGTCATCTTTCAGGTCGAAGGCGAGGAACTCGGGGTCCCTTTTCCGTCGCTTGCGAGGTTGAGGTGGGCGTTGACGGCGAGGACGGGTAGAATCGTCACTATCATGGGCGAAAACGGGAGAAGACAGTGGAGAAGAGGAGTCTGAGGGAATTGGGGAAAGCGGAGATGATGCACGAGTTGTTATGTTGGAGGTAGGTTGGGTTGAGAAGCGGGCAAGTAGAACTCGGTCATTGTTGGATGATTTCGGGGCTGAAGGTGGTAGATGACGCGAGTTGTATAGGGCGTGAAGATCGTTTAGAGCAAGTTTGTGGATAGAATGGTGGTTCTAACAGAATGTTGAGAGAGAGACCGGAAAGAAGGCAAAATGACAAACTTGATCCCTGTAAATATGAAGATGACCCTCCCGTACAACCACCCACCGATCTTTCCACTCAAGTGGACGCGACTCTAGGTACCGGACACGATAGAGGTTATAGTGTTCTTCGTCTTCCTCTACAGGCCTTACACGAAGGAGACGAACCCATCCCTCCCAATAAGCGTCGAGATAACGTTTCAGGTCGCTTCTCGGAAGGGGAATGACAACGCCTAGTCGATGAAGCTCCAACAGTTCGTCCGGTTGCAAGTCGTAAAAACTGAGAGGAAGATCATCCTCGAGAATTTGGCCTGTTGAGAACCGGATTAGGGTGTATTGGGCATAGAGATCGCCTTTGCTCGACGTGGACGCGTTAGGCATGATAGCGCGCTTTTTGGGCTGCACTGGCGGGAGAATTAAATCTTCCTCTTCTTTCTCTGACACCGGTGACTCGGCTGGTGGTGGTTCCTCGAACTCGCTAACATCGTCTTCGGTTAACTGTTGCTTGGGTTGGGCGAAAGTGATGGGAGATATAGGTCGGTGTCGAGGATCTGGCGCAAACGTAATGGGAGAGGGTGGACGTTGGGGCTTTCTATTCGTTTGGCGAAGAGGCGGGGATGGTGGTGCTGCGTACGGGAGGCACTTAGCGAGCATCCATGATTTAGCTTGTCGAACTTTCCACTCTGGGTCGACATGAGTGGTAAACCATTGGTCGTGGGGAACTGAGAATGAGGTCAGGGAGGTAAGTAAGCACGTCGTTTAGCGTCGTACGGAAGCGACAGGCGATGTTCAGTAGCGGAGCGACTGAGGCATCGCTGTCCATCTCAAGGAAGAGAGGACTCTTGACGCGTGACCTGTTTTCTTCACTTGCATCATGATCAACTTCCTCCCTCAATGCCCTTAGATGTTGACAGCGGCATTTTTTAACTTATCGTGAACTACTCACAGACGCTTGCCTCCTTGGGTTCTCTCAATCTCCCACCACGAAACTCATCTCCGAAAGCTAGAGTCCACACCATGTACTTCCTGATTGGATCCATCGCCCGCCAACAATCTCGTTGCCCATGAAACATTCGAAACATGTGTGTTGAACAGTCAGAAAAGCGTAACCCATCGCCCTACTCTGTCTAATACACTGCTCTGGCGGAGTCTGGTGTCTAGGACAGCCATCTATTTGGTCGAAATATGCCATCTTCCCGCGGCGTTCGGGATGAAAAGCAGAAACCATGTCTCAAAACTGTCCTTTGGGCCCCGTGCTCGATGCTTCGCGCTTCGGGATCTTCAAACCCAATGCCGTTTTGGGCTTCCTGGGCGGTTTCTGTTTTCAACCGATGTAATCATTCACCGCATTACGGCCACTCAAGTAAACGCAACTCCCACACCTACCTTCTCACCAGCCCACACAATGCTCTCAATCATCTGCTCCGCCCAAGCTATGTATACCTCGAGCGCTTGAGCTTCTGTCTTTGTTGCCGTAGTTGACCGTCGACATGGTGCCTTAGGTTCTGGTGCTGGCATAGCCCACTGCATGAATCGAAACTTATTCATCATCAACCTAATCTTCATATCTCATCTTCCGCATCCGACAAGAGTGGAAAACCTAGGAGAATAGGAAAAGCGACCGCCAATGCTAGGAATAGACTGTTGTCTTTTGGCCACATACAAAAATAGGGCAGAGCCGTACAACAGCGACAACTGAGCAAGCAGTCTGACGTCGGGGAAGATGGAATGTTTGATGATCGACTTCTAGGGCACGTGTGAGAGTATCCCTTTAAATGCAACTGGTCTTGTTGAAGTTGTTCCCTTCTGTCTGCTCTCGTTAGGATTCGCTCTGCCTCAGCACAATCACTTCACCGATCGAATTCCTCTGGCGATCCTCTCACCCTTTTCTTAAACCCTTCCTCTCGTTTTACCCTGAGCTTACAGAAAACATGCTCCCAACCACCATCATCCCGCTCCTGCTTTCTGCAGTCGTCCTAGCCCGCGACGACCACCAAGGTCGCGCTCACGACGACCTGGCAGAACGTTTGAACAACGTTGACCTCAGTCGACGGAAGGACACGTTCCTTGGGTCTATGTTCACCTGGTGAGTACTCCTTCTCTTGTCATCTGAATCAATCCCATACATCTCTCCAGGTATGGCACCAATACCGTGAGTTGGACCTCCATTCAGCTGTCGTTATCAAATTCGTCTTTAGGGTGCGGACGCATGCACAGGCAAGAACCACAAAGACAGTGACTGGGTGAATTTTCACTCTGCTGCTTAATCGGGTCTATTGACATTTGCTGATAGTACGTTGCTATGAACACCGCGGTTTGTTTCTCCTCGCTACTTTTTTCTTCATTGGTCACTCAAAGATGTCCCGGCAGCAATTTGGTGATGGCTCGGGATGTTGTGGTCGTCAGCTCAAACTCAATTACAATGGCAAGACGGCGGTTGCGACCTGTGTGGACGAGGTCAGTATGTGAAACGCCGAATGTGATCTGTATCGATGACCAACATTTAGTGTCCCACCTGCCCTGAGTGGGCACATCTTGATTTAACAAAAGGTACTCCCGGGCGATACTCGAGGCAAGAACGCCATTTAGCTATTTTTTAGGTTTGTTCCAATACTTCAATAACGGAGATCTTGGCACCGGCACACTGTATGGTTCCTGGTCGTATGTTGACGGCCATACGGAGGATGGCCCTCCTCCTCCTCCTTCGCCTCCAAAGCAGTCCCGTGTTTCACGCAAACCTGATCCCACCTCTTCATCGAAAAAAGTGTCCTCGAGCGCCCATCAATCGTCTGCCAAAGTCTCCAGCTCAGAAAAACACTCGTCATCCAAATTCCCGTCGTCATCACACTCTACCTCCACAAGCCCTTCTGCAAGCCCTTCCGATGATGGCATTGCTAACGTCGGTGGTGCGGCAGCAGGCGACCCGAATTCTCCGGGCGCTGGTTCGAATACAACTGGGATTAGTGGTGCAATAAAGGGCACCAGCGGCGCAGTTTCCCTGGCCTCAAGAAACTTGGGTGTGGTGCTTGCAGCTCTTGCACTTGTTGTAGTCGATACCATATTTACTTCTATACTGGGGTAACTAGGCGATACCTGTTTCTGTGTGTTTACACTTGATTCTTTTCTGTCTAACGGCCGACAATAGAAGTTTGCTGTTCGACAAAGTAATCTAATCGGCATCTGATACGAAGATTATCTTTGTCAGTCACTGTCTGACTTAGCATGTGCCAACACCTCTCTCACGCTGACGGAAGGCGGACCCATACGTCTTACAGACTCTCACAAGTCGCCATATATAAGCTGCAAAGGAAGATGACTCCAAGCATACGGAAACTCCAGGCGACATATGACAACCCATTTCGCTATAGCCGCCACCGCTAAAGGGCAATTCGACGCCGTCCAGGTCAAGACTGAGACAACGCCTGGCGATGGAAAAGTGCTCATCGAAGTTGCATACGCTTCTATGGTGGCTTTCGACACCTATATCACCGATTTGGGGCTGGGTGTTGTGGAATATCCCGTCGTTCTGGGGCTCAATGTCTCTGGGACAGTGAAGGAAGCTGGTGGGGCTTCCCATTTAAGTATTGGAGACCGCGTGAGTCCCTACGATTACTCTGAGCATCTTACTGATGTAGTCGAAGGTTATTGGTTTCAGCATCTATGGAGGAGGCAAGAAGGACGCGTTACAGGGAACTATCCAAGAATACATCGTCCTTCCGGCGTACTTGGTCGCGAAAGCGAGTTCCCTTTCAAACCTTTCTGTACTCATTGACACTTTGTTTAGATTCCTGATACTCTTTCCCTTGAGTCCGCCGCAACCATACCGGACAATTTTATCACCTCCTTCTTCTCCCTCTTCGACCACCTCTCCCTCTCCATTCCCCAGAGCTTTCCCGCACCAAGTGTACCAGCAAATCATGACGTATCCATCTTAATATATGGCGCTGGCACTACTACAGGTCAATACGCACTCCAGTTACTTCGTCTCGCAGGCTACACAAATGTGCTCGCAACAGCCTCTCAGCGCCATCACGATTTCTTGCGCTCCCTAGGTGCAAAGCACGTCTTTGATTATCGCAGCGCCAACTTGACATCCGAGATTCGCGCCGTTTTGGGTCCTGATTCCACGGGCGTGGAGCTGGCTCTGGACGGAGTGACCGCAGAGGACACATTGGCCAGGATTGGTCAAGTGCTTAGCCCGCGAGGGACCGTTGCTCTACTTCTGCCCATCAAGGTCGGGGACGCTGTTGCAGTGGGAGATGCTGGGATGCGTTGGGAGATACCTCCCCAGAGCAATCCATTCACGGCCGAGACAAACATGTCCTATGTTCGCACGTTCCATTATGACGAGGTTTGTTTAGCTTCATTCACACCAGCCCCGCTGATGGCATTAATAGAACGAGTATCTAAAGCAACATCTTATGCCAGAAATTCTTCCCCAACTATTAGCGGCGGACCTGATTCAGCCCAATCGTGTCCGTCTGCTCGACCAGGGAACACTCAAACAACGCGTCGAGATTGGCCTGAACCTGTTGCGAAATAACAAGGTCAGTGGGGAGAAGGTCATAGTCAAAGTGTCTGAGTAGACTGTGGAATGTCGGTAAAGTAGATAGAATACACGCTAATTATTGCCTAGCTAGTATGTGCATCATCCATTGCCAGTCAGTAGTTAATAGTAGTCCGTCAGATGCATGTAGATGAGTGTGAAGTTTCCAGAAACGGAGAATGCGCTCAAAATATGAACAGTGAATGTGGTCGTGCAGCGAATGGGTGGTGGTTGGAAGTACAGAGTTCATGGAGCGCGTTAGTATGCAGGACGGAAACTTTGTTGGGACTCGCGGCCCTCAGCATGCTGCCCGTTGAAATTTTGACCAACAAAGCCAGATGTTGGCTGGATGTCGTCGATCTCGTCACGGTATGGTTGTTGTCGGAGACCCGACATTTCTGGGATATGTGCCTGTGCATGGGCCTCCCAGACACCGCTGTCTGTATCGGTCACCTGACTATGGCTCCAAGCATCACTATTCCGCTGGAGATGGCCGCCGAAGAACTGCGACCGTGACTCTGGCCCTGGAGAACGAGGCGGAACGGGAGCGTAAGGAGATGAGCCACCGCCTATCGCAGCTACGTTGAAGTTCATGCTGGGCGGTGGTGGAGCGCGTGCATTAGCCGCCTTGCCGGCGGCAATGCCGGCCCGGATACGTGCACGTCTTCTCCTGGCGATGCAAATACCAACTCCCAGCCCAAGTAGCGCCAGAGCGGCTACTCCGCCAGCAATGCCAGCAATCATTCCCGTGTTGGATGATGACCCAGAGTTAGAGCCATCCGATTGAGAGTTGTGCTGCTGATCCCCCGTGTTTGCGTTTGGGTTAGAATCAGACGAGCCAGAGGCGGTATCCAGTTTCACGCTGACAGGAAGTGACGCGGCTGCACCGACGGGTTGTTTCTCAATTCTACCGGACCCAACGATGACGAATGTGCCGTTACTGGGGACGCCATTGACAACGACAAAGATGAATGCTGGTCCAGGTTGGAAAAGATTTGGGTTCGGGGGCATTTGGGCGACATGAAGAGTGATGGAGCCATCCTTGTTGACAGTGTAGGTGTTGTCCAGTTGGAGGAATCGCTGTCCCATGTTCATACCACTAGGTACCAATTAGACGGACGGCGAAAAAAGGGGGGATAGAGCCACGCACTGAGTCGTCCACCCTGGCCTGACAACATTGACCTGGCAACTTTCTGCAGCATCGTTTCCTTTTCCGGAGTACGAACTCGACGGGATAGTTACATCGAACGCGTTACCGCCGTAGCCGAGTGTGGTGGGAACACCTTGCGGGGCAGGTCGGGTTTTGGCGGAGAAATATGGTGGGTAGAACTTTTCCGCTCGATATTCCGTGGGGAACTGAACTGCTTTGCTGATGTTCACGTCTAGGTTCGGATTCGAGCCCGCAACAAGTACAGAACCATCTGGGAGGAGGACCGCAGACGAATGATAGAGGCGCGCGATCTGACTGGTCTCAAAGCCCGTTGTCGTCCACCGCTTGCCTTTGGGTGCGTTTGGGTCGTACAATGCTGGTGTACCAACTGGCCCAGAAGCAAAAGACTGATGGAAAGGCATGTTCTCCGGGCTGGTGAGTAAATTTCGTTCGCCATATCCAGCAGTTCCATTTGCACCACCGTTGATGATAAGAAGCTGCCCTGGCACAATGTCATCACGAAGATTTCGGGAGAATTTCAAGCACTTGCCTGTGGGGAGAATAATGAACTGGCCCATGGTACGGCCTTCCGGCAAATCGTCATCTTGGACGTAGACAGCATCCCCTTCAGGTGTTATCTGATTCATGCATGAGGATTGAAGAAACAGTGTGGGACGGCCTACCCTTTGGCAGTCTTTGGATGCGGGGATGTCCCACGTGTTAACGAATGGGAAAGAGAAATTACCCCAGTCAGGTTCGTTCTACATATTGTGAGCGGGTGGTTCAGCCGCATTAATTCGCTGCTCACAATATCGGAACCGCCGCAGAAGATGATGGTCTGGGTGTACTTATTGGCTGGGGTCATAGGCAGCATTGCTGCGGCACCGCTTCCAGGATAACTGTGGACAAGTCAGAGATGCTGAATGCGGTCAACACAACATTACACTCTGATAACACCGTTTGGCATCGGCGGAAGGTCCTGCTCCTTGTTGTTATCGATGTCCCAAAGAGCTAGATAATATTAATTTAGATGTCTTCTTCAAAGGCACCACAGACCAGTCGACAGGTTGGCTTGCAAAAAGAACTTCCCAGAAGCCATGAGATATGCATGGGGGTATGCATTGAGGGCAGAGGACTATTAATTCCAGTCAAACTCCAGGTCCAATGGTACCAAGGGCGACATACCTTAAAGAGGAAATCCAATCTCTGTGGGGCCTGGTTCCTGGTATTCGGGAAAAATTCATAAGACAATGACCCTCCAAGACTAGGGTCGTTGTTTGGGACGATTCGGAGTATGTCTATTCGTGGGTCAGTCGCTTGCCAACAGTTGAACTGAAAACGTACATCCGCCACCAGTAAACCCGCCCATGAGCACAATTGTCCCATCTCCACGAGGTTCGGCCGTTGAATACCATCGCTGAGCTTGCATCCGCAATGCATTATTCGTTGGGTCTTTCTCCTGTCAATACGCGAGAACTGAAACAACAAGACGTAAACTCACCGTCATACCACTGACAAGCAGGTGAGTTGAAGTCGTCTGAGGAGGAGCATGGGCTGAGGATTCGGATGGCACGAGACCCGTCAAAATCTTGTAGAATCGAGTCCCAGCCTGAAACCAAGTTGCCTTTACGATCGAGAAAAGGTACCCTCCACTAACCGTCACCGTCTGAGGCTCCACCACCTATGGCGACAGCGCCGTTGCCACCGAAGACAGCATAAGAGCTTTTTGAATACGATCAGAACCGGCAGGCGAATAGGGAAAGCACATACCCATTGGGCAAATGCATGCCAGAACTACAGAAGGTGTTGGTCTGCACGTCCATAAGGTCAACTTTCCCCGAATTGAGGTCACTAAAGTCGATTCGTCAACATGATCTCGATAAAGATTTCCACGCACTATGCAGAGCCCCAAGCTGAGTGGCCTTTGATCTGTTCTGCGTTTCCTTGCGCCTTGTCAAGGATATAGACCTTGTCTGTGTTGCCCACAAACATCTGGCATGGCATTCAGAGGACGACAAAAATAGCGGGCATCGTTAACCGCACCATCATGGCGCTAACACGCGTGTTAGCAGACACGCTAAAGGTGCCTGGGTTGGCAGCCGCGACCGCATGAGGGAGAAGGAGAAGTAATGCGGAGGGGAGGGCTTCAAGCAGCCGCATTGTATCGTATCCGCAACGGAGAAACGGAAATGCGGGGAGGTGAAGTAGAAGAGATGGAAAAAGGGAAAAGGGTGGGAATCTACATGCAACTGAAAGGAGCGCATGTCGTCGTTGTGGGCGGTGATGATCGCTTGGCAAACTAAATTGATTGTCGGCCTCGATCCCTGACAAAACGGACTCAAACTGCATCGCTTTCTCGGCCTTCATTCAGTGTGGTCTTGAACATAGGATTGCATTTGTGCCTGCCGCTTGAGTGAGCAGCATATAGGAAAAGAAATTTAAGTTGAGGCGAAGTTCTATGGAGACGTGATCGCGGCCTATGATCTATTAATATGCAAAACACGAAGAGCGGCTTTCATGGGCATCGCTACTTATGGGTTGTCTGGGACCTGAACAAATGTCAAACGCTGTTGGTGGCAATCTGTGGCAATGAGCATCGACGTTGACCACTGCTTCAACTCTGACAAGACGACGTGATTACAATCTATGAGCCTTGCTTGAACAACGAGTCAAGCTTCAGGTTCAGATTGGGGGAGTACTTACGGCCACAAGTCCCTTGGTATTGCACTGCTCCAACTCGGAATCGCTAGAGATAATAATCAGCTCTGAGCGTATAAACCTCGTAGCGGCGGACAATGGACACGATCTAAAAACGACTGTGTATAATGTACATTGCGTGAAGTAGAATAGCACTGATTTGATCATAAGTTACCACTCGTCCAAGACTGCCTGCTGCAGCGTCTTACTCCATTCTGTAACCTTATGATGCGCCATGACCTATGGGGAACATGAGATTCACTTGTCACGGGAAAAGTTGGACTCGACGCACTTTACTCGGGTCGAAGTTCAAGATTTGAAGACCTTGCAGAGAGGTGGCGCGAGAGAGCGCAACGTATGCCTGACCTGGAAACTGTTGGCAGATAGCTAAACTTCGTGTAACAACCGACCTTTCTCAAACACTCGACCAAGATCCACTTTCACTCGTTCCAACGTTTGCCCTTGCGATTTGTGAATGCTCAGGGCCCAAGCAAGAATAAGGGGAAGCTTGAAGCTATTCAGCTACGCGCATCACTCAGAGGGAAGACCGACTTGTGATCTGCTTGCTTGAACCTCTCCCGTAGGCAATTCTACTTTGAAACTTTCGGGTTTCACCATCATCGTCGCTTTAGCACCCGTCGCTAACGAAAATTCCACGATAGGATATAATATTCCTCGGCTTGCTGTGGTCTTTCCAACGGCGGATGATGCGGGTTTCTTGCCTCCGGGTACTGCGACCGTTGTCTCCCCGAGAATGTCAAAATCCTCTTCCAGCGCCTTCGCTGGGTCAGCAAAACGCAATACTATACCCATGCTTCCATTGACAAGTTGTTCATCCATGTTCTTGATGAGCATGACCTAGATACGAGTATGAATTATCTGATATTCAATCAAGATAGTGGCTTGCCTGGGCTCCTTCTCGTAGTTGCAAGTTTTCCTCCGCCATAAAATTGGACAGAAGGCGCCCACGCGCAGTTGGGTCGGTGACGCTTCCTCCATCAGAAGATTTGAAGTTGCGGACCTCGGTGTTGAGTCGTGTCATACGAGAGTTGTTGGACTGGTGAACATCCTCACGACGAGGAAACCTAGAGGGGAGTTGAGCATAGTGTGATAAATGACAACACTATGATCATACAGCTCGGTTGGACCAAGACCGTCTTCATATACTATTTCACGAGAAAGGGAACGGAATTTGTCAATGGACTTTTGTGTCAACTGCCCGAATCGCATTTCATTCAACATGTCGATGAATTCTGTCTGGTTTAGAAAACAAACGCAAAACAACGTAGAATTACCTTGATCACTCTGTCGAAACACCTGGGTAAGGTTGAAAGTCCGTGGGATTGCCTGTTTCCACATCGCAGCCTCGAAAGCAAATTTGACGCCACTCTTCCCCACAGGCGGTAACTGGAAAAAATCTCCAGTAACGACAAGCTGAATGCCGCCAAAAGGTTCCATGTTTCGTCGGATGAGAGCTCCAATACGGGAGAGTTTGTCGAAGAGGTCACCGTCAAGCATAGAAACTAGTAACATTGAACGATCGTTGAATTAGGTCAATCCAAGGCGCACCTTCGTCAATAATCAGAACTTTGGTCCTTGTCCACCGGCTAAGTGCCTTTTTGTTCCTGCGAATCTTCTCAAAAAGCTTCTCTGCATCCTCTATACCCAGGCCAATTCCAGCAAACGAATGAATCGTCACGCCACCGATATTGCACGCCGCGATGCCTGTTGAAATGTTATACCGTGCTAAAGAACGAGCAGAAGCCGCACCAGTTGACGCGGTCATGGCGACAGCATCCTGTACACGACCGTACTTCTTCTTGAGCCCCTTGATAATTTCACGCAGGAGGACCGATTTGCCAGTGCCTATGCCATTAGAAAGAGGTTAAGGAGGAACGAACCTGGCAACTTACCAGCACTTCCAGTATAAAACACGCTTTCCCCATCGTCCACGACAAGTTTGAGGATTTGTTTTTGCTCCCCACTGAGCTCGATTGTTCCAGCTTTGCGCTTGGTGAGTGGCGCGGGAGTATAGGTCGCTTTGTTGCGCGAGAACGCGGTGGAACGGGAAGATAAATCGTGTTCTCCGTCATCTTCGTAACCTGGAGGGAGTTTTCGTGGCTTTTTCGTTGGCTGCAACGCGTCAGAAAGCCCAGGATCGCTTGGTCTTTTCGATGGTAAGGATGGCTTGGTGGGTTCCGCGAGAGTCGGTGTGGAGCGGTTGTTGAGCGCGTTCTGTATTTCGCGTAGGCGGCGTTCGCGAGCGGTTTCGCGGGCGCTTAGTTCGGGGGTGGACGACGTGGTCTGAGACGACGAGGTGGCTTTAGGGGGTGTGGGGTCCCATGGTATGGCGTCCTGTGAGCCAACTGAGCTGCTGGAGAAGTCTCGCTTCACAGAAGCAAGACCAGACTTTGCTTTTGACATGGTTGAGAGGAAGTGCAAAGCAGTAAAGTATGTTCGGTGCGATCAACAAACTACGCGAGCACGTGATTGTGACATTTGTGACCATGATCAAGATCAGTGCAGCGAGCAGGCAAGTACCTTGCCCTGACTGAAGTAGGCCGCGACTCATAGATGGGTCTTTGGATGGTAACACCACATCCGTTACAATGGAACAACGATTGAAGATGATTGGATTACAGCCAGTTTCAGTAGAATCTGGATTGCAAGTACAGTAAGTATGTGTCACTGGCAAACTTCGTGATGGAACTCGAGTTCCACAACATCTTTGGTTTTCTTATTCAATACCAGAACCGCTTCTTCAGATGCGTCGTTCAGAAGAGCATATGACCCTTTGACCTGTTGGGCAAGCTGCGGCGTTGTCGACTCAGTAGGTCCGAATTGCCATACATCAATGTACTCGGGAGTAAGTGCGAGGATATGCTTCCCATGCACGACTAGGTATCACCAGTCGGACCTTGCATATTTGACCAAGGGCACGGACACGCACCAACAGATGATGGTGTTCCATTCCACTGGATCTTCACCAAGTTGTCCAACGAGCGACCGAGTTTATTGACAAGGAAACCCAACTCTGCATAAGACTAGTCATACGCCATGCCGTCGGGATATAGAAACATACTTGAGTAGGAGACCAGAAAGTGATCGCCAAATCGAGATATGCCGATAGGTTTTCCGGTCTCTCGCGTATTGTATACGAACTTTAAAGCTGGATCATTCGAGTCGAGGAAAGGTTGCGACTCTGCATTTCCAATGTTGATGACATCGAATCCACTGTGTTGTGGCGGGGCTTTCTCGATGGCGACAGCTAACAGCCTCCTCGAGCACAAGTGAACCGAGGTGACCTGCTGCTCAATAAAGCAACTGGAGTCCTCCACGAGACGAGCATAGTCATTGGCGAACACAATGTCAAACAACTTGAAAGTCGGTGCGCTCTTTGGTATTTTCCGGACCGCGCAAACCCGATGGCGCTCTCCCAGGTTTTTGCTTCGGAGAACACTTATCATAATGATAGGCTTTTGCATCCGGACCACGTCTAGCTCTTGATAAGTGCTGGAGACCAATGCTCGCAATGGAAAGGTAATAAGTTGTGAATCTATATTGAAATCAGGTATTCATAAGAAGCCTGAACTGCGGGACGAACCGGCGATACAGATTAAAAGATCGACGTCGATGAATAACTCGATTTGAACAACATCGGGCAGAGATGCGAGACGCTTCTGAGAGCCATCGCTGCTCGCAAAATAAACCCCATCCAAAGCGCCATATATCACCCCGCCTGAAGTAGGATAAAGATAGATAGGGGAGGTCGAAGATAACATACCGTCAAGGTACGGAGCGGCACAGCTGATGGTGGCAGGTCTCAACTTGGAGGGACCAGGATGACAAGCCGTTCGCTGGTGAAGGATTTCGCGGCTCCGTGGATGCCACGTGCGACACACAAGATTGCATGCAAGAATAGATGGGACATCATCCAAATGGTCCATCATGAGCTCATAGATTTCCGTTGGAATTTGCTCTGTTATTCGAACGGAAAGAGGGGGACTAGTCTTTGAGGAGCCCTTTGACTTTTGGCCGTGGAGTGCCTTGCTGAGGACGGTGCTGACGCTGAGTTTGGAAGCAGGCATGGTTGTGGTTGTGGTTCAGGGTTGTTTTGAGATTGTTCACGGGAACGACGATTATGTAACACAAATCGATGGCCGTGAGGTTACGGCCGCGTTTCGTTGAGGCCAAGTGAAGGTCGATCGACAGGTATTTTCATAGAAACTCTTTTTAGTGAGAAACCCCAAACTCGTTCTATATTTCGAGCAGCACTTAGAACTCACTGATCGTGAGCATAGTGTGAGCATGGGCGGGCGTTGTATCATAACATTTGACACGGTAGTGACGACGCACGTGACTGTGTCACACTTGAGGCAATTGTGCCAACGTGGATTGTTCCTTTTTTCGAGCGAGAACGACAACAGGGCTGCCAGTGAGCGAAGTATTTAACCTGAAACATCTCCAGATTATCTGTACCAACATCTTTATTGGTAGATTCACAGGGACCTGCGTTTATTGCTTACCGTTTCAGCTCAGTTTCCCAAAACCCTTTATATTGATATATCCACCGACGATTCAGAACGAATAATGTTTCGGGAGCTGAGTCTTTTTATCCACGAAGGATTTCGCCAAAAACGGTTTTGTGCATCAAGCTAGGTGCGATGAAAAATTCTGCTGCTCAAATCTTAGTACTTGAGTTCTCGGCGTCGATATCACAAGAGGACACACAATGAGGCACTTGCAATCGGTGCTTTCTTGCATTTTCCAGATTGGCGAGAGCTACTGGCTATGATTTGGTTAAAACACAGTAATTTGTTTCACAGATGGTGCAGTGATTTTGAATCTTGTCCCATGATGTTATGCTGGAGAGTAAAAACCTGCGCTTCGTCAGTCAGTTCAAAGATACAGCCAAAAAAACCTTCACGAGCCATCTACTTTGGCCACATATATGGTCATACTGGTCAGATAATATTATTGCTTCCGAGTCCGACCCCAGTTCAACTTTGAAGGAAAATGGCGCGTTCCAGGCCAACAAAGCCACCAACCGAACGAGGGACTCGTCGATGTCGGTTGTTTTCCTATTGAAGATGAAACTAAAATCAAGAAATTTTAGCACCAATTTCTCCGAGTTCAGGACAGCATACGCAGTAGTAAATCCGGCTAGTTATGATATTCAGGTTCAAATCCGAAGTTACTTGGAACCGTCATAGTACTTTGTGGTGGTTGGAGCAAGTTTTGACCAAGACAGAGGAAACCATGGGCCATGCAGCGCAGCTTACATATGATCGAGGTGAGGAGCACGATTCTGGGCCCTGAACAGGAGTTGTTGTTCTGCATCGACGGCAAAAACAATTGATCAAGCTTGACGACGAGGAAAGACGGTGAATAGTTGACGATATGTATGAGAATAAGCAGTTGACTTCAAAACCGAAAAAAGGAAGAAAAATGTCTTTTTTTCATTCGTGAGATACTCGTCTTAAGGTAATCCGCGTGGAAGCTGGGGAAATTACTGCGAGGCAGTAGATGAAGGGGGAAGTGAGGGATTGACGGGTGAGATCATGCCGTGTGGCTGATTTTGGCGAGAGCCCTCATGTCTTCCCCAACCCGCCTTTAGCCAATCTGCTCGTCTGCCCAAATTCTTCACCATGTCTGTCGGTGCGTTGCTTTTTATACTGACTCGCATCGCTTGAATGTATTGCAGACATTCCTCTCGCCGTTGCCTCGCCTTCACCGCCAGTCACAATCATGTCTGCCCCACCATCGTCCAGCTCGAACTCGAGCGTCACCAGCCTCGCGGCTCTGACAGACAGCGTCCCTACCGCGGACGTGGACCCTCAAATCCTCGAGGCACTCACCGGGAAGGATAGAATCTATGTGCTCAAACTCGGAGAGAGCATGGAGAACCTAATCAACGATCGCACTCAGTCAAGACAACGAATAGACCTCACTCCCGCCACAACTTACCAGCGAATGCTCGTCCACCGCTGTGCCGCTTACCACAACCTCGCTCCAGAAACGGACTCTTTGACGAAAGTCATTAGTGTTGTAATAACCGCAGAAAGCCGAATGTGCGTGTTCTGCTCTTCCTCGAGCAATTCCAACTAACTACCTCAAAGTCCCGCTCGAAGAATTGCGGACTTGTCCCCACCACCAGTCGAAACACCGCCCAAATTCAAAATTATGATGCGCAAACCCATGTCGCAGGCGTCGTCTGTCACAGGCGACGATGGTGATGTCTCAGACGTCGAGGCATCAGAGACGGGTAGTCTTGGCGGCAGGAGCTCTGCTAGCGCCAGCAAACCACGCATGACAATGGAGGAGCGAACTGCCGCCTACAACGAAGCACGTAATCGCATCTTCATAGACTTCGACGAGAAAGATCAGAGTTCGGCCTCCTCCTCTGCTTCGCTCGTCTCATCAACGAGTGCCAGTGGGGATGATCCTGGCTCCCCAGCAACAGAGAGTGAGTGGTCTGGCCCTTCCACCAAAAAGCAGCCTCCACATCGAGCCAATTCTGCTTCGTCGTCACGATCACTCCGTAGCTCAGCCCCAACATTCATGTCAGCAAATGGTTCTTCGTCGTCACGCAACTCTCGTGCGCCATCCCCCGCTTTCAAGTACCCGACACTCTATGAACCTCCTCCATTAAATGGAAACATGTCGATGGCTGTACCGCCTTTTGATGGACCTCACCAACCAACTCCCGGATTCCATGGACCTCCTCCTCCACAACACCAGCAGCCCGCAATGCAATATTACCCGTATCCTCCTCCAATTCCCCAAGGTCAACCACAACCGCAACAACCCTTTATGGCGCCGTATCCATATTACGCGACATATGGCCCTTACTCCCATCCGCCCACCCCAGGCTCTGACCCAGAAATGTATCCCTATAATCACACTCCTCCTTACTGGAACGGGCCGCCTTATCACCCACAGCAAAACGGTGGCAACTCACCGCCACCACAAAATCCTCAGCATCACATGAACGGTTCACCACCCCCGATGCCGCCCTTCAATAACTTCGGCAGCCTCCCAAATCCACCTCCAAACTTTGCTGTGAATGGGTATGATCCCAACTCGTCGCCATATGGGCATCCCCAACCGTACTATCACCCGAACCTCCAACAAATACCCATGCAGCCCTATATGTCTCCTCCGCCACACTCCCAACCGCAACTGCCGTCATTTGAGCCAAACCGGGTAAATGGACGTGTTACTACCAACGGCGGAGCGAATGGGAATCGACGCAACAGCAATGTTAATGGAACTGGGAAAGGCCGCCCGGGGGCGCCTCCACCTCAAAGAGCAGCCTGGAGTTATGGCCCTGGTATTTCAGGGGGCGTAGACTTTCCCTCAACGGCACCAGTGGGTCCAAGGCTCAGCGGTAGTATGGGGGTATATGGGCCAGGTATGGGGATGAGAAGGAGCAGTTCTGGTAATCGAACAACAAGTGGATCGGGAAGCTCAGCAGGCGATGATGTCTCCAGTGTTGCAGTACGTGGTGAAGCTCTCATATTTCCTTCCAATACATGATCATTTATAGTCATCGTCAACGACATCCTCTTCATCAAGGCGGACTTATACTTCGACTGCATCTTCAACTCAGCATCATCCTTTGCCTGCTCGGCCGGACTGGGCGGTGGGGTTGCGACCCAACCCCACATTACATACACCCCGACATCGAGAGCATGATGGGCGAGACAATTCGCGTCAGCTTCCATTCTTACATTCATTCTAGTCGTTTGATTCACCGTCACTATAGGAAGCACGAGCACTAGTGGTAACTCGTCTCCACATGGTCATGGCCCGATTCGACAGCATCAGCACGACTTAGTTCCGTCAACCATGACGGACTTCCCGCCACTATCTAACGGACAAACGTCGATCAGTGGGAATGGTTCAGTGCAGCGAGCGCCAGGTGGAGCATGGACAAACTCTTCGTCAACCCGATCAATTGTGATGATGCCCGGCCAGCAAGCTGGCACTGGCGGCAGCAATGGTAATGCGTTGGTCACGCACGACCCCAAAATCACATTAGCGAGGAGGCCAATGAGTAGTTCAGCCAAGGACAAGGCCCGAGGCGATGCGGTAGCCAACGCCATTCTAGTCAACCAGATTTCTCTCTTGTCGCTAGAAGAGCAAGACAGCGTTGGCCCCCGGTCATCTCCCTCGCCTATCTCGATGCAGGAGGCTGCGGTGTCATCAGGGTAGCCTGGGCTATACGAGCAGCTATCTATCTCTGTGGGAGGGCGCGTCTGTCATTTGTTTGTTGTTGTTTTCTTGCTATCGATTTCATCTCAATCACTTACTCTCACTCACTCACTCATTCGCGTCTAATAGCTCTTGGGGCGTTGTGCATTATTTACCTACATTATAGACACAGATGCATTAGTTGTGTACCATTAGCGAATACAGACGGATGTGTGTGTGCTTGTATTTGTCATCAATCTAGGTTCAAGTTGTCTGGACACTGCTCGACCTCTTCTCTCATGGTCACCGCTTTAGGACCGTGATCAACGCCACGAAGATCATAGCGACTTCAGGAATCCTCCCCTGTAATCAGTGTCTTCTCTCAAAACTCTGTCCCATTGGCACCCATAATTATCGCGGAGAGTCTACAAAAAGCCACGAACCCAGTAGATTCTCTCATTCGAGATGACGCGTCTCTTCTTATTTCTTCCCCTCTTCAGCACAGTGATGCTTGCTGCGGCCGGCACTACAACCGAAGTTCAAGATGGCCAGACAGGCACTTTGATCGTCTTGCCTGCCCAGGCAACCGAAACGGGGACGAAACGAATTCCCGACGCGGCCCACCCATTTGTCGCACCCGGTCCAAATGACCAACGAGGACGTATGGCCGTCAAGCTTCTCCCTCTCTGCTGTTGACCTGATCTTGCCCCCGCGCAACTGCAGCTTGCCGTTCGTCTTCCGTTTTCACTCTCCTGACGCTCTCAGAAAGCTGATAGCGGCCATGAATACCCTTGCAAATCACGGATATATCCCTCGAAAGTGGGTTTCAGCGATGCGTTGACGTGCTCGATGCCTTGCTAACCATACGCTAGTGGAATTGCGACGTTTGAGGAGATAACCATTGCCATGATGGAGGTCAGGAAAGTTACTTGGGAATCTGAGGTGCCATTGCTAATCGTGTCCGGTGTAAGGCTTTCAACATTGAATTGCTATTTGGTGCGACCATGGTTTCCAATAACATGGTGCGGGTCTCATAAGAATGTTAGCCAGACTAATCTTCGTTCCAGCTGACTCGCGGAAACCCTTTTGTGAACAAAATTTCTATCGGTGGTGTGTCTCCTCTGGTGCCGCCTCTACCGCACAAGATCGATGGTCCAGAAACGGGAGGGATAGCAAAACATGGACGCTTTGAAGGCAGGCTGAAAATTTTCCGACACCTCGTTGATAACGACTTGAGTATAGGCGATGCTTCAATAACGAGAGCTGACGCTCTGATTGGGGACAACCGCAACTTCCAAGATAGGCTATATGATCTCGCGAGTTTCTTTACTGTGGGCATCTTCGCGATCTGACATTGCCTTTACTAGGATCTCTTGCAACTCGGTAAATTTGGGGACAACGGGGTGGAAGGCAACAATACTGTCTGGAACATCGATGCCCTGATTGCCATGAAAAGGCAAAATATAGCCATGGACCAGGCGGCCAACCGAGGCTTCCAGTTTCCGCCACGGCGCTTCAATGCAGCACTCACCCAAGCCGCGTTTATTCTCAAGTACGCTGCCCCAATTATAGTATTCCCAACATCTAAAAACTGACCGGTCTCATGATCACAGTGTTTTTGCCAATGGTGAGTGACCTATCCGCCCGCCGCTCCGTCTGGATGACGCAAAACTGCAGGAACTACCAAAGAAGCATCGTTGAGCACGATCGGCTCCTTCTTCCGGAACCAGACGTTCCCAGCCAACTGGCATCGCGCGGCTGCGCCAGTCACGGGTGCTGTGAACGCACCTGCGCTGAACCAAATCATTGCTGGTGTTGGCATCCAGCCAGGCCGGAATAACCTAGATGGGGTCTTCGTCGCCGACCCCCCTTTGCCATTCCCTTTCAACACTAGTTTGGTGGGTCCTAAGGCCTCTGCCGTGACGGTCCAAATATTAATGCCAACAAGGCCTGTGCCGCTTATTTCGACCAAGCCGCGAATATTGCCGCAGTACTTGTCAATACGACGGGAATCTTCAAGCAGAACGTAGATCTAATGACTGGTATTACGTTCAAGGCAGCCTCAGGAAGTCCTGGGTGCACCCAGCAAATGCTGCCTTTCGGGCCTGCTGGGGTTTAGGAGGTAGCCTTACCCAAAAATATGTGATCTTCGCGGCACGATGCAATGCTGTCATATTCCAAACTTGAAGGACCCTATTTTGAGAACACACGCAAGTCAAACTAGAACTTGAATTTTTCTCCGACACAACTCGGTCAAGTCCCACAACTTTTTTGCGTTCAATCCTGGGAGCATACTTAACGTTCATAAATAGATTCCAAGCGGCAGGAAGATGGCATACGGGGTCTGTGTTATGCTGCACTGTAGAGTCATTGGCCAGCATACAATCATCGAGGTAGGAACCAGGACTGTCTTCGATACGGGGATCGATAGCTGCGACAAGGGTCCTTTTGAGAGTAGGTTGAGTAAAACTAAAAGTGAGCAGACAGTTGCAACATACGTAGCAGCACCTTGTGCCAGGGTTTTCCATTGAAACTTTGTATCGGATCGCAGTGGCTTTCCATCTGGGCCAAGAATACCTAGTCTCTAAAAGTAAGGAATAGTGTAGTCCGTGATCAACATGTGTGTGTATATCACTGCGTAGAGATAAGCAAGCCAGGGAGTCGATCAAGTAATTTGAACCTACAACCAGAATTGAGACTATAGCTCTTAATTTCCTGGTTCGAACGCTTGGACAATTCGATGGCGGTGAGAACTTTGGCACATTTGACTATGATAAGCGTCCTGGGCATCGTATTCTTTGCGGTCCGGGTTGACGAGAGTATCGGAATCGACACCATTCCCTTCGAGTAAATGTATGCATTGAGGTTGAATAAGAAGAGAAATTACATGAAGAGGTTCGGTGTACACGTTGGCCTCGACAGCAGCTTGACGTACGGCGGAGAGGGAGGATAGATCGACCTTGAGATGAGGTATGTTGGCTGTCGGCCGAACAGCCTCAGCGGGCGGCGTGCTTCAAGCTTTAGTGCATTCAACAAACCAGATTGTCGAATTGCTCACAAGAAATGCTCATCGCTCTTCGTTGCTACCAGTCATGATGTCACTGTTCGCATATTTTGCTATTGCTCGCACTGTTTCCGATACCGCCCACCGATGTACCAGTTACTACTAGTAGAACTAAAGGTCGGTAGGTGAGTTACTTATTCCGCTAAAAAATCAGAGGTTGCGCTACCATTCTTGCCACGAATCCGGTCTGCAAGTTCTTCTGCCACTTCTTCGGCGGTGCTGGTAGTGGTGAAGACCGGGAGTGAAGGCATGATTGGGTGAAAACCATCGTAGGCGACTGTCTTATATAGTCGACCTTTGGGTGGTAAATCTTGTTGAGTGGTCGGGGGCCATCCGAATGACGAGAGGGAACGAGAACCACAATGAGCAAAGAAAAAGCCGGTGCTTTCACAGGTGAGCGGGAGTGATGTGGTCAAGACCAACTTGAACCCACGTAATCGCTGTGACGTTGTCCATCTTCTTTCCCCACTTCTTCTCATCTTCTTTCCCCGCGAAATGCCAAAGCCTTCATGAGTAGATGTTGCATACGCTCCGTCACCTGGCTTGCATCTTGCCAACCATTACCACCACGAACTGGGCACCATGTCGACCACGTATATTGACTGGCTGCCGCCTGAACTCTTTGCGCTCATCGCCGAGGATCTATCTCTCCCCTCTTTGAACGCCTTTGTCACGTCCAATCGGCGCATTCACGAGATCCTCCAACCCACACTTGATCGCTATCTCCGTCCAGAAATGGTGCCAAACCTTCTTCTGTGGGCAGCGTTTGGTTCCAAGCCACACATCTTATCGAAACTCCTTGCTCCTCCCCACTCGACAGACCCGAACACGAGGATCAAGCAGAAGAAATACGATAGCCAAACCCCGCTGCACGCAGCAGCAGAAGCGGGCTCACTCGAGGTTGCTCAATTGCTGCTTAAAGCAGGGGCCGATCCAGCTGCCATTCGATTCGACCACGACTATCTTCGAGTCGGATCTTATCAACCCATCCATCTCGCAGTCTACAACGAGGATTATGCAATGATGGAGTTATTGCTTCGGTACGGCGCACCCATCGATGCCCTCGGCGGACACCTCTTCCACAAAACTCCACTCCAGTTTGCGTGTACCTCCGGGAAACTGAGGCTCGTTCAATTCCTTCTTGACCATGGCGCCAATGTCGAGTCAAGTCATGACGGATACGCCGCCCCGCTTGTCTGTGCTCTACGGGCTGACCCCCCACAGCCGCAAGTCGTCAAGCTCTTGCTGGAGCGTGGCGCAAATCCTAACATGGTCGCAGGCGGTGCACCCGTGCTCTACGAGATGTTGGACTTGTGGCCTTCGAACACGTCCTGGAGTTTCCAGAAAGCGCTCGCGCTGAAGAAATGGACCGGATTGCCTTTGAAGGATGCCCAGTGCGCCAACATGGCATTGCTGCTCCATTACAAGGCATCGAAAGATGCCGTGACCGAGCACTTGCATAACAGCCTCGATTTTTTGGTCGAGAGATCTGGTCGGGATACTCAGAAAATCAAATCCATCGTTAGGCAGATGCTCAATGACGCTGAAGCCGCCATTCCAAACATTCTTTACTCGCTGAGGCATATCTGATCTTGGCCCAACCTCTCGGTTGTTAAGTTTTTGTGGAAGCCTGTATGATTAGATTGAGGACAACCAATGGAATTCATCACTTGATTACACAACTCTGCCTAAACCCCAGCCGGACCGAAGGGCAGCACTTGCTGGTTACATGCCGCGTTGACTGACGACACTGTTGCGAAGGCAATGTTTGCCAATAAATCAACATTTTCCTTCAAGATGCCCGTCGTGTTGAGCAAGACGCCGGGAATATTCGCAAATTGGTCGTAGTATGCTTGACAGGCCTACGTTCAACCGATTAAGGTCTCTTAGCGACATGAAATGTGCACATACAAAGCTGGAGTTGAACGGCGCAGGGGGGAGAGGGTCGGCGACGTATATTCCGTTTGGATTGTTTCGACCAGCTGGAACGCCAACTCCGGCTACTAACTGTCCTATGATGGGGCCAACGGTTGCGCCAGTCACTGGAGCAGCTGCTCGGTGCCAATTTGCGGGAAACGTTTGGTTTCTGAAGAATGATCCAATAGTGCTGAAGGAAGCTTCTTCTGCTGTTGTGGTCACGGACCCACCTGCCCTTGCACTCGAACGACGACCATCTCTCTACACATTCTTTACACCCTACTCGCCACCATGATCTCGCCCAAATTCTTCGTTCTCGCCTCGCTCGCCTCCCTCACCGTTGCCTCTGTCGTCCCTGCGCCGGTCAACAACCTCGCTGCCCAGAAAGGTCTTCCCACCAAGGCGAGTTTGATTTCACGTCCAACGAACTCGCTGTTTACGCTTTCCACTCTCTCAGAACCTACCCCTTCCTCGCAACATCCCCGTCTCAGCGAACGTCCACACCCCCAACAGCGAGAAGAAGGCTGACGTCTATGTCCCATCTAACGTGCGTGTTATTCTACTCGACGCGTGCTTTTTCATCTAACCTCTCATTCAGAAAATGGTACACGTTAAGCGTGGCTCGCCAGCACCCGCCGCCCCTGCCGCACCCGCCCTCCCCGTCAAACTTCCTGTCGACCTCCCTAAGCGTGGTCTTCCTGTTTCACCGCCCAGCCCGAATCTATCCAAGAGTTCACTTCCCGTCAAACCACCTGTTGACCTCCCGAAACGCGATTCGCCGATGCTGCCTGCAGTCAAGCCTCCTGTTCCCCTCCCTCGCGAACTCAACTCGAATGCTGCTGTTCTCAACTCTCGAGGCGGTACCGACCAAACTGATAGCACGACTCTCAACGAGCCCGCCATCGTCAGCAAGCTTTTGCCCAAGCTTCCAAATACCATTGCGGGTTTGTCGTCTCTTTTGACCGTTGACATTGTTTCAACTGTTCTCAGGACACTACGACGAAACGAAGAATGGCGAGAAAGTGGATGACTTCGACGTAAACGGCATCACTGGTACCAGCTGGAGAGACCAACTTGTCCACACCCACTCAGAAGAGCAACCCGACGGACGCAAGACGAAGAGCACAGTCATCGCTGGCGGTTTGCTTGAAGGCCACTCGGAAACACATTCAGCCCGCCAATTGACGCAAGACAAGCAGAAGAACGACGACGAAGTGATCAATGGCGGAATAGTAGATGTACACAAGCACACGGAAACCAAGCAGTAGTTACTCCAATATATTTCTCGTTCGATGAAAAGCCAAAGTCGTTAGTCGATGAAAAGCTCAAGTCGTTAGTTACATCAAGTCTAATAAATTCTTCGTTGGACTATTACTCCGAAGGGGCCGTTTATTGCTGGACGGGCTTGGGCTTGGGCTTGTGCTGGGAGTAGGAAGTGCCCGCAATTGATCGAGCGACGCGTCGATGAGGGAAATGAATTCCTGGTACTCAGCGTGGGCCTCGGCGAATGTATGGGTCAATGGGTTCAGGGCTGACTAAGCCTGTTCCACGAGAATTGCTGCTACTGTAACGTTAACACACAGTTATTCCTCCAGTGAACTGTCCTTCCTCCTTCACCAGCACAAGCCGGGCCATGTTAAAGTCGTTCAGAACACCCTTCGGCTTGTCAAGGAGAAGATTGTTGAAGCTGATGTCGACATGAAGGACTCTTTTCCTCTATGACCTGATTATGATCATGATCGGATAAAGAGTTGATAATCAGGGAGAATCAGGGAGGAAGACACGAAACTCAACCTTAGACGAGCCATCCCTTGCGAGCAAACTCTTGCCTGGTGTCCCAAAGACGGTCGCTGGCTTGTCATTTGTTCTATTGCTTGGATTATGTCGCTAACTTGAAGGTTTCATCAGAGGACCAAGAAGGATGGTGGTATTGTGCACGAAAACAAATCGACGCACTCAGCGTGGCAATTAAAGCAGGCTAAGCAGAAGAACGACAACAAAAGTTGTCAATGGTGTTCACAAGCACGCGGAACCTAAGCAGTAGTTGTACAAACTCCAATATATTTCTCGTTCACCATTTTACACCGGCTAGCTAGCTATCCTAATCCCGTTCTCGAGTGCGAAACTTGGGTTGCGCTAGTGGTTGCCAGTTAGCCACCTTTCTTTGACGCTTGAGACTCGAAGGAGACGTCGATTCGGAGGAGGGAGGGGTCTCTTCCGCCTCTGGATGCCGTCGTTTTCCAGGACTGGAGGGAGTGCTAGCGGGTTTCGGCGGAAGTGCCCTCAATTTGGCGAGAGACGCGTCGATAAGAGCAATGAATTGTGGATACTCGTCATCGCGAGCCTCGTCAAATGTATGACTCAATGGCTCGGGGGCTGGCTCGTCTGACTCGGCATTGGCAGCTTGCTCTTCGATGACTTCTGCGAGTGCTTCAATGCGGGGCAGGAAAAAGCGGCGCATCTCGTTGAGACACTCCCGCATGATCTTGCGCTCGTCGCCCTCGAATCGTTGCACGCGGGACACGATTGCCTTTCGCATGAAGTTTTCCTTCAAGTTCGCCAGCATCTTCCCTTCTGATATGGACGTCCAATCCGTGATGGGTTCTGGCAACCGAGCCAGCAGTTTCCCGACACAGTCGTGGCCAAGGCAAACATAGCATAGCGCGTAGAACACGGATTCAAGATCGTCCATGTTGTCGTGGGGTCCAAGCAGCGGATCGTTGCGCAATAGCTTGACGGATTGGAAGGCGCGGGTGCCCTGGCAAACGGTGAGCAAGAGGCAATGGTAATAAATGGGGAAACACACGGTTATCCCTTCGGTAAACTGTCCTTCCTCGTTCTCCAACACATGCCGGGCCATGTCGAAGTCAATCAGAACGCCCTTCGGCTTGTCGGGGCTCGGATTTTCAGCCCGAGCGTTTTCGGTGAGGAGAAGGTTGTTGAAGCTGATGTCGCCATGGAGGACTCTTTTCTCGATGAAAGCGTCTCTGTGACCTGAGGTTACGTCAATAAACAGTTGATGATCAGTGAAGGAGACACGCACCACACACAACATCGCGAGTCGCTTCAAGAAGCTCTATGGCGGTTTCCGCCTCCTCGAAAGTCCCCACATAGCGGTCGAGGACGATCCGCATCAGAGCGCGGTTCCCCACAAGCCGGCCAGTCACATAAGTCGCGAATATCTGCTCGTCAGGTTGATGGCAACGTTGGGCGTAAATGGTCGCGATGTTGTTCTGCCAAAGATGCATTTGGCCAACGCCGAAGATACCAGCGACCCTTTGGAGGAGGTCAGACTCGGGAGTGCGTTCTGCCCCCATCCAATAGTCCTTGAGGTAGAACCGCTCCCCGTTGGGCCCTTCCACCAGCCAGCACTTTGTGCCCCTCGAGCGAATAGCGCGTCGGAAAAAGACGGGATCCAGCGGACGCAGTTCGCCTTCCAGTGGCACGATCTTCAACTTCCTCGGTGGGCCAAGCGAAGCAATCCAGCACTGGGTAGTTGGATCCCAGACAGAGGGAGAAGCGACTTCGATATAGCGAGTACCATTCTCCCAGTAAATGGAGGTGTCGTAACCGACTTCCGCCTCGTCGAGTGAGCTGAACAGCCAGATGAGTTTGACGAAGGTAACGGCCTCCTCGTGGTAGTTGAACGCAGGCGAGACATGGGCCCCCGCCCTGTCAAAGTGGGCAACGCGCATGTATTTCCCAGACATGAGGGGAAGTCGCACGAAGTTGCGGTTCGGTTGCTGAACAAGCACCTCGCGAGCATAGACGGCGATTTGCTCCTGAACGTCAGGCGATTTGGCAACCTCCAGGACTTCACGATCATCCTTTTTTATTTCTACCGGCGTCACCACATCTTCATAGGACGGCGGCTCTGGAAGTTCGAGCTCGGAGGCGGCTGAAGGTCCAGTCCCGAAAATGCCAATGTCGAAACACGATTTAATTGAGGTGGGGATCACGCCATCGTTGTTGTGGTGCTTGAATTTTTCGTTGGCGGTGATGATGACTTTGCGAGTGAGCTTCGGCTTCCTGTTTCGGGTTTTCTCCTTCGAGTTGTCGTTGTCAAATCCAACGACGATGTCGTCAATGATTTGTCTTGTTGGTTCGTAGAGAGCTTTCTCTGATGACTGGTCTTGTGGAATTGCCTTCCATTCCTTCGTTTTGTTGTTGTAACCCTTGTATTTGTGAAGCCAATCCTTCACCTTTTGATGCAACTCTGGGTGGGTGGCATCAAGCTTGTCGCAGAGACGTTGATGCAACGGGTTCTCCTGGGAGGCCTCTTCGAAGACCCAAGTCCCAGAGAGTTCGACGGAGACGGCTTTGCGAAGTTCGGTGACATCCGCGTATAGATTTTCGCTGCCGTGGGATGAGAACTGGAACGAGGAGGTGCGGCCCGTCGGAATGATGTTGTTATTGCTGTTCTGCGAGTTGCCACCCGGAAGTGAGGTAGAAGGTGCAGGACTGTTTGGCATTCCCGTGTTGAGTAGCTCAGATGAGTGGAAAGAGCCTGATACTGAGTTGCTGATAGCCGTGAGCAACAAATCGCGCTTTTCAGGTGCAGCACGACGTGGTCGGGGAGACTGAGCCTGAGGCTGACCGGTACGGTGACGGTCCTTTTGGCGGTCGACTCCGAGAGAGAGGACAGGATTAAAACTATTCAAGTTCATGGTGAGTGAGCGGAGAGTGAAGAAAGCGATGCTCAACTCACTAGCGTGGGTGCCACTTATAGTGGGCCTTCTCTCCTCAAAGCGCAACGACAAAGCGGCAGCTACACAGACAAAGCGTTGGACAATGGCAAGTTGTGTCAAGTTGAGTCACATCACGTGTGCTTATGAGACGTGTTTGATCAATTGATTTCACTAGTACTTGAGGTTGAACAACTCCTTACAACTAGTAAATATCATTTACAAGACTAGTAAGTGTCTAGAAACTGTTCCCTAATACGCCCCAATAAAATTTCGTCGATAGACACCGTCTCTTGAGTCTTCAAGTCGCTCGGGTGGGCAACTGGGAGTCGCTGAATGATATATCTGAGGGCCGAATATATGAGCGGAAGGTATCACGGCCTCGAAGACTCTGATCTGAGTGGCACCAAAGAAAGTAAACCCGCGTCGTGCTGAAGATTCAAATGCTGAGGTGAGTGACGGTCACTCACTCTTATTTCAAATAGAAAAGTTTTCTATTTGCACCATCATGGGTGAAAGTCAAGACTCAAAACTCGCACCAGGAATGGTTATGGGTCCGGACGGGAAGCCATGTAAAGCGTGCACCAGCGGCGCAGCCTTCAAAGGCTGGCGTCCAACAGCAACAAAAGCGGCAGCAGCAATTGGAAGTGCAACTCTTGCAACAACCACCTCAACTTCAAGCTGTCCTCCCGACAAAGACCAGCTCGGCCATGCGACGTGGACCTTCCTCCATACAACGGCTGCTTACTACCCAACCCACCCGACCCCCCACCAACGAACTCAGATGCTTGCTCTTATTGGGTCGCTTCCGGCACTCTATCCATGTTCCCATTGTGCGGAGGACTTCGGAGAGAGTTTAAAGCGGAATCCTCCGGATGTTAGTGGGCGGGCCGGTTTGAGTCGCTGGTTCTGCCAGAGACATAACGAGGTCAACGAGAAGTTGGGGAAAGCGGCATTTGACTGTGCTAAAACGGACGAACGGTGGAAGGATGGGCCAGCAGATGCTTTTTGTGATTGAATGCCAGTATTAGACGGTATTATCTCGTCGATATTAGTCCATAATAAATACTGACGAGCTTTCTTCTATGCCAGCTTTGTACCCACTCAAGTTTGCGTCTACCGCCGAGAACAATCTATACCGGTTTTATATGGCCATGGGTGCATGAAAAATGGTTGTCCCCGGATATCATTACTGCCAGTGTTTCGACGTTGGAATAAAGGTGTGTTTTACTCAAGATCATTGTCTCGAAGTCGCCCTTGTAACGTGGCATTGAACAGACAGGAAGACTACCGCGCTTCAAGGCAATGATTTGGCCGGAAAGCGTCGCTCGCACAATGTTGTATCGAAAAAGCCTGCCTGCCCATTTTTCGATGGTCCTTTCACGAGCAACGTCGTAAAACATGATAAGGCACAGTCTTTTCTAATCCTCTTCCATACAACCATTTTAGACTGCGTGTAGTAACATTGATGTCTGAACACATGCAGCTTTCGCAAAGATATTGTCTACCTTCTCCAACAGCTGCTCCTTCGAGACTCCCTCAGACTCAGCCAGCTCCGTCACATGGTGCATCACCGTCGCCATCGCGCTCTCCCTCTTTGCCCCGTACTTCATGAGCAGCTTGATCATGGCCTCCCTCCCGTCCTCGGGTATTGGACTTGGATCATGCTCCCCTTTGGGATGCTTCAAGGCCAACACGACATACAACGCGGTGGCATAAGTAGGCGGGGTGAGCTTCCCGCACAACACGCCAGGGTGCAAAGGCATTTTAGCTTCAACATCTGAGCCACTCTTCAGCAGATATTCCATCATCTGCAGATTTCGTCGCCTAACGGCGTGACCTAGCGCGGTGCCATATGTCTCCTTTTGCTCGAGATCGGCGCCATGGGCGTGTAATGTCGCGACCATATCAATGTTCCCCGCAAAAGCAGCATCACATATCGAATGCGCGCCCCATTCTCCGTATCCCACATTTGGGTCTGCGCCGTATTGAAGTAGAAGTCGAACGACCTCCACGTGATTAGCCCGCACAGCTAGATGCAAAGGTTGCATTTCCTCGTCGATTGACGAATCCCACCGCCGCGTAACGTCCGCGTTCTTTTCAAGCAACAGTTTGACAATATCAGCGTGTCCGGCTTCTGCTGCAACGTGCAACGGCGTGCACGGATTCATCGAGTCGCCATTAGGATCAACGGAATAGGGAGGTGAGAGGAGTTTCTTAACGATCTCCAGCTTCCCTTCCCCCGCTGATTTGAATAAAACTTCCCTCGCAATTTGGGGTGTAAGCGATGCGTCAAGGACAGGCTGAAGGATTGAGTGGAGCCGAACAGACGTTTGGACCAAAGAGTTGACAGACGAGAGCGAGAGATAATCGGCAAGCGCAAGTATGAGCTCAGGAGGCATTTCATTGGCGAGATAGGTGGCCATTGTGTGAGGGGCAAGTCGCAGGCTACTAGTATTCGCGACCTCGTGGTTAAGTAGCACGATTTGTGAGGCATTGGCATGCAACAGCTTCCTGAGACAGCCTCAGAGCGGATCAAGAAAGATCACAGTTGGGTCACAGTCACAATGATGCTGACTTCCTTGTGACTTCCTTCTCGCCGTTTTCGATGTCCACAAGTGATAATGAGTGGACTGCCGAGCTTACTGGAGAATAATACTCCGGTCGACGTTGGTGTCAATATTTAAAGTCTCGCCAGTTAACACTGGTCGATGTTCACTGGGGATTTCTTCCCATCGACGCAACTGAAGCACTAAGCTCAATGGCTTGCAAGCTTCATCCACTCTCAGGGCTCGTTGATGGGCCAATCCACTGTGTGGCGCCGTATCTCGAAGGCTTGTCCTCTGACCCCAAAAAGTCTTCTCGACTGACGCTACAATTCTGCTTAGGCATTTTATTTGGCACTAATGAAGGCATTTACCAAACAACGCCGAATGGCTCTGCGAAACGCATTGCGGGCCTGCGGCCCTCACCAACGTTACTCAGATTGAACTCTTCCTTGAAGTTGACCTTTTCATTTGCATTGCGGGTCCGTATTCTCCAAAACATTTTACTTATTCTGAAACTTGACGTTCCAGATGCTCAACTGCTGACTATTTCCCTTCAAGCGTTAGTCTCGGAGACGCATACAAAAGGGGACATATACCGACTTTCGAAATCCACATTCTTTCACGTTCACCGCAGCCAAAACCTGCATGAGCGACACATGATTTGTGCAGTAAACAACTCTGGATCTTCAATCAAATTTTTCGATGTTGTCGCAGACAAACTTGGCGGTCGTCTGGCTAGTAATTTTGTCAGTCCTTTCGACTTCTTTGTTGCAGTGAATTATCTGAATGACCACCAAAGGAATTGTTTTTACCGCGTGAAATGGCTTCCATTTTCTTCTTCTCGCGCCACCAACTGGCAATTACATTCACCAAAATACCTTCTCACCACTGCGGATTCGAGCTGTTAGATCCTGTAGTCAACAAGACACAACAACTCTTTCATCCCGGCGCGGTATTCAAGAGGGATGAGGTGGGAAAGCCGATAGGTGTTTTCCGTCTAGGGGGAAACTTTCTTGCATGTTATGAGAGTGCGTGTTCAGTTGTCTCCACAAGGGTATAACACTTGACTAGCCTGCATTAGAATCAGGCTTTATTATCAATAAGCATGGCGGTTTGGTCGACGGTTACTCGAAAATTATATGGACAGGGGCTGCATCTGCTATCGGTACTTGAATTTTTCTAGACAGAAGGTATAGCTGATGTCTCGTAGTGGCTCACCGACAATATGTTCTAGCTTTTACTGCTCATTCCATCGAGGTCCGAAGTTTTGGTGGCCCAATTTCGCTGGTCGTCCAAACAATACATGGGTCATACACTCCGCTGAATGTTCCTGGGCCAGAAGAGCGCGTTTTCGTTCTGAATACTTCGACAAGAGAGGCGGCCGTGATTGAATTCCTGGGGTCGAAAGAAATTTGGAATTGATTCTGCTGTACTGTTGACCATTATTGCGGCTCGCCTATCCGTCTTTTGTTTCCTTGCTAGGTTAACTCGCCGAATGAATCCAACTCCAAATGCTTTCCCTTTTGTTTCCTATTGCTGATCGTCGCATCTAGATAAGATATCACGGGAATGATAGGATTTGATTGCCGCGGCCATTTTTCGTCCGCGCAGGAAACCATCAACTCGTCATGTCGTCGACGAAACACTAATAGAACCAGAACCTTGTCAATGATGGCTTGTTGGACGCAAGATGATAACACCCACAGCTAACTAGGGCGTTGACAACAAGACAGCACTCACTTGGCGACCGTACGAGCCCGATATGTTTCATAGAATCAGGAGAATCGCCATTGAATTGTCACTTTATCGCAATACTGCGCTAGGTCAAAGGTAAGCAAGACCTGCAGCATAGAGTAAACTCGACCGTTGATCAGCAAACAAGATTCGGAAGCATCCGTCTGCCTTTCAACAAACAGACATGTCTGCATCCATCCCTCACTTTCCCTGTGGCCAGTCGACAGAGACATGGACAGCTGTAAGTAAGTAACTGCGATTTAATTGGCAGTCGCGAACCTGTAGACAACGGCAATCTCTGATGGCCGACTAAAAACCGCCCTGAACGGGGTTCATTATACATATTGCTCCCAGCGGTGATGTTTGACACGGGATTGGGCTTTCTTGTCTCTCCCTTCCATCCGTCTATCGCCTTCCTTCTGTCTCCACCTAGCCCGGGAACGAGGCTCCTCTCTCCAGTCTGCCCAACGGCACACACACTCTTTTCGACCACTCGTTTTACATGCTTGCTTGACTTGGATTCTTCCTCCACTGTGTGTGTACATCCAAAAAGCAAGCCTAACTTCCGAGAATCAAATTGTTTCCTCTTGGATTAAACTAGTTGGCGTTGGGAGATGGGTTTGGGACATTCAAAGCCCGACTCTAATGGAGGAGGGGATAACAACGACCATCACCCCACGACGCCACACACGACCCCGGCTCCACCTGCACAACCTCCCGCACAACCGCCCCCACCCGCTCAACCACCATCCCAACCACCGGCCCAACCACCGGCCCAACCGCCAACCAAGACCGAACCGCCATCCTCGCCTCCAACGTCAACTCACCAACCTTTACCTCCGAACCCACCAGCATCTCCAGCTAGTGCCCCAAGGTCATTCTTTTTGTTAACAAGGAAACAAGAGAAACTCATTGGATATTTATAGCCAAGGATCGACACTGCCAACTCAGAACGCGAATCCGAACCACTCAGATAACAGTGCTGCTTCTCATACACCTGAATCTCCTGCTGGGAGCTCTAACGTTCCGATTCCAAGCGTGACTGGCGCGCTTCAACAAGCAGACCCCGCTCCTTCAGGGACTGGCGCGAATGGGACTGGCAAATCCCCGTTTAGCATCAGTTTTCCGGGTCCTGGGCAGGCTGGGCCAATGAGCTCAGGTATAGCTGTTGGCGGGTCTTCACCATCCTCTGGAAATGCAAACACAAATACCGATACCAATACCTTCGGAAGCGCCTCTTCTTCGCACAAAAACCCTGCAGCCATAATCGCTGGGGTACTTGTCCCGCTTTTTGTCCTACTCTTTGCCGTTGCGGCCGTTCTCGCCTATCGCCGTCGTCAGCGGCTCAAAGACAGATGGGAATGGGAGCGCACGCACAAAGAGATTGCCGCTGCTGTCGCGCAGCAGGGCAGTACGGGCAGTTCAACCCCTGTCACCACCAACTATGCTTCACCTTACGGTGTCCCTGCAACTCCGCCCATTGGCGACTGGGTTCGGTTTGCCGACACCACCAGCCCCAATATGTCGCAGTCGCCGTACTATAACACTGCATATGCTGGCACCTACAACCCGTATGCGAGAGAGAAGACTGGCTTGCATGACGTCGAAGCGCTCTGAATTCAATTTGACTTTATCATACACGTTTTTGCCCTTGCTTTTGCTTCTGCTACCTTCATCGTTGGCGACAGCTGCTTTTGCAGGACCTTTGGCGCGCGTTGCCCTTTTTTCTTCTCCCAGAAAACTGTTGTTTTACTGCGTTGCCCTACGTTTATCAGTTATGTTATTACATTAGTCGTGTTTCTGTTCGGTAACCACACTGAAAATGTTGTTCGAATGCAGCCGGGGCCAGTGAAAGTTGACCATCGCATCAAGGTCCAGACTCTGACTTGTTGCATGAAAGCTGGGGTAATCTGTGGCTGTACACCCCATACTTGGCAATGAACCGCCAAACTCTCGAGACGATCGCACCGATGCTGCGCACACGACACATTCACCGACAAGCAGAAGAGGCCGCCCGCCTCAAGCTCTCAGCATCAAATGTTCCGCTGTCTGCAAGCATATTGGACGACCTCCCCATAGAGTTGCTCGCTGAGATACTCACCCGGTTACCCTACTGGGACTTGTTACGGGCCGCGAGTGTGAGCAAGCGGTGGAGGACACTCGTCGAGGCCGAGCCTGAGTTGCGAGTGAGGATGTTTAAGCAGGCCAGTGACGTTTATGTCGATCCAGGCGAGTTCAAGTTTTATATTTATCGTCTCTCGCGTGCCCATCCTCACATATCCAGGCATCGAGACGCCTCAACCCGCCAAAGGCAGTGACCTATTGGTACTCCACCCCTTACTCAAGATTGCAGAATACTCTATCGGCGACCCGCTCGCCAACCTGTACATTTACAACAAGGGCGGCTGGCGACAGACTTCTGGCCCGAGCACTGATTTGGCCTGCATACCCTCTGTCAGCACGCTCTCCATGAGGCTCGAGTCGTATGACCGCATCAACCACTTCGAGGTCGATGCAACCAACGAGACCGGCGTCACGCTGCTGGACGTGTTTACTGCGCTGCGAGACGCGTACGTGCTCTTTCGCTCCCGAAAACATCAGCTGATTAGAAGTGTCTGTAGCGCGAAGAAAGAGGTGGAGACGGTAGACGGTCGCATGATATTGTTGGACGCTATTGAGCCGCATGTGTGAGTCGTTGAGCCATTCTGCACTCTCTAGTTCACCTGTTCCCTAGATTTTACGAGGGGGTGTGTCTCCCGAGACGCATCGGAAGTCGTCTGAATGTGCAACTTACACTTGGATCATAGATCCCTATGTACTCTCGACGATAACCATGTCAGACATTCAGACCACCGAAGCGCGATCACGTGTTCCGACAAGCGCGCGTTTTGTCTGCGACGCAATCAACACAAGTTTGGTATATGAATATACATGGAACGAAACCACTATACAGATAGTCAAAGCTAACGCCTATTGGAAGACACCCCTTTCGAATTAGCCTCGAATACTGAACCCAACTCGATATCGTCTTGTTCCGAGTCTCTGGCTTTGAAGTGTCCTTCCATCCCGATACTCTCCAATGGTCTGACAGTGAATGCATTTGTATCACCAGCGTTGGCCTTGGTGGTAAACTGCGCCGCCCGAAGCGTCGACAATGTCCCCCTGTGGTTTGAGCCGGTCCCAGAGCGGATAGCACTACCGTCGTGCTCAGTGGCAATGGTTGTATGTTTCGAGTGTGCAAGGACAACGATTACGGTGGGATATCCACCGACAATGACGCTTGAGCAGTAGTCGAGCATTCGCATCAGAATTGACAGGGTTGTGCTCGAATCAATGAGCTTGATGACGGAAGGCACGTCTGCTATGACGAGTATGAACTGCGGGGAAAGAGGTTCAGGGTCCAAGAGGGAGTAACTAATGGAAGGACCAACGAAGAATAGGAAGTAGAAAAAGCCAGACTCGACGAGAAGCACGAAAACCCGCTCAACTCCGGTTTTACTCCGCCTTGTACCGTTCGAATTCGAGCTGTATTGCAAGAGTGTCAGTCGCTTGTGGTGCTTCCTGCCAACTTTGTGACGCCTTATCACACATCGATATGTAGTGCAATGATTGGAGCTCACCAAGCAGTTATTCCGATGAGCAGAGTTGCAACTGCAGTAGTGACCATGGGCATGATATACGTCACCTGCTGGACGTTCTTGCAGAATGGAGGTTTCTTGAAGCTGCCAAAGAGGATATCGGAGCCGTTGACCGCGACACAGTAGGTCAACATCAGAGTGGCCACTAAAAAAGACCCATTAACAGTCACTCTAACTTACCAGAAATTGATATTCAACCTACCCACGGATCCGAGAAGGAGCGCACAGGGGATCAGGATTACCCAGGATGCAAAGTACGCTTTGAGCATCCATAAACGGTGACTCGGAATAATGATTGCGTCGCCGATTAAAGCCTATGCAACAGATCAGACAATTCTGATTATTAAAAAGGAATGTGAATATATGCTGACCATATACGCATATAACGCTGCCTGTGCTGCAAGAACACTGAATATGAAGTCCTCCGTGGTACCAAGTTTTATGTTCAAGTCCGTGTCAGGGTTTTGGACCAACACCCACTTCGGCTCGTAGATGAACGTCGTGAGGTCGAGCGTCCACAGTACGAATGCGATACAGAACATGAGGATCAAGGCAGCCATAGAGAGGGAGTATGCCCGGACTCGTCGCCGTTCGCGAGATCTTCAAGTTGAGAATATGAATTGATAACAGGTTGGGCAACTTGACACAACTTACAATAGAATTGTGCCCGCCTTAAGCACCAGGACGGCATAGAGGGCTGCGCAGTGTCAGAGGATTGGACAAACTTGAACATAGTAGGCCACAGAGGACAACTTACTCAAGAGCACTGTCTCGTTTGTGATTGCAATGAAGCCCAGAGATGATTTTAGTCTTCACAAACATACTAGTAGTAACTTGGGCCTTACCCTGGTACCAGTCGGTTCCGATGCTTTGGAGTGTGGCTGCTTCGTCAGGTGTCATCCTAGATAGGCACAAAGAGACTGTTATGCTGGGGGATGGCACGATGCTGGTTGAGCGAACACAGACTTTGACATTACCATGGCAGTTTATATAGGCGGGCTATTATCGTAGACGAGCAGGCATGCAGACTGGCCCAACTGCGATGAGTAGGCTGAGGAAGGTTTGTTAATCAATGGTGTCTGTTGGGGGATTTCTGTTGGCAATCTCCTGAGACTTGAGTGGACAGACAGATATAGTAACAAGTTGAAGATGTTCTGACCATGGACCGAATTCTCCTCGAAAGGCAAGTGATCATGTTCAAATTGGTCAGTCGTGGCTTCTGCTCAAGCCCGAAACGGAGGTTGATACCAAAATGGGAGTTTCCGGATGTTGACCTCTCGAAAGACGCAACGATGCGCATGGCCAAAGTTGAGTCAATGACAGTAGGCTGGGTGAAATAGAACGGAACCCTTGATAAACCAAAAAGAATGGTATACACACGGACCAACCATGCAGTATGGCATGTATTTTGAGTGCCCCATTTTCAGTATTAGTACGACCCAGATCCGCTGATTCTTCGCAAAGAATCAGAAAGATTTCGGAATGGACAGATCTTCGGATAAGCGACTGAGGATGCACCTAAAAGCTCGGTTTTTCAAGTTTGTGAGAGGCACTCGAGGACTTGGAGTAAGTGGTTCAGGTATCGTGCCAAGTGAACCAGTTGAGAGTTATACTTGAGTATCTAAAAAGACTCGAATCACCAGCGCAAACTTTAGGTGACATGAATGGTAGGTTAAACTTTAACCTACCATTCATGTCATAGCCAGCTCGTCACTATGACATCAATGGCACGCAGCCGCCTCCCAGTGTTGAAAGCCCTTCTAAAGCTCGCTTCCGAGCAGGTGGCTGCAGGTCAAGAATACTATCGTGCGGAACCGAGTTTGCGAAGGACGTTCGATTCCCCACGATAAACACGGAAGCCACGGTCGAGCTTCTGCCAGTGTGCCGTTCGTCAGCTCAGCCATGCAATAAGAGGGGACGTACCTTATAGTTCGAGTACCGAAAGATTGACTCGGATGCAATATTAATAGTAAGTAAATTGTACTGTTGCATTCATCAGCTCAAAAACGTTCGAGTGAAGTCAACAGCAGTCCAGCATTTCTTCGGCCGCGGCGAGTCTCAGACCCCCAGCAGCGGGAAGACATCCTTGCCGATGGATGGTATGGACAGTTTAAGGGAGCAAGTCATTATGCAAACAAAGGGACCGGAGATCTTGGCACAAGACTCGGTGAGTATGCGCATCGAGTCCCATGCACCAGGTCTGAACTTGCGCGTCGTAAAAACAGAGTCAGGCGCCAGGGCTTCGACGACAAATGCCGCACACAGTATCCCGACCGAAGCTCACGGTAGAGATGGCACGTTGATGTTAGAGTGGAAGAAGCGTGGATTGACGCGGATGACTTATCGAGGCTGGATTTGGACCAAATTCGGACCGAAACTGACTGCGTATATATATAAAGAGAGATACTCCAAGTGAAAAAAGGAATCTCATACTTACATTGACTACGAAAAGAAAATATGTATATGTATGCATCCATAGACTGAAATGAAACACCGGGTAATCACGTCGAAACCTGCGCGAGGTAGTCGGAGAGCTTCAACGCGCCAGCCCTTATACTCTCCCCAACGTTCTGGACATCCGGGTTTGCCAAAACTCGCGAAATCGCCTCACGAGCAGAGGTCTCCAAACCAGCAAGCGACGTGTCTTCGAAATAAGAAGGCTGGTTGCGGCTGTTTGATGGGTCAAGAGGACTAACAATCAACCGATCAGCAACAATCGAAAACAGGTAAAAAAAAGTAATGCGCACTCCTCTTCTCGTCCAAAGTACTCATCGCTACCAATCCCACTCCTTCCGGCAAAGCTCTTGAGCCGTTCTTGAGCCTCCGCGTGTGAGTTGGCATCGTATGCCCCCCGTTCAAAGTACATGTCTGATGATATGCCTTTCTGGCCACCGAATCTATCGCGAGCCGTGGTTGGAGCATCATCAATGACGGGTGTCTTTTTGATGCCTGGATTGAGATGGGCAGCGGAGGCAGCTGCATTGGCTGAGGCGGTCGCCGCCGTGGGCAGGGCACCAAAGCCAAGACGTACAAAGGCTGGTTTGGGTTGGGGAGCAGCTGTTGTTGTGTTTGTCGTTGTCGTTGTGCTTTTGGTCGGCAGACTGGCGGCTGATTGGATAATGGTAGGTGATGCTGCTGCTGCTGCCGCGGCTGCAGCTTCGCGTTCATAACCGAGTGCCTTAGTCCGCTCTTCCTCTTCACGAGCGCGACGTTCTGCTTCAGCAAACGAAACGGGAGTGGCCTTCTGTGCACCTAAGGATACGGATGAGGGATGGAGGAGTTATTCACTTCAATCGAACACACCGAGTTTCCCTTTCTTGCTGCCTGCACCAAGTTTGAGTTGTGCTGAACTACCAGTCGTATTTAATGCCTTTGAAGCGGCAGCGAGTCCAAGGCGAGGTTGTTTTGGGGCAACAGGTGTGGGGGCAGCAACAACAGGAGGGGGCGAGGTAGGTTGTGGTTGTGGTGGTGGAGTGGAAGTTACGGATTTTGCACTAGCAGTTCGTCCAATGACAGGCACAACTGGTGTCCCAACCCGACTGGTCTCCTTTGGCGTGCTGGGCTTGCTCCAACTTTCGAAAAAGTCTTCTTCGGCAGGTGCACTGTCTCCCGCCGCTGCTGCTGAAGACGAGGCCCCCTCGACAACGACACCGTCGGGGAAACGGACCGCATCGGCTTTGACCCGCTTGGCCAAATCCTCGCGATACAATTCCGCCGCCTTGGACTCATATTTCGCTTTTCCGGTCAAGCTTGCATTGAGGCCGTGTTTATGCAGAAACTCGCCGGCGACCTTGTTTCCGCCAACTTTCATGGCACGTAGTTGACCAACGCTCCAGGAGTCGAGATTCGTGGAGCGGACGAAGGAAATATGCACCCCCATGTTACGATGAACCGAAGAGCAATCCAAACAAAGGTAGACGGCATAGGTAACTGAAGACCACGTCGGGTTACGAGCACCACAGTCGAAGCATGTCTATTTTCTCTGAGTTTAGGCAGCGAGGTGATTGTATACGGTAGGACGCACTTTGTTCTCTTTCTGTCCTCGGAGAACGGCAAAGATGCGGTCTGTTTCGGCTTTGGGCACTTGGTCGGCCATCGACGACGTGGAGGAAGAAGCAAAATATGGGAGTGCACAGCCCCTGATAGCATCATCTTCAGGTATCAGCAACGACGCATGATGTCTTCTGCTCAACCTTGAGCCATACCATACTGGCCAAGTCATATTTTATCTACACAAGTCCCCAAACATACTGGCAGCTGATTCCTAGTCCACCACCCTTCGCTTCTGGGATTTGGATTTCCTCTGAAGGTTCAAGTTGTCCGCCAATCAGCAATTGTTGGAATAAAGATATAACATACCACGAGCACTTTCGTCCTCCGCAAACCCCAACTTCTGCCAGAGTCGCACAGAACCGACATTGGTTTGCAGGACGTTGGCATGGATCTCTGTCGCACCAAGGTGTTCGACAGCGAAGTCAAAGATGACCTTGGTCGCAGCAGACGCGACGCCCTTACCCTGGTAATCAACGTTGAGTGCCGCTGAAAACGATATTGAGTATGCTGCAAATAGCTGCCTCAAGTGACAACAGACCGCCCATCTCCCAGAATCCATCCGTCCTCCGCCAACTCTCGCATCCTTCTCTCACTGGTGTCTTCCGCAGGCCTTTCTCGAAGCCAATCGTGACCTGCCCGACGTATGGATCAGGCTGGCCGTCCCTCTTTCGCTCGCGGATGACTGAAAAGGGTGACGAGTCGACGTTGCCCGGCTGGTATTTGCCTGCGGCATATCCAGCGAAAAGCTTCTCGGTAAAATCACGTTCTCGAACGAGCCACTTTTGCGCGCCGAGGAGCTGAACAGGAAACGGTGGGCCCATGATTGTGCGAGCGACACGAATATCGTTCTGTTCATCGTAATGAGCAATCCCTTGTTTTCAGCCTCTAGTTGAGGAAGCCGACCATCATCGCCACATCAAAAGGCAAGTCCGAATGCCGCTCGGGTCCAAGATAAAATTGCTCAAAGGGTGCCGGGAGTGGAAGGCACGGCTCGCCATCTTCGGCGAATCTGATGGGTGTCTTCGCGGCGATTTCGGCACGCAAGTCGCTGGATTCGACCACGAAACGATCAGAGAGGTGTGCACTAGGGTCGGGAATGGACATGGCGAGAGAAAAGGTAGATATCAGCTGGGTCCCGAAAGATCTTCGTCGTCAATGATTCAGACTATGTATTGATGATATAATATGTTCAAATTTCGGTCCGGATGTAGATTGATAGCTGCACGTATTCTGCTCAAGTATATATTCTCGCGGTTGAGTCCGAGTCGACGAAGCCCTCTTTCTTAACCCCAACACTGTGACAATCACTTGGCGTCACAGTGCTCAACAAGTTGCTCAACGTTGCGCTCAACCCCGTCCACGAAGTCGACATACATACAACACGGGTCGGCGCACTGAGGCAGCTGCACACGATATGCGACACTTTCTCTGTGTCACATGGAAGGGAAGCATGACCGGCTTCGTCCTAGATCTGACCATTCAACAAGCCTCAACAACTTCCTTCCCGAATCCGAGCAGTATTTGAGCGCCGAACTTCGAGGATGTTCTAAAGCAACTCAAACTCTCCCGCCCAATGAAGCTGCTAAGCTGTGCCACGCTTCTAGGCGTATTTTTTTGGCGTTCAGCAAACTCTTGCACAAAGTGCGTCATAATTTGTCTTTTGTTCTCTTTCGCTGACCTATATTTCAGTCGCAGTCGACTCTCTCCTCGTCCAAAATCAAGTTGCACCCCTTGGAATTGATGTTTCGCCTCGCTTTTCATGGAAGATTATATCAACCGCCCGTGGTGTTACCCAAAGTTCCTACCGGCTCACTGTCTCAACCTCCACACCGGGCGGCTCTAATGTTTGGGACTCAGGCTTCGTCGCCTCATCTAATCCATATCTCGCACCATACGAAGGCCCAGCTCTTTCCTCTGATACACAATACTTTTGGACTGTCGCAGTGGTCTCGTCTGCGGGCTCTGCCTCGGCACAGTCCACTTTCACTACCGGTTTCTTCTCTCAGAGTGATTGGGGCTCCAGTACTTGGATCGGAAAGAACAAGACTGTCGTGCCACAGCTGCTCATCGACGCGTTTAGGAACGCCAGCTGGATATGGACCCCTTCACCCAATTTAACACCACCCTACGCTCCTCCGGGAGATATTGCTTTGCGACTCACATTCACCCTTCCAAGCGGGAAATCCGCCGTCAGAGCCGCCATTCTCGTTTCTGCAGACGACCTTTTCACACTTTATACCAATGGTGTGTTGGTGGGCAGCTCTCCCAATGTGGCTGATGTTTGGAGAACTGCTCAGGTCTACCCCGAAGTGACCTTAAGCAACGCTTCGTCTTCAGTTGTTTTCGCTATCCGAGCGACAAATCAACCTGTTGCTGGTGGCGCAAATCCCGCTGGCTTTCTTTTTGCTGCCCTGATTTCGCTTTCCGATGGGTCCGCAACTATTCTCACATCCTCATCAGCCGATATATGGAAAGCAACAACATCTATTCCGACCAACTTTCAATTGCCTTCGACTTCTGATGCATCCTGGAGCGTTCCCATCTCTCTCGGCGCTTATGGTGTCGACCCATGGGGTACAGGCGTCGGCATCTCACCACCGACAGCTTCAATTCCTTCATTGTCAACGGCGCTCTGGGTTTGGAACGTCCCGGGCGCAGCAGGTGGTGCCCCTCCAGGAGATGTTGCTTTTCGACGAATAATCGCTGTCACCTCCGGAACGTCCACTAGGATTCCACTGTCGACTCAAATTACCACGACCGGTGACGACCTCTTCACTTTATGGGTCAACGGAGTCCAAATCGCAACGGCAGCCGATGAGGCAGATGTTTGGAAGACTGCCACGACCATCTCCGTCCCACTCGGTGCGGGCACAAACACAGCTCCCGTCACGATCAACGGTGGACTTGCGGTGGTATTTGCTGCTCAAGTCACGAATCGGGGGAGTAGTAATAATCCTGCGGGATTTATATTGTCCGCACTTATCGTGTATTCGGATGGCACCAGCGATGCTGTAGTCACTGACACCAACTGGAAGACGGTCAGCAGTAAGGTTTTCACCTGGATGCTATTCTCTATTTGACAATCTTAGCACCGTTCCCCTCCAATTGGCAGGCTTCAACATATAACGACGCTTCTTGGCCAGCAGTCAGTATCTTGGGGAATTATGGAATTTCGCCATGGAATCAAGACGTAAAATTACCTTCTCCATTAGGGGAGCATCCAGCACCACTGTTACGCAAACGCTTCATGTTGAATGGGATCAGTAATGGTTTGCATTCACCCTTCTTGATTTTCAAACATCTGACTTGATATAAGGTAAACAAGTCTCGCAAGCACGTCTTTTTTACGCGGCTGGCGGTTACGCTGTCATCGAGCTCAACGGTAAACCGATTTCTGACCGGGTCATGACGCCTGGGTTCACAAAGTACGACACACGAATGCAATATGTAGTCGTCGACGTCAAAGGCTTGTTAAGCAGTGGTGAGCTGATTTATCTGCGTTTATGATATCGCTGATTACAAACTACCATCAGCCGCCAATGTCCTGAGTGCCGAACTAGGTCGCTCGCATTATGGTGTTACACAAGGAAATGTGTGGAGTTGGGATCGGGCCCCTTGGCATGGCGAGCCCATCTTACGACTTGTGCTGAGTGTGGCTTACACCGATGGGTCACGAGAAAGAGTTGTTAGTGATGGTAGCTGGAAAAACATCGAGGGACCGACTAGGCTTGATGATATCTTTGGAGGGGAGAACTACGACGGTGAACAAAAATGAGTTTTGTTCATTGTTTTACTGATGTTTGATACCAGCGCGTTATGAAATTCCTGGATGGAACCTTGTGGATTTTGATGATACGACCTGGAACACTGCTTTGGTGGCTTCTCCGCCCAAAGGTGCTCTTGTACATGCGAGACAGCCACCGACGCGCGTGTTGGCTAGTCTGACGCCCATCAAAATCTCGCAGCCTGTGTCAGGGCAAGTTTTTCTTGCGCTTCTGAGTGTAAATGCTGATCCGTCCTATAGACAATACGTTGCCGCCTTCGATCGTATGGTAGCTGGATGGATTAAACTAACGGTTACTGGCGCCCAAGGCAGCCTGGTCACAGTTCACTATGGGGAACAACTTAACTCTGACGGAACTGTGTTCTATCAAGGTTTTTACTTCATTGCGATTTACCGCTTGTTCCATTGAACCGATAACTAGATGTTGCCCACTACTTTGCCAATAACTTCCAGACGGATCGTTATTGGCTGGCAGGAACTGGCTCGCCCGAGGTTTTCGAGCCCAAGTTCTCATATAAAGGTTTGCAGCACATTGTAAAATGTACATAACATCATCATCTCTATGTTCTTTAGGTTATCAGTACATCCAAATCAGTGGATGGCCATCCTCGACTCCTCCGCAACCCTCGGATATCATTGCTCAAGTTGTTCATGATGACCTCAAACCTGCCGGCGATTTTACCTGCTCCGTGGATTTGCTCAACAAGCTACACGCTGCTGCGCTTCGCACTATGCTCAACAATGTGCACTCTATCCCTACCGATACTCCGGTTTGGGAGAAGAATGGATGGTCTGGAGACGCTCAGTTGGCTGCAGTCAGTCTTCCAGTTCTCAACTGATAGGTGCTGATACCGACATTCTATTACAGGAAATGTTCTTGATGAATTTCGACTCGCAAGATCTCTTTGCGAAATATTCACAGGACCTTTTGGACTCAATTCCGAATGGTGGTAACGGCCCACCTGCTGTTATTGTTCCTGATAGCGGTTGGGGCGCAAACAACCGAGCCGACCCATGGCAGTAAGCTGAATCCCAACCTCCGCAATCGGCGCTCATATTTACAAGCGCTGCGCTAATTTTGATACCTGCATGGATCTACTCGTATCGTGGTGATCTGAGGGTTTTGTCGGACAACTATGCGGGAATGAAGGCGTATATTGAATTTGAGCTTGGCCGCTCGTCGAACAACATTGCCAGCACAGACTTAGGGGATTGGGTTGCAGCGGACGTGCCTCCGGATGGCGGGAATCCCACAGAAGATTCAAGGATTCCTGCGACTGCCTATCTGTAAGTGCTGCTTTGCCCTTTTTGTTTCCTAATCGGCCACCTGACCCCAATTTTGCGCAGGTATCATATGCTCGATGTTATGACTGGAGTTGCAAGCACTCTCGGAAACACCGCTGACGCGACGACCTTTGCCTCTCAAGCGGCTGCAGTCAAAACTGCATTCAACAACGCCTTCTTCACTTCTGGGCACTACGCTGGGGTTGGCGATAACGGCTACCGCCAATCCCACAATCTCCTTGCCCTCGCATTTAACCTTACCACCGGTCCCAGCAGCGCCCAAACTGTCGCAGATAGTGTCGCTGCTGACGTCAATATGCGAGGGGGCCATCTGAACACTGGCGCTCTAAGCACCAAATACCTTTTGCCTATGCTTACGACCCATGGTCATCCTGATGTTGCATTCGCACTAATGCAGGAAACGACATTGCCAAGCTGGGGGTACTGGATTCAGAGCGGGGCCACAACATTATGGGAGCACTGGCAAGCAGAAGGACGCTCGCATGATCATGTAGATTTTTCTTGCTCTTTCTAGTTGGAATCGCCTGCTGATGTTTTGTAGTATTTCCTCGGCACTTACGAAGACTGGTTCTACAAGTTTGTGCTCGGCATACAAGCGACCGGCCCGGCATTCAAGACCGTGAACGTTGCTCCCGCGTTTACTGCCTCGATTCCGAGTGCGAGTGGGTGGCTGATGACGCCATTCGGGAACCTCACGGTGTCGTATAAGAACAATGGACCGTCGTTGTCGCTGCAAGTCGTCGTCCCTGTTGGGGTTACTGCGACGGTTTCGTTTGGATCTGGGACGGCGAAGATGGTTACGGAGGGCGGAAAGGCAGTCAGTGCTGCACGAGTGAAAGGGCACTTGAACGAGGTCCAAATTGGATCGGGGTCTTATTCGTTCGTGTTGCAGTAAGAAGACATCGTTTGTTTGGGTTTCTACAAGGTTCAGATGTTTACACGTATTCCGAGTACTTTCGTAAGCGTCAGCACAAAGACTCGAAAGGATTGTATGCATTAAGTAAATAGAATGTACGGCCCGGGTATCCCCTCTACAGGTATGTACAACAAAAAATTAGCGTTCATCATATCTGGCCGCGTGCTGTCTCACGGCCGATCACGATGCTTTTTTGTAAAGTCCTTCAAGTTGGCGCAAAGCCGGCGCCTGCGCCGTGGCTATACGGCGGCGGCGGCGGCGACGGGTGCTACGAGGTTGGCGCGCATGATGCGCTCCTGGCGGAAGCTGAAATAGGCAGCGATGGAGACGAGGAGGGTGGAGAGGCCGGCGAGGCCGTTGGCAAGGCCGAAGAAGACGCACGTGGTGTCGCTGTCGTCGAGCCACGCCTCGCACGACCCGTCGCTGTACGGGATAAGCACGATCGCAAACACCATCCACCCGAACGCGAGCAGCACCAGCGTCCGTGTGCGCGCCTGTTTTATTAGTCAGTCGGGGCCAGAAATAAAAAAACCAAAATGGACAACGCACTTTTGAGAGCACGAGCGAGGTTGCTTTGGTGCGGAGGTAAAGCAGCGCGAGGATGGCGGAGCCGGAGATAGCGCTGTACGCCGTAAGCACCGCGTTTAGGCGCGGGACTAGCCAAGGGACTTTTTTCAGCGACGGAAGGAAAGAAAGGGCCGCCGTCGTCACGCACACTGGGTACCCTCCATGTAAATCTGCACCAGCGAGAACCCGCCCGTCAGCAGCGAGGCAATACCCGCCGCTGCAAATCCACTATCATCAGCCACAGATCAATCACCCCCAAATGACGACACACACCTATGAACACCCAGCGGAGGGTGCGCGAATACCGCTCATACAGCTTCTTGCGCTCGGGGCTGAGGCTGTCGATGGCGACGATGCGGACTGCAGGGATCGGGGGAAGTGTCTTAGCATTCTGGGAGTCCTCGTACTGCGGCGGGGGCGGGGCGACGACCACCGTGGGCGCGAGCGTAGATGGCGGGTGGGAAGAGCAGTGGCAGTGCTCGCACACGTGCGGCTTGGCGTCGGCATCCGGGTCCAGCAGCATCTGACGGCGCGCGTAGTGGGGGAGGGGGGGCAGGGGGGTGCGCCGCCCGTCGAGGGTCGAGCGACGGGGTGTTGTGGGTGGTGGGGAGGGAGAGGGAAGGGAAGAAGAGGGCCGGAGCACGTGGCGTGATCCGGTAGGTGGAGCGACATTGGAGCGACACCTGTTGGACACCTGCGTTTATTGGCACGGGCGGTTCGGGCGTAGGGACGGGCTTGGCGGCGCTTCCATTTGCTGACTGAGCGGGCGGCGGGCCGCGCCGAGGATTGACCGAGGAGCGTGGCGTCACGGCGGGTGGGCGTGACGCGCGTCCTCGTCTCTCCGCCGAGTCACGAAACCCGGCGATACGCTACGGCATCCCGTCACAGGGAGGGTCAGGGTCGCCACTCCCAGCCATCACCGTTTCACACCTTCTCGTGACGAAATCCGCCCCGAAGCGAGCTGCTTTTTTACGCACCGCAAAAAGGGTATGTCACACGCATATAAACCCGGTCTCCACTTCCGCTCTCCCTCTCTTCTGCCCACCACCACTGCAGCTTCTGCTGCTGCCCACGTTCGTTACTCTCTTGCTTACCATGCGCACAGCTGCACTGCTGCTGTCCGCGGCCGCCCTGGCGCTCGCCAGCGGCCATAACCACGGCTCCAAGCCCCAGCCCGTCGCGATGCGCCGCCTCCCCGCGGAGGTCGAGCGCCGCGACAACGAAGGCTCCATGTTCACGTGGTATCCCACCGACACCGTCCGTCTCTTTCCTTTTCTTTCTTAGTGTGTGCTGACGGGCATTGTGCAGGGCACCGACGCGTGCACGGGCCAGAACCACCAGGAGGGCGACTGGGTTATCGCGATGAACGAGGCTGTGGGCAACTTCTTTTTTTCCTTCTTTGCTTTGGCTGACGTTCCCGGGTAGCAATTCGGCAACGGCGGCTGCTGCGGACGCAAAGTGCGCCTGCAGTACAACGGCAAGACGGCCGTTGCCTCTTGCGTCGATATGGTGTGTCCCCTCCATTCATTTTGCTCACAGTCTTGTTTCCTCACCGGCGTATAGTGCCCGTCGAGCAGCTGTCCCGACCGCGGCCATCTCGACTTGACGAAAGGTACGTCACCTTACCCGCTGATGGCGATGGAGGTGATGATGCGTTGCGACAGGGCTATTTTCGTACTTCGCCGATCCTGGACAGGGCACGCTCTACGGCTCGTGGTCCTACGCCGACGGCCAGCACAGCGACCCGCCTCCTCCGCCCCCACCACCACCACCACCGCCGCCCCCACCTCCGCCACCGCCACCACCACCTCCCCCGCCTCCTCCTCCCCCGCCACCGCCACCACCCCCACCGAAACCCACTACACATAAGCAGGAACACGTGACGACTCCACCCCCGTCTCCTCCGCCGCCGCCTAGCTCGAAGCCTGCGCCGCCGCCGTCCTCCAGTGCGCCGCCCAGCTCCGTCAAGCCGTCCAGCTCCGCGAAGCCCAGCTCGTCGTCAAAGGCACCGGCTCCGAGTGCACCCGCCCCACCTCCGCCGCCTCCTCCTGCCCCGCCCGCTAACCCACCGTCCGGTAACCCCGGCGCGGGCGGGACGGCGAACGCCGGAGCCGGCGGTGCGGCGGCCGGCGCGGAGGACGAGAACACACCGGGCATCAACGGCGCCGCGATCGTCGGCACCAGCGGCGCGGGCGTGGTCGCTGCGAGCAGGGCCGGCATGGTGCTCGCGCTGATTGCGGGTGCGGTTGTCGCGCTTTAAATTCAGAGTAGAGGATTTATAGAAGGGCGGACTATACTATACGTACTTGTCGTCGATGATACCATAATGTTTTGTCTGGGTTCGTTTCTTTCAAATTATAAACACGGAAGACTTGGATTCGTTCTACTACAGTATACATATTGGTCTACAAAGACACCTAGTTGGTGGTGACATTCGCGACGCTGCCATCCATGAATTAGCCGCACAGCAACCGAGCGGAAGAAAACCACTCACACGGCGCGGTCGGCGCCGGGGCATGCAACCCAGGCAGAGCGCAGCGCGGTGCCGCCCTTGTTCCAGCACGAGTTGCCGAAGCCCTGGCCGACCTGCGACGCGGACGTGCACCCGTCCTCGTTGTGGATCGTCACGCGGTTCGACGAGCTGATCCCCGAGAAGAGCACCGACGCAAAGTCTGTCAACATCAAGTAAGCAGGCACGTGCTTGTGAGAGAAGGGGACGCCTGACCGCCGGGCGGGTCCGCGCAGAAGTTGCAGTCGCCCTGGTAGGTGTCCTGGAACGAGCTGCAGCCCGTGGAGGTCGAGAACTGCACTGTCGCGCCGCGCACGGTGGCGACGGCAGCGAGCGCGGTGAGGATGGCGAAGTTGAAGTTGTACACTACAGAACATTGAGCTCGGTGAGAGGAGTGAAAGTAGGACGCTCACTGTTGTTGTGGTTGTGAGTTTTTTGAGAGCTGGCTCGACTCGTAGCCCTCTCGTGCCTTTTATACGCCTCGAGCCAGCGCAAAGATGTTTTCTCTCTCTCTCCCGAGTGGACTCGTCACTCCACTCGCCGCCGTATTATTAGCGCTTTGCAATGAACACAACACACAGGACTGTGGAGCTTGGCCCCGGCATGAGCCAACGCATGCCCCCGTCCCGCGGGCGACGCCCGCTGGTTCGTATGGTGCGGAGCAAAAACAGGCTTGGATAGCGGCGCTGGCGCTCCACAGCGCTCGTCGTACAGGACTTAGCACACACGAATAGCCATCCTAGGCGCCCTTCGTCTGTGTTGGGTGGAGTCGGACAGTCGAGTAAGTAGTTTCAAGTTTTACTTTGTATCGCTATTTGTGTTGAGTGGAGTTGCACTGTTCAGTCTCGAACCTCCATCTTGCTCGGATTCCCTTCATGTTTACGACTAGTAACTTGGGGGTGCTGAATCCTGACATTGATAAGTACTATTAGTAGTTTTTCATTTGAGTTGTCTTGAAGCTTTGTTCGGCTTGCGGAGTGGGAGGCGGCGGATGGCACAGCCCGGACGGCCATAAGCGCCATCGACCTGGAGCATTGTACTGATACTGACTTGGAGCTCATGATAGTTCGTTTCACAATCGAGGGATCATGTCACATCTCAATCACATCTGATTTGAAGTCATGTCGCCTCTTGTCCATCCTCCCTCTGACCGCTAATACACTTAGAAAATGAGCAGTAGAGCAGATCAATGATCAATCAAACTCTAACCAAATCAAATCCTAACGTGTGTGTGTGTGTCCGGGGGTTCGAGTTGCAGGAAACAACTAACCAAATTCAGAGATGTTCAGGGATTGCACTAGAATTTGACTTAATTAGTGCTTTCAACAGATCAGATGGTTTGTAATTTAGAACACAAAAGAAGGAGCAATATGGCTCAACCTCTCAAATGTTCTGGATGAACAAGAGAATGTATTTGCACTTGACACAAAAGGCAAACTCAAACAAGTTATAAAACCTGTTTTAGTAGCGCAATTCAAATAGCTTCCTTGCTTCCTTGCAACCTGCAATAAACCTGCACCTGCACCTGCAATAAAACCTGTGACTTGCTTCCTAGCTGCCTAGTTGTGACACTAGCCGCCTAGCTGCCTTGCTTCCTTGCCAAATAAAGTAAGAGATGGGGTGTAATTCCCTGGAATTCGATCTTTAGCTACTACATTTGAGCTCCTTATATACTACTCAGAAAAATAACTAATGATGTGACAATTAAACTAATGATGTGACCGAGAAGCGCCATTAGCACTGCTTTGAGTCATATTGAGTCATTTGGAGTTAGAGAGGCTGTGCCTTCAGAAGCAAGGTCCTGAGAAGCAAAACCCTATTTAGGTCTAGTACACACAGCCTTGAGAAGCATTCTCAAGCATAGCCCCGGTGTCAAACCAGTACTATGGTAACCTTCCCACACTAGTTCCGATGTTTTGACAGCTTGTCACATGATCAGAAAGCGCTGCAAAGCACTACAAACTTGGTCTTTTATGCAACTATTTAAATAATAGTGGTTGTGAGTGTCATTGTGTGTTGTACATTGAAAATCAAGAAAATCCATAGATTTGAGACATTTCAGGCATAGTCAATTTCCATGCTTGTAACCGCCTTCGCCAATACCGGGCGGGACGATGACATACCCCTCCAATTCCTTCGTAGAAGTTCAACGTGAAGCGCTATCCTCTGCCGCTCTATCCTCTAAAGTCGCGCCGTCCTCCGAGCCGGCACGAAATGCAGGGCCTGAATCACTGAGTTGCAGACCTGCAGTCAACGACGACAGCAGTTTGTCGATGTCAGCAAAGGCAGAAGCCGCTACAGCAGTCCGCAGAATGTTGCCCTCTGTCTCCAAATCGGCGTAAGCTCAAAGCTGGACACACATAACGGATATTGGAGACACCGACCCTGACCCGGCCATCTCGGTCATGTATCTCTCCTTGGTGGAGCTGTTACCGAGGGCCTTCCCAAAGGTGCGCAACGTCCGCTTCAGCGGCGTCGTTTGTCGCCTCCTTCTTACACTATCAGCAGTGTCGGCAGCGGAGAAGATATCCCAGCCAGGGTTCCGCACCTTGTCTAGCGCCGTCCTTTCGGAGGCGAAATTCTCAACTGCTCCATACCCCACATCTTCGTGCGACACACCCTCCTCCTCCTCCAGGGTCACGCGCATGACCACTGACACCCCGACGCCCGTACCGCTGTGTGTGCTCGTCGCAGTCCACGTAATCCACCGTCATGCGCACGACGCTCGAGCTCCAGCCGTTGTACCCAAAGACCTCGTTCGCGAGATTGACCAGTCGCCAGGTCTCTACATATGTTAACTTCCCCCCACCTGGCCCCGGACACTCGGGGTCAAGCCGTTGATTGAGCTGTGCTTGAACGTTGGCTCTCCGTTCGGCGGAAGTTTCAAGCTCTCGCTGGGACGAGGAGATGGATTCCGGGGAGTCGTGGGTTGTGGTCATGATGGAGTTCTGCTGGTGGTGATCATTTATGGGAGCGAGGGGCGGTTGAAGATATTCTTATTCCAGACGAACAAGCAGGCTCATACCCATCCCTCGTTGCAGAGCAGCCAGATCCGAGAGCATAGTTTTAGACTAAATATGTAATGATTTTCGACCCAAATCAAAGTGATGTGACAAGTGTTATTATTTTTCGGGGTGAGCGCTCTGCAAGAGGGCTGGCGCAGCTAGCCCGGCCCGGCTCCGAGCCGCGTAACCTCCGCCCACCACCCTTTTCTTCCTCCGCGTCCAACCCATCTCCGCAGCCTGCGAACGACGCCGCGTCGACTCCAGTCCCGACACCTTCCATACCCCCTCTGCCTCCGCCGCCACCCCGGAAGCCCACCAAGCTGATGCACAAGTGGTCTATTCGCGAAACACGGCCAGGCTAGCTGCGCCAGCCCCTCTTGTAAAGCGAACCCCACACTTTTCCGTCACATTTGTCACACCTCGGATTTATCGGTCAATCAAATCACATTCGGCTTTAAACTACAGGAGGAGGATTGTGAGCTCTACAACAAGGGCTGGGTATGAGCCTGACGAACAAGTTACATGCTTGACCGGCGCCATTTCCGTTCAGCAATTCGAGGCTCATGAGCCGAGGCCGTTGCTTGAGCCGAGGCCGTTGCTTGCCAAATCGGGCATAAGCCATTTGATTGATGGTAGCATAGCCCTGTGTCACGCGAGATAAGCCATCGTTAAGCCATCTTCGCGCGACAGCGAGCTCTCCCCACGTCCAACGGGCCTTCTCACTGCGGGAGTTCCGGAATAAACGGGGCCCCTTTCGATCGATTATATGCCTCTAATCAATGTACCAAAAAAAAGTAGTTTTTTTAATACCTTTATTTGCATGCAAAAAAACTGTCCCAAATTTACCTGCTTATATGAGAAATATGTGCTATAAATAGACCTTATTTTTTTGTCACCGGTTTTGGGGCAGATTGAACACCCTTTCTCGGACTAGTTTTTGCATCAAAATGGGAACCAAAAAATATTCACTTATATGATCCAGGGCCCTAATATATGTCATATAAGTGCATATAAGTAAATATAAGTGAATATTTTTTTGGTCCCTGTTTGGATGGCAAAAAAGGTCTAAAAAAGGCCATTTGATATACCCCCAAAATCAGGTGACAAAAACCAAGTCTGTTTATGGCACATATTCCTCATATAAGCAGGTGAATTTGTGACAATTTTTTGGGGCACAAATAGCGGTACCCAGAAAATTTCTTTTTTTTGGTCCATTGATTTTAGGTATATAATCGATCGAAAGGGGCCCCGTTTATTCTGGAACTCCTGCAGTGTCTGCTTCTTCTCGACATGGCGGGAGACACGGCACCCAATGACCGCAACCACGGTGGTCGCCGGAACGGCGCCGGCCGACCGAAAGGCTCCAGAAACAAACCCAAAGAGCCTGCACTGTCCACACCTCCCTCTGCACCTTCCGCCGGCCCTCGTACTTCCGCTGCAAGCGCAGACACGGTCAATCCATTGACCAAGCGAAAGAGCGCGGACCGGATTCTCTCCGGCTTCTCGAAAGTCGGTCGTGGCATCGCCAATTTTTGGACCACGGGTATGCCGCAGACTGGAGATGCAACGTCCACCGAGGGACCTACCGGTGCATTTCTGTGTGCTCTGGCAACGTGCCCTCTGACTCGGATGACCCAGACCTCGACTCCAGCGCGTCTACGACCGCAACCAATGCTGTCATGCAGCTTCAAACGGACATTGCCGCCGCTGGTGCCACGTTGTCAATTCCGGACTGCGTATTCAACGAGACCATCGAAGAGGATGGAGAGGGAGATGGAGGGGCGGGATTGCTGGACGATGAAGCGGATGTGGGTGACGAGAATGACGAGAGCAACTTGGATTCCGAGCAGATAGCTGCGGAAACGGCGTGCAAGTTGGTCAATGACCAGTGGCTTACGTCAACGCTGGAACAGGTGCAGAAGGAAATCAAGCTGCTTGGCCAGCCCCGCGTTTACCGCGACAGGCAGTTGTGGGTTCATCCTAAAGACCCCCATTTTTGCCCTGCACGACACTGCAACCACGGGCGTCTTCACTCCCGACGGGCTCTATGGTGCAGTGCACCTAGTCACCACCAAAATGTGACAATGGATATTGCTCCAGCAGTACTGATTCAAATTCTTAGTGCTCTAGCTAAAAGAGACCTTTTGAGATATAGAAAAGATTGGCTAGAGGGATAGTCGAAATATTCAAAATTGACTGAGAAATATATATTTTTACACCTAGTTCCGCCACTGCTTATGTAATCACGTGAAAAACGCTGGGAAAAATCGGGAAAAATCAGAAAAAAATTAATTGAATATTTTTACAAATAGTAGTGAAATAGATAAATATTTTATACATCCAGAGACTCTACAAGACGGTCAGGAATACGCTGATGTGACTTATATTTGCGGCTTGAAAATTCCTTAACATCTCAGAGAGGTCGGAGGTGGTGGCATTGAAGGCCTTAGCTGCAGCCCGACCTGTCCGGGCACGCGCAGCAGCAGCAAGCTGTGTCTTGCGCTTCTGGCCCATTTGTTGTAGCCTTTGGTGGTTGTAGAGATTGTGAAAGTTTATATTTTCAAACAGTATTTAGACAATGCACAAATGCTCGATCGAATCCGCCACCCACGTGACGTGATTATATAAGATTATATAAGCTGTCACATTTTGGTGGTGACTAGGTGCACTGCACCATACCTCCTGCCAATATTTCTTTGGCTGCCCGAGCATCTGCCTGGTCATCCCGACGACTTTCACTGTGAATGTGGAGAGAAGCTCAACAAACACGGTGCGTCTTCACGTTCCTTTCCAGTTAAGACACTTCTGACTACACTTCTGACTTGTATGCAGGCTTCAACTCAAATCCAATTGCACGACGCGTATGCACCACGTCTGGGTCAGACTATTTCCTGCTCACGCGGCGGTTCTACTGCCCGAATCGCGAGGGAAACCGGCGAGGATGCGGAAACACCTACCAAGGAACCGATCCATGGATTCTCGCTCAGCTACCATGATTTGTTCAAGACCGCTTCCCTGGTGTGTTGCTTAATGCTTCACTTTTCATGCTCAATAGTTTTTAGTGGCGATTAGCCACCGGTCCGCGCTCGACTTGTCGCAGATGGACATGATGAAAGTCACGTTCGCTGGACGATTCGGCGCAGATCCGTTCTCCAAGATGGTGGGCGAGCTCAAGCGTCTACACCATAGCCGCCTTGAGGCCATGTATCTGCACGCAGCCATGCATTACGGCTTGCGCGGGACGCAGATCCCTTCGTTCTCGCAATTCAAGGACCGAATGCGCTTTGCCGGCTATGCACCATCCACCAAGTACCTCAAGAGCATGTTCATTGCATGGTTCGCCGCCCACCGCTTGTACATGGACCGTATCATGTCGTCGTTTCCTGCCCGAGTGCTACGAGCCGACCACACCTTCAAAGTACGTGTTGCTCTTGCCTGTCTCTCTTCTGGGGATTGACGAAGTTGTGTAGACTGTTGAGCACCAAGGTCGTCTGCCTGGAGGCGAGCCAATCCATACCGCTTTGTACGAGGGTGTCAACGAATACGAAGAGGTTCGCTTCTATAACCTCGTATTGACGCAGGGCTTTGCCCCGCTGCGAGGGACGTATGAGCGCGTCCAGACCGAGCTCGCACGTCACGGAAACACACCGACAGAGGTACTTTATACGGACAACCCACGTCGTGAGTTTATCATGTGACCATACTGCTCTCGCTAACTCAGATGCAGATGAACGGAACTGGCATGAGTCAGTGACTCCCTCGCTCAAGAAGGATGTCGAGCACATTGTCCTCAATCCGTTCCGCGATCTCCCGGAGTGCAAGCTGTCGCTCACACCACAGTTTGCCAGTACATCTGAGTGCATCGAGACCATCTGCGACACAATCATCCAATCCCTCCCAGATGTCGACTCTCTCTATACTGCTCTTTCTGTTGTTCAACAGGGCAATACTGTACAAGCCCTCTCGCTTCAAACAAAGTCCGCTGTTTATGTCATTGATGTACGTTGTCCTGTTCGAGCTTTGTTGACTGAAGTTGACTTGTAAGATTTAGACCACCAACTTCAAGACCGTCCTCCCCTTGTCGCTACGCTCAGTGCTCACGCATCCACGTATCATCAAGTTTGGGCATGACATCAGCTCAGCAGCCAAGCTACTCTCCTCTACGTGGCGTCTTACGATTCCGCCAGCCAGCCTCGTTGACCTCGGTAAGCTTGCCAAGGTCAAGGGCGCTGCCAGCGACCCAAACTGCACTCTGGCCACACTCTGTGGCGCAGTATTGGCCGTCCAACTCATCCAGCCTGATTTGTCCCCGCTTCCTGTCTCGACCCAGGTCAGCAGCCTAGCTCTGCCTGTTGACTGTGCATGGTTCATTCAGGCTGCACTCATGCAGCTCGGTTCGGTGGGCATTCCGTTACAGCCGAGACAGCTGTCTGCTGGGCAGCCAGTGGCATTCGTCATTGGCAACAAGACGCAAGCATGGGGCGAACTTGTGGCCCACGATGGCTCCCTTCGTGTTCCCAATACTGAGGGTGTGGTGACCGTTACCGCTGCCTACTCTGTCATCAAGTTGACGAAGGTCCTTGTACCTGGCTTTCTTGTCGCTAAACACGGGCAGACTCTGGAGTGGCTCAACACAAATGGTGGGCATGCTGTTGTTCAGACACGCACTCTGTGCAGTCATGCTCCTGTGTCAGGGGATGAGGGTCCAGGTGCCTAGTTGATACCAAAGCCGGGGGAACAGCCCCACGGCCAACTACTTAAGTACAGGGCTATCTGCGCACGGACCAGTCACGTGATCAGTCACAGCTGTCACATCACATGCTCCCCTTACATCCTGAGTCTCCTCATCCTGCAACCGAGTCCACCGAGGATGCCTCATTTGGCATTGCAGCTCCTATCACCATACCCTCTGTTGTTGAGCAACTCCAGCAGCC